GAAATAATAAGTGGAAGGGTTCAAAAATATTATGTATTTTAGTAAAAACAATGTTTATTATTTATTAATTATTATAATAATATTGAACTGTTGTTGAGAGAGAAGATTATCTATTGTAGTAATGAGGGTCTTTCCTTGTGTTCTTGATTATTGTAGATTCTATGGAGAGTACAATGGATCTTGAATGTCGGTTTTTATGCTGATGTTATAAGGGTCAGCATGTATAGTCGATCATACTCATGAATGAGCATGAGAAGATGGTGTTGGAATCAAGTATGCTTGGTACAAAAAATGATCATACTTGATAGAGTGTAAAATGTCTTGATGGAAATTTGTGCGTAATAAATTATGTCTTTAGTTATAATGAGAACAGTATAAAGGACTAGTCACACGCAAGAGTCATGAATGACAAGCCTTCGAGCTTTAAAGGACTTGATCAAATGTATTTATAGTCGATTATTCTATAAATTGTTGTCTGGCCTTGACAACATAATTGACGTATTGCGTCACCTGTGTCGACTGTTTACGGGGCTGTATGGTGTTCGAAGTGTTAGTTCGAGAGAGCGTACTTATCGATTCTTTAAAGGATGTACGGTGTTCGAAGTGTTAGTTGGAGAGCGTACTGTTTGCGCGTATGTGCCTAACTTAATTGATAAAATAAAGAGATGTACCTTATAAACTGCCGACAAGGTGAGTTGATTTACTGCGTAGCTGTGTGTCCCGTTTGATTACGATTCCAACAGGCTTCACTGTAAATCACTACCTAAAGTTGAGTGAATGCGAGGTAGAATTACAATGAGCGTCGCCGCATGGTGAGCTGCCATTAAATATACGTGCAACAGGATGCAACGCCGGTGAGAGTGCTGGTGCTTATCGATATGCCGAAAACTTCTTTGTGGCGTTAGAAAACGAAGCTTCTAGAAGCTTCGTAAGCGTTCCTTTGTGTGATCTTATAGTGTATTGGATTTCATCTCGTAAAACATGCTCGGACTTGTCAAGATGTGTTTATAAACAATCGCCCAAGCGCGCGTGCCCTTCTTTGTATTAAATTCGTGGAAACTGCGTCGATCCCGAACAGTAATTGTAAATAGCCTATATTAAACATATTTGTCAAAGAAGCACATACTATATTTTTACAGCCCTTCCACTTAACTCCTTTCTAACCATCCATTAGGACGAGCGGTAACGAAATATTGGCAGTTCCAGCCAGAGAATAAAACAGTTTCGAACACATACCAATAATTATTTTTTATAAAAAATCCTGTTGTAAGCATATTTCTGCATAATTGATGATAGTATAAAATATATTATCCAATAATCATTTTTATTAAGTTAATTATATATATACACATATATATATATATATATATAAATTTAATACAAGTCTAATACTTGTAATAATGTTATATTAATATAATTCTTATATATATATGTGTTCTATATATATATATGTATATATAGAGTGAAAAGAAATCTGTCGAATTGTATTCATTAGGAAAATTTCAACGGCTATCATAAAAAGCATTATTGAACGGACATAAAATGTACATTAATTTTATTATTTGTACAAGCTAGTCACCCATGAGCGAATTACGTTTCATATAAAGTCTGCCGAAATAGTCGACACAGGTGCGCAATACGCTTTTGTAGGCTAACAAGCCGGAAAATGCACATTCATCGCAGGCTAACAAGCCGGAGAACGTACGTTCACCCAATACATGTAATTACATTGTCAAGGCCAGACTACAGTTTATCAAATAATCGACTATAACTTCATTTCAGCAGGTCCTTCCGAATTAGGAGGCTTACCATTTATTGTTTCTGGGTGTGACTAGCTTTCAACTATTCCCACCCTCACTAGAGGCATGATTGAGTACGTAACAACTACCACAGAGACTTTAGTATCCTCTTCCGTTAGAGTATAGTTTACTCTTCCTGCTAAGCACTACTAATTACCGTTACCATCTTCCCATGCTTGTCTCATGAGCATGGTCGACTACTTATGCTGATCCTTACAACATCAGCATACACCCAACATTCAACATCTTTTGCTAACATCAATAACAGTAGCGACATCGCCACCACTACAACAATGTGAACCATGCATATTATAAATGTAATTGTTAATAAATTATATGTTATAGAAGTTTGCATATAATACACCTCTATATACCCTTCCACTTGACTCCCATTCAAGCATCTGCTGGAGCGGGCGGCAAATTATTAAAGCTATCGAAACACTGGCAGTTCGAGCTAGAAAATAACATCATTTTCGAACAAATATAAAAGAAAGATGTAAAATTCATTTATATAATAACTATTATATTATTTTTAGGTAAGTAATAAAAATTAGTGATATTATTCATTACAATTTAATTATACAAAACAATGAAATAACAGTAAGAAATATTTCTTAAATAAAAAAAATAAAAATAAACATGTATAAATATTACAACTTTTCTACTTTAAAAAAATTTCGCGTTAACAATTTTTCAATTATTTTTATTATTTAATTGTTCATAAATATTTATATTGTAATATTATCAAATATTATCTTTGTTTTAAATCAATTGAATTAGTTTACTATGTGTTGGAAATTAGTGATGTAATTCTTGGCTCAAACTGCCAATGCTTCAATGCCGCCCGACCTAGTAGACACTTGGGAAAGAGATAGTTGGAAGGGCTGTACAAAGGTCGTGAGAATTTGTTAATTACACATTTATTATATAATTTATTATACAATTTACATATGGGTGTTTTGGAATATTCTTGAATCTAGTGTGAAGATACGATTTCTTGAACGGGTTCTTGTATTGAATGTTTCACTACACAAGATGTTCTTAAGATCGTTAAGTTGACGTTGAATTGAAAGGTTGTAAAGACAAACAATTACTGCGCACTTCTTGTTAGAGAGTGTGAGATACTGTTAATGGTAATGTTATGCCGGTTTTGACGCCGGCTGGTAATAATTGAGTAGGTAGCGCGGATTTATGTGCTCACAGCGATACAGTAATTTTGATCTGATCCAGGGGTGAGTGGTTCACCAGGGAATGCGGCAAAGCAAATGCGTGCAGGATGATCCTTGTACTCACAGGGATACAGTATTCTTAGTCGGGTCAGTGGGTCACCGCAATATACTTGTCTCTAGATTATTAATACGTACTACTGCGTTGCGTTCTCCTCAGACCTGGCTTCTCTAGGCGAATAGCCCTTTTTACTTGACTTTTTCTTCAAGACAGCATTTGGCTTGCCCACACGAGTAGCTTGTTCGAATTCTCCCCGCGAACAGTTGCTCTCAGCTGTATTGCCCCACCTTTAAGGCCTCTTGCCATGAGTCCCCACTGGAGGATCTTCTGGTCTTAGTTTTCCAATCAGGGCGCGCCGCTATGCGGCGGCATGATGAATGTGCACGCTCTTTTCCCAATTCAGAAGAAATTAAGCTTAAAGAATGAGAATATCGAAGGAGTATCTCTGGCCGCAGAGCATATTATGGAAAAATGCCCCTCTCCGGGCCTCAGCAATTTAAGGGACGCATTTTTAAAGATTCAAACACTTTCGATACAGTACTTATTCAAATAAGTGTCAAGTGGTAGTCCATCAACGCAGTTCAAGGCAACAGTCGTTACACGTCCTAGAAGAACGACGACATATCCCCGTATGTCCATTAACGCGGTTCAAGAAACCAACGTTACAAGTTCAAAAGGCTCAGAGTCCGAAGACAAGTTGACAATTAGTCTTCGTAAGTAGTAGCACCACTACAATAATCAAATAAAACTTAAGATTCAGAATACGTCATCGTCTCGATACAATACTTATTCGAATACGTGTCAAGTGGAAGTCTATTAACACAGTTCAAGGCAAGTCGTTACACGTCCTACAAGAACGACGACATATCCCTGTATGTTCATTAACGCAGTTCAAGAAGAGGCTCTCACCAGAGAGACAGTGCAGAATAATTCCAAGCTCATCGTCAAGGTCGCATCAACTGATGCGAGACTTGCCAGCCTTATCCTCACCTAGTTCAAAGTCTGACGCTTATGAATCCACAGCGAGCCATTCAACACTCGCAGAAGACACAACAAGTAGCAGTATCCTTCATGCGGTAAAAGCCCTTCAAACTCTTTCTTCCATCTGAATTTATTGCAGTACGCCAATATCAAGACAAGGTACGCTTGCTACGCTACGAGTACATCTCTCAAGTAACAATAGTTACATGTATTGCGGTACATAACAACCATAACCTCAATTACGTACGTGCTCATCCAAACAGCGCGAGTGTCGACGAATCAAACTTCGCGCCACTCTGCGCTCATATTCAAACCATCACGCTACATAGATGAGTATATGTTTACCGCCGCAAATACATTAATCCACCCCAAGAGTTATTTCAATAATTAATAATAGTAATACTAGTCAATGTCCTGTAATCGGATAAATAACAGAATAAACAGCATATACATCAGCCATATTTATATTGTATTATTAATAATATTCACTTGTGACCTTTCATCGCTACCACACAACACCCGTGGTCTCTGAGTTGTCAACGGTATCAATTTGTATCCTTCGAAACGGCCTTGGTAAAACAAGCCGGAACGGCGAATACATTTTGTACAAACATACAAAATCGAAGCTTTAATCCACTTTATTATTTTAATTGATTAGCTTTTGCTAATTTTTTATGTATTGTTATAAAAATTTAATATTCCTATCATTGTTATTAAATAATTTAGAAATATATATATTTTCATAATGTATTTGTTTGTACATTCGAATATTAACAAATTTATATAAAAAATATAAAAATAGATTAATAAACTTCATTAATAATAAAAATCTTTTAAAATTTAAAAAGATTTTAAAAACTCTTTTTTAGTGTCTTTTTTAATCTTAAATAATTATGAAATTAAAGTATACTTTTATTATTCATTCTACTGCTTTTCAGAGTAACTAAAATTAAATACTGTGAAAATATTAATATCAAAAAATTAATAATTTGACGATTGCTATATAACTGATCAAAGATGTCCAATTTAGTGATTCCTTGCAACCAAGACTGTTCAAAAGCAATTTTAGATTCCGACGATGCAAACATCAAATTGATTATTGCGAATGTGAATAACATTCAACAAACAAATAATGAATTAAATACTATCATCAAACTTAAAAAGGAAATTGGTCTTCTTGACGGAGTAGCCATCATCGTTGGTATTATCATTGGTGCTGGCATTTTCGTCTCACCTAAAGGTGTTTTAGTTAATAGTGGTAGTGTTGGCCAAGCACTTACAGTATGGATTTTTTCTGGTTTTTTGTCTCTTATAGGAGCGCTCTGTTATGCTGAACTCGGTAAGCTCATTTTATCTAGTATTAATTAAAATTTTGAATCGTAAAGACATAAATATATATAAAATACACAATAAACAATAAATATATAATGCACAATAAATATATGTTGAATCAAATGTTTTTAATTTCTTTCCAGTAAGCATATTTTATTATTTATAATTTTCAAGAAAAATATTGACATTAAATATTATACATTCAAATATTAGTGAAAAATATTGTATAAAATATGTAAAAATAAAATTCTTTTAAGAATATTAAAAAAATTTCATTATAATTTGATCGCTGTAAATTTTATATTTTTTATATCGTTCCACCCTCTAATTTTTTAAATAGTCAGTCTTTCAGTATCTTCTATCTTTTTCTTGAACACAACTACCCTTTATTTATGATATTATTAAAAGAATAAAATATATCTCAATTTCTATTCATCTTAGTCTGTTATATATTATTTTATATATGTAATTTAAAAGCTTAGTATATTTAGTCCATACTTTTGTTTTGTAGCTAACTTATTTAAAAAGCCATTATCATCGCGTCATTTAAACATATACTTTTCTATATATTTTTATATTTTTTTCCTCGAATTTCAGTGTGTTAGATTATTAACTATACTTGTGAATATTCTTACTTAAATTCGAAATTAATTATTAATATTTTTATAGTTGCTCGAAAGTTTTTGTATTTCATATCATCTGATACAATTGCAGAGATTTATAGTAAAAGTTATAAATCTATTGCAATTTTATTTCATTCTCCTTTAACTATTTTCCCATTAGAAATTCTAATATATAACCTTAGTATTCTCGCAGAAAAATTGAAAATAAAGGCAACTTTCAATAAAAGAAGAAACTCACGTGGAATATTTTTTACTGTTAGAAATTGGAACATTTTTTCCAAGACCTTGGGTTCTCAGAAATTTTACAAGCCTTCTAATTCTCGAATTTGTAAACATTTGACTCCTGGAATTCTCGAAGCTTCTATAACTTATTCTCGAATGTTCTATAATGTTTATCTAGTCTCTATGCGTCAATTGAATTCTTAAACCTTCCAAAGCTTCGTGTACAAAATGTATTCGCCGTTCCGGCTTGTTTTACCAAGGCCGGTTCGAAGGATACAAATTGATCCCGTTGACAACTCAGAGACCACAGGTGTTGTGTGGTAGCGATGAAAGGTCACAAGTGAATATTATTAATAATACAATATAAATATGACTGATGTATATGCTGTTTATTCTGTTATTTATTGATGACAACGTTGACTAGTATTACTATTATTAATTATTGACATACCTCTGGGGTGGATTATTGTGTTCTCATCTACGCAGCGTGATGGTTTATGTTCGGAAAATAATCCCACAATTTGACTAGTCAGCCAAACGTGCAATAATTAACGTAGAACAATAAAACCCACTAGATGTTATGTGGGGTTGCCGGGCAAGTAAAGGGTGAATGCACTGATTAATAATTAACACATGTCTTTATTATTTCTATTTATTTGAATTGATTTACAAAAGGGTGAATTACAGACGAACTTTATATTTCTTGATAATCTTGTGGTGTTGAAATATATTTACTATGAATGAAGCAGGTTATAATCTATTGAATATTATCACTAAGAGGTTATGGTGATTGTAATGCTCTGATCCAACACTGGAATGCTATTGTGTTTATCTTAATACGTGTGTAGTTGCCTTTAAATATCGGTCGTAAGAGAGCCGAGATGGAGGTTATGCGAAGCTGTGCGCCATCTGTGGCGGGAACAACTTGCAGTTGGAGGGATTGAGAAGCCAATGTGGCATTTATAGCTGGTCTTGTTCAAGAGTATGTCCGGGAAGCTTCCGTAGTTGGACTTTATCCGTCCGTCTTCTACATAAGCCGAGAAATCAAGAATGAGTACTAGCTGTAAGGACTTACTTGCAGTGTATCGTGATTTTCCAGTCTCTCTTCGATGGCTTGTTATTACGTTCCCTTGCAATGTTGCAACCCTTCAGTTCTTCCTTGTCTCCAAGTGAGACCACAAGTGGTCAGGTCCCACGCAATCCAGTCTTGATGAGATCAATTCAACTGTACACTAATTCACAATAGTGGAAAGAACTTATTATTAAAACTCAGCTAGCTAAACGACTCATCTCTCCGGTCCTCCTCCGTGAGAGTTGGTCGTGACTTATCCTTCACTGTAAGAAGTATTTGGAAAGAGTAAGTGAGGGTACATTACGTAGTCCCTTCTTAAAATGATTCACTGATCCCGCTCCACTTGGGATCCCTTCTTCCTTTATTAATTAACCAATCAGTGGTTGATCTTGGGTCGCACAATAGATTATGCACGCCTTCATTTCCACTTCCTTCCGGGCTCAGTTCCGAATTTGCTAATTGGGAAAGTGTCGGAAGGTGGCGAGCCTTTTCCATTGGTCACCTCTCTTTGGTTGCCTCATCCCTCTCTGGGACTTGGCTAGAAGAAGGGTCCGCTTGGGCGTGGTCAATTTTCCAATACGATCGACCAGATGTGGCATAGCCAAGAACAATGCAAGCATTGTCTTAAAGGCCGAGTGCGCACGTATGGTCATTGCATGTGTAGTACGTATGGGTTTTCGGTTGCAGTAAATATTTGTACTCAATGCTTCACGCATATCTGATATTCGTTTCGAATCTACTTTGGGGTTCTCCCGGCAGTAAACCCATTAGGTTCTACTGCACTGGGAGTATGAGCACGTTCCGCTAGAGTTTTCCAGATGTTTTATGACACTAGTACAAATAATTATGAGCAGGAAAGTTTTGAAGTCTTAAATACAATTTTCATGACATTACTTGTCAGATATTTTATTGCCTTATTAAACGGAGTCTCTTATTCTCAAACAAAGTTAAAAATTTGTATTTGAACAAACGCAAACAAACAAACAAACAAACAAACAAAAACACACGCGTACACACACACACACATACACACGCATATATATATATATATATAAATTATTTATTATCACTCCAATAATTCGCATAAGTCCGTGTATATGAAACATTGAGGTAAATACTATTGATTTTTATTAATTAATTTATACTTTAAATTGAATATAAAAAATAAATAATTTTTCGGGTCTCTTCATTAACTTTATTTCTGTATCACATTTCATAACTAATATTTAATAATTTCATTTTATACATAGAATTTTTTACAAGTACTGAGTTAAACGTAGTTTTATATGATTGTGAATACACATATTGAATATAAGTGTTAAGTAAATTCTTTTATATGCTGATTTCTTTGATGAAATTTTAGTTCATTAAAATTAGTATTACAGTTTTTGAATAATTTGTAGTTTAAACTTGTTTAAAATTCGAAATTTACTTAGTGAGATATACATGAGTTGAGTCAAATCTTCATAAAAAATAAGTATATTAATGCTCGTTATATTTTTCCTATTTTTTAGTTGCATTTAGTTGCAAATATTTCCTTTTTAATTGCAATAGATTTTTACTATGTCTGTTAACATTATTTATTTATATATAATTTACATTATTATTGCACATTAGTTACTTTTTCTTGTGTATAATGACGAGTTTTACATATTCTTCTCTTTCATAATTACATTATAAAAATTATTCCAACAGAATTCTAAGCTAATTCTAAAAGTAGAAAAGCTACTTATTATAAATTAATTATTAACAAATATAGAATAATTTTATGCATTGATTACTCTTTTCTATTGTATAGAAAATGCAAATTCCTCAAATACATAAATATTCAGGAATAAAATATAATATACTTAGGTGCTTATATCTACTTTTAAAATATATATTCTCTCTTACTGATACATCACATTTAATGTAATTACTGTTTTTCAGCAAAGTAGCAGGAATTTTACTGAATATAAGTAATTTACTTTATTACATATGATTTACCTACAATATATATTATCTAAAATAATATAAAAAATCGTAACATTTTCACCAATAACTGATTAGGTTATTAATTTATTATAAAAAATAATGTTTTACACCAGGTTATTCCGATATTGAATCAGTTTACAATATCATATAATAATAATAATAATATTAATAATAGGAACAAGAAGAATAAGAAAAATACTATAAGTAAAAATAATAATATATTTTTGGTGTTTTTAACCGTGAATAAATATAGTGAATAATAATTTAAATTAAAGTTATTAAAATGATGCTGCTGCTAATTGTTTATAATATTGTTTATCTTAATACGTGTGTAGTTGCCTTTAAATATCGGTCGTAAGAGAGCCGAGATGGAGGTTATGCGAAGCTGTGCGCCATCTGTGGTACCTTGTCGGTTTTGCAGAATCGATTACAATGTGCGCTGTGTAGCTAAAAAATCAGCTTACTTATATGAATATGTCTATGGTGGATATATGCGAAAGCTTGATGCTTGATTGGATCGCGGACATAATGTGAACTTGTGCTTATGAGGTGCTGACCACGAGCTTGAGTGTCGTGGAACTTGAGCGCGAGTTAAACTTGAATCTATCGCGGGTATAACGCGAATTATGAATTTCAATAGGTTGTATCGCGGGCAAGACGCGAGATATGAAATTGTGTGTATCGCGAGCAAGACGCGAGATCTGAAATGTGGGTATTGTTACCTCAATTCGGAGTACAGCACCGATTACAATGACATCTTATAGAAGGTGCAGCATCGACGCCTTATCCGAAGGTCAGGATCCGAAGACAGTAGTCTTTCAGAAGGCGCAGCGCCTCGTCCAGTGATCAAGTATGAGTGTGGTGGCCGCTTTTAGTTTAGCGCGTCTCCTCTTAGCTGACTCAAGCAAGAAATGCCCTTATAGCTGGTGTCGTTCTGTACACCTTTGGCCGTTCACCGGAGCTTTGCGATCGTATAGTGCCTATCACGGCTGGTGCATTCGCACCATCAGTGCCGTACGAGGCCGGGGCGTTTGCGCTTTCAGTATATGGCTTTTAATTTAATTCACACAAATTCTGATCTTACCTGTGATACGCAGTTGATACGCTTCTTATTTCGTAAGCACTCTTGGAATGCAATCAGCACTCTTGGCTGCTTGAACTATGGCGCGCTTAAATAGTTGTTAAATGTATTGGTTTCACTATTGGCTTACTAGCTTATTGTTACTTATGAATAATGTGCGTATATTTAGTAAAACTCACTGAAGCGCACCGGTGTCTGTTACTATGCCGATTATTATCATGACGTCACTAAGATATAGCCTTGGAGAGTTCATCGACATTCGATTCATCATCATTATTCATCAATATAAATACTTCGATCAATACTACGACATCGACATCAATATTCGAGCATTCTGCGTACTGAGATCTTCCGAAATCGCTGAATTGTGTTTACAACGTAATGTATAGATGTTGATACCTCTCCCACTTTTGTATTCCGCTTTATCTGCTTCAATCCGTAATTACTTTATTATTATATAATCTTGTTTTGAGTTAGACAATGTCCATCAGTTTCCTGGTGGGAAAATAGTGTGGATAAGTGAAAGGGGTAGCGCTTCAATTTCAGTATTCAACACATCTGCTTTTCGTGCTTGTTTATTGCGTTTTACTTACAACTAGACTATATTGTTTCTATGGTGACTATGAGAATCGCTGAGATCTTACTGTTCTTTGATTGTTGCCACGTGGTTTTAACATGCACTACATGTAGAGGTAGGTGGTTGTAAGTCTCCGAATCCGCTTGACGCTGTCCGCCTGGTGGTGGAGTACTACACGGACAAGTGGGAGGTCAGAAATCTCTAAACACCTCGTAGAAACTCCTCCCTGATGTCATGTGGCGTGTAAGTATGAAGAAATAGTTCAATACCTTAGTGTCTCGTTTAGTGGTGTTTGTTTTCACCGATTCGTAGAAGTGAAACTTGCTAATTTACTTACTATAAATGTGGCTCAGTGTCAGAATTGCTGTGGTCGTGAAAGTTGCTACGATCTCACTTGAATATTTCTCAAACTGAATTATATGTTATCACTACGCCACTGATTTATTCGTCCAACACCTTTTCCCTACCATTTATCTAGTTGAATACGCACACGAAACTAAAAGTGTGTTCCGTCTGCGGCAGCCCTGCTAAGAGAGAGAGAGAGAGAGAGAGATTCTCTCGTAGTGCTTACTTAAATACCCACGTGGCAGCCTAGTTAATGGTGACAACAATGGAAGCGATTGTGGTGCTAAAAAACAATGGATGCGATTGTGCACTTTTTTTCGGATGTTACAGCTTTTTTCCGAATGTCAACGATAGTTGGGGTTTTCCCAGAAATTATAACCGTTGGACGATTTCCCTGAAATTATAACGGTTGGGACTTTCTGAGAAATGATAGCGGTTGGGCTTTCCCCCGAAATGATAACATTCGAAAGATACTCGGAATCTCGAACAGTCATAGTATTAACATCTTTCAAACATTTATAGTGTATGTCTTATTGAATAACTGAAAAGGCCATTCAGTATATTTATAACAATTATAAAATTTAGCTTATACCGAGCACTACTACTTATCTATTTATATAAACAAATTTAATATCTGAAATATATTAATAATATGCATGCAGTAGTAAATTATAATATTTCTTAAAAATAATTTTAAATAGAATTTCAACAGATAAGAAAGTGTAAACGATATTCATTATTACCATGAAATTTAATTAGTAAATTCAATGTATGGATAAAATTACGTATGCAATGAAAAATGTTTTCACCATAGAATGTCATATTTGCTCTTCGGACAAAAGTTACTAATTTATGATATAACTACTAACTGTATAATAAAATTTAGCGACATTTATTTAGTTTTAATCTTTTTACTAACGTACTAATTACTAATACAAATCATATTCTTAAATAATATTTATTAATTAAAAATACTTTATATTTGGTTGAAGCATTATTTATTTTTTCCAATTGTTTCATTCCATTTGTTCTATAAATTTTAAGAATAATAATTAATAGAGTGTTTTAGAAAATTAATTTTAATTTTTCAGGCACTATGATATTGAAATCCGGCGGTGATTATGCATATATAAGTGATGCTTTTGGACCACTTCCAGCTTTTCTGTATTTATGGGTAGCATTATTTATTTTAGTTCCGACAGGAAATGCAATAACAGCACTCACCTTTGCCCAGTATATATTACAGCCTTTGTGGCCGGTTTGTGATCCGCCTTATGAAGCCGTTCGGCTACTCGCCGCCATTATTACTTGTTCGTGATATTTTCATGTAGCATATTACAAGACTTTATTAAACATTATTTGGTTATTAAAAAATATTATGTTATTAGCTTTAAATAGATGAAATAGTTATTTCAATTTATTTTTAACTATTTTTTAGTTTGAAATTAAAATGATTTACATTATGATATTTTATCTTATCGAATCTTTAAAATATTAATAATAATTTCTAAAATATATCAATCTATAAGTATATTTTTTAAATAGTTAATTTAGATAATCACTGATTCTTTTAGTAGACTTTGTTTCTTATATTTGAAAACCAAACTTTCAAAACTTTGATATGTTCACACCGACATAAACTTACATATAAATTACTTATAAATAATAAATAATATATATTGTAAGCTGTTTCAACTTTTTATGATATTGTCGATTGAAATCATAGTAACATTAAGAACACTCAATATATTTCTTACATATATTAAATATTGAAATATTACTAATTAGAATTTAGTTCTATATTTTAATTACTGTATATTTTAATCATATAAAATATTTGGTATACAGGCTTTTTAACAGCTATTAATTGTTGGAATGTCAAATGGGTTACAAGACTTCAAGATATTTTCACAGGAACAAAAATATTTGCACTTATAATAATTATGTTTTCTGGTCTGTGGTGGGTTTGTCTTGGCCATACAGAGAATTTTAACCATCCAACAGTAGGAACTAATACAGAACCAGGATATATTGCGCTCGCTATTTATTCCGGACTTTTTTCTTACTCTGGATGGAATTATTTGAATTTTGTTACCGAAGAACTTGAGGAACCTTATAGGTAATTTATAAATAAGATATAATGTTTCTGCAGAAATATATTTGAAGAAATAAACGGTAATTGATTGTTTTATAATGTTGAATTGATTATCACTCTATAAATTTACAGTAAATGTATAGTAAATTTAATGTAGAAGTAATCTTATTACTAAATTTATAACTTATAAAAATATTTTAAAATATACTCTTGTGATTTTTTGTTTTGTTTTTAACAATTTGAATAAATTCTTGTATTTTATTGTACTTTTATTCGTATTTTGTTAAAATTTTATTTCCACTACAAATATATTTTATTATATTCATTCTGAGAGCTATATTTTGTGCTTTTTCAAAAAATATTCAAATGTCTTGTAACAATTCAATATAATTACTTGAAATATTCAAATTCATAGTAATATACCTTAAAGATCTTTTTATGAAATTGGATGAATTTTCTGGCTGTGACATGAATCTTATATCTTTGTTAATCAAAATGCTTCAAAAATCAAACTGTAATTGTATTAATAATTTTCTAAGTTTATGCATATTATTACCATAATTTGTAATTTGATTACACCACTAAGATTTTATTTTGCACTATAATTAACAGACTTTTATTATTTATTGACTAACAAAATATTTTCGTTGCCTATTTTTTAATACATTTTTCATCTATACTATTTACACATTAATCTACGTTTTATATAATGTAGTTGTTCGAAATTGTAAAAATACTCCCAAATCATTAGAAATTTGGAAAACTAGCCATTAAGAGTTCCGAAAAATGCAGGCCCTTAAGTATCTAGCGAAAACAAGTCGTAAACACATTTGGCGAGAACATCCCATTAAGTATCTGATGAAAGCAAGTCATAAAACACATCGGTCGTAAACAAATCATAAAGACAGCGGGATGATACATGCCAGACGCTTCACTCAAAAACCACACTACACCTAATCATTACAACTTTTACGATACATAGCGCATATGATCATGAGATTTACTTGCAACGGTATTAGGATGGAGAGGGAAGAGCGCGTCAACAAGTCCCCATCATGGAGGGGATTCGAGTAAGACCCGCTCTCATTGGAGCCTCCATCATGAAAAAACGCACTGGTGGGAAACCCCGCCACTTCAGAAGCACTCTGATTGGAGATGCCATAAACTAAAGGAGACATCTGATTGGATACACTAAGAAGGAGAAATCTGATTGGAGACACCATAAACGACAGGAAAGCTTTGATTCGAGACGCCAAAAAGGAGGGAATTGTCATCAACCACCGCGAGACCGAGAGAATGCCCTTAAAAAGAAGGCGCCGGCAAGGCACAGAAGCTTTTAAAAAACAACAGCCAAGTAAAACGTGCACAAACAATCAGAAAAACCAAGAACAGATAATAACGCTAAAATTATTTAACTTACAATAAGTACCAGATAAATAAAACATTCACAGTCAGCGGTGAAAAAAAGGAAAAAAGGAACTAAAAAATAACAGTTCGCACAGAATACATAATCATAACCTACAAAGAGCTGCTCGAGGCAAATTCAGCAAACAATACGAAGAATAGCCAACAAAACATCATGTGCAGAACTATGAAGTAAAGTTCCATTCCTAATTAATACATAACTATCACGAGCCGTACGCGGCCAACCTGCGGATACGTAAACGCCATTAGAACTACCTGCAAAACCCAAAACCAAGCAATTCAAGCTATCGCCACGTGCCATTACAGAAGGAAGCGCAGGGGTTTACGACCTTGTTCTTCTGCGTGTATAACTCCACCACCACGTGCATTACATATAGAGGACTAGAAAAGTTATGACCTTCTACCTGTACATGCAACGCACATTACTCTGCAGCAATAGCAATACACGCTTAAGAAACGAAAACATTCAAACATCAACTAAAAATCATTATAATACAACTAATACCGTTATCACAATAAACTACAAGAAATAACGAAACTATTTATTAGCGAATACATGCACTATCCTGTCCACTTGCTCGCAATCCTCCTATCAACAATCTGGGAGTTTATACCTAACTTTAGATATTTGGCTCTCCTAGCCCGGTACTCTATTTTTAGATATATGTAATGAAAATTGTAAATTATATTTCTTTTCAGATATTTTATTAAATAACAGTTTTAATTATATTACATATAATAACATTTTTTCTATTTTTACCAAGTAGTGTATTTAATGATCTTATACAAATATTTTACTAAAATTTATTCATATTTGCATCCATTCTTCATATATTAAATGAAAATATTTTTAATATATTGCTTTGTATATATTTAACATTGATTATAAGATAAGTATTTAGCACGTAATTATATATCGAATTCATACCGATATTCTATATAGTTTGTTGCAGATAAGAACATTCAATGTTAAAAAATTTGAGTTTATTAATAATTAAATAATTATCATATTACCAAACTGCTGTTTTAATGTTCTCTTAGATTGTTGATTATGAGAGTAGTGATTCGTTACATTTTAAATATTAGTATAGAAATATACAAATACTCACAATCATTGTGTATAATAATTTATAATTATTTAATTTAATATATCCTACATAAATTTAAATAATTTTTAAAGAATATATTTAAATGAAAATTAGAAATTATATGACTTTGACGTAGATATTTTTTCTAGAAATCTTCCCCGTGCAATTTGTATTTCAATGCCTCTTGTTACTGTGATTTATGTTCTCGCAAATTTATCGTATTTTGTTGTTTTGACACGAGATGAAATACTTGCATCAAATGCTGTGGCAGTTGTAAGTATAAATAAGTTGTTATATCTGATGTGGATATAATAAATTATATGATTTCTATTTCATTAAATATTAACGAAATTTCTAGGAAACAATATTTTTATTTAAAAATTTTAAATACAATTTTATATAAATTTATAATTTAAATTTACTTATTAATTTTTAATATTTCATCAAGTATTTATAATTTTTCAGTACTACTTCAAGTATTACACGAAATTACTTACATCCTGACCCTATTTTGAAAACATTATTTCCTTGCAATTTTGATATTATAACAGTATTTTTATTGCTAGGAACATGTATTATGGAATTTTATAATTATTCAAAATAACTTTTTATACTTATTCATAAATAAGTAAAGAATTATATATATATGAGTATAGAAGCTATTTTTTATTATTATCAAATACTTTTAAATATTATTTGAAAAAATTTTTTAAATTTTCGAATGCGAATGGATGTTCGATATTAATGGTTTAGTTTATGGCTCAAACTACCAATTAAATATTTCAGTGGATTAGTCTCTCGGCAGGATAACTTTAAAAGGAAATAATAATTGACAAGGCTGAAAATATCATGTATTTAGTAAAACAATGTTTATTATTTGTAAATAATTATAATTAATATTGCAATGTTGTGTAAAGAGAGATTATTCTATTGAGGTAATGAGGGTGTGTCCTTGTAATCTTGATGGTGATAGACTCTATTGATGATACAGTGTATCTTGTAAATGCGGTTATGCTGATGTTGTAAGTATCAGCTGATGTAGTCAGACAATCATGCGTATGAGGTAGCATGACAAAATAATCTTTACGTCAAGTGTGCTAGATTATTTATTTAGATTATTATAATTAATTATAGGGGCAGTAGAAGAGCTAGTCATACAAAGGTGTCATAAATTATAAGCCTTAGAACTCTTGAAGGACTTATTGATGTGTATTAATGGTCGATTAGTCGATATACTGTAGTCTGGTCTTGAGAATGACCTTGACTTATTGCGTCATCTGTGTTGACTGTTTTGGGAATGCACGACGAAGGGATGCTTCGAGAGAGCGTGCTCTGTCACCGGACGACTGTTTGGGTCTGTGTGAGGTCGAAGCATTGGTTCGACCGAGAGAATGTGAAATTGCCCGTTTTATTCTTATGTGAGTTGTGACTAGCTTATTTATTAATATAAAAGAGGTACCTTGTAAACTGCTGACAAGGTCTATTGATTGCTGCGTAATTAATATCCCCTTTGATTACTATTTCATTGGCTTCACTGTAATCACTATCTAATCTGCACATTTCTTATTCTTATGCACACGTGTATTTTTAACTAGGTTGCCGAATATATGACCACGTGTCGTCTTCACAGTATACTGAAAACACTGAGCGGCAATTACACTTGAGTGAGCGCGAAGCGCTTAAATATGTATGCAGAAAATTCTTTGTGGCGTTAAAAAACGAAGCTTCTAGAAGTTTCGTAGGCGTTCTTCCTTTTTGAGATCTGATAGTATATTAGATTTCAGATCGTAAAACTTGCTCGGACTTGTCGATTTTTGTTTATAAACATTCGCCCGAACGCGCGTGCCGTACGCCGCACAGCGCGTATGAGCTACTCTTTCTGAAATTCATGGAACTGCATCAATCCCGAACAATGGATTATAGTAACATTACTTGAACACCATAAATAGAGCTGGTATTTATATAATAGAATATATACAGCTGTTCAGGATTGAACCACCCAACAAAAAATAACAATTTATTGTTTGTTATAATACGATTCCGATACATTATATTTAGATTATGGCGCAATATTTGGATTATACGTTACAAAAATTCACTGGAAATTTAGCCGCGCACTTTGTCCGCATAGCAACAAAAGAAGCTTCTCGAATTTATCAAAGCTTGCATCCAGAGAATTCACTAAAGCCTCCAAGAATTTATAACACCAAATGTACGCAATCGTATTTAAGAAGCAACGAACGGAGAAGAAAAGCAGTCTTGTTGAATTATTCAAGTGAAACTATTGCCAGTCATATCTGTGAAAGTCAAACTCGTCTAAGGGATTTCGTGCAAGGTATATTTATTATATATATTGATTATTCGATTATTATTATTGCTGGCCAGCTGTCGGTGCGTCTTCTGCAACGTGACGCTAGTTAGACCGCATTGAGGACGACAATATAGACTGGCGCGTCGAGCATATTACTTACACTTTTCGCGACCTCTCGCCGATTTCTCATGACCGTTCGTGGCCTACGTCTACCTTATCATATTTATTAGTAGAACTCGGCCTAGCTTTCCTCATCACTGTGAGATATTGCCGGTCACGCCACCCCGGGCAGACTTTTCGTGATCATTCGCGGCCCACGTCTACCTTATCAGTGAAGCCTGTGCGACTTGATTCTTCTCAAACCGCTAAAGAGGGCGCCGATACTGATTAGTAGACCTCGGTCTAATTCTCATTATCACTGCGAGACATTGCCGGTCACGCCACAACAAAGTGATTCTGATCAAACCATAAAAGAGGGTGACAACAATTCGTAATAATCCCCACCACCGCCACGAGCCAAATTCAATTCTAGCGTCAAGTCAAACGCCTAATTAGTCGCGAGCCGAATCTCGCTTAGTACGATTCGAGCGTCGACTCAAGCGTCTAAGCATCCGCGAGCCGGATAATGCCCAGTAAAATTCTAGCGTCGACTCACACGACACAACTGTCGAACAAGAAAGACTCCGTAGATTTATAAGCTAGAACCCGTAATCAGTACTCCCGAGTTACTTTACGAGGCTTGCACTCTCAGACGTTGTTCCGACTTAATATTAGCTGTCTAGTTACTATAATCAACAATACTCACTATAATTAACAACATCAATATTACTGTAACAGCTACTTGAATAAAGGTCACTAAAACCAATTGTGTTTACCTGAATTGACCCCCCCCCCCCCCCCCCCGTAGCCATTAAACCGGTGGTACGGTATAATCCACCCACCGTGATCTTCGATCATACTGGTGGTTGGAATTCCAAACAACAGCTATTTATATTAGTATTGGAATATTTAATTCCGTATCTTAATACAAAATTTGAAAATTTATTTGCAATTTGACATCAATTTTTATTTACAAAGAGATGTATGACTTAAGATACATAAACACAATCACACACACGTATACACATATTTATAGGATTGTATTTATCCTTTATTTAATAATTATTCTAAGATATAAATATGTGGAACATAAATTCACGTAATCATTTATATTTATTTAATATTGTTCGGTATTGGAGCATTTTATTTGAGGCCTTCCGTTCTCGGAATATTTACATTTTCTCACATTGATTGTCCAATTATCCAAAAGCAGAATTCTCGAACGTTCTACAAGACTGCCTAGCCTTCGCGTAGCAACGTCGATTGAATTCTCGAATCTTCCGAAAGCTTGGATTATCGATCGTTTCCGAAGGCTGCTTGGTCTCGAACGATTACGTTGCTTTCGCCAAATTCTCGAATAGCTGAAAGCTTGTTTCGAGCTACAGTTAGTTGCTACGCCGATACTTAAGTCAAGACTCCACGTAGTTTACATAAAGCAGTCATTCATTACACAGTGCCAGTTATTCCTCCGAATCAGTCACTCGTCCTAGCCAGTCATCTACGCCCAAGCCATGCTATCGCGCGGAGTATACACCAAGGAGGTCACGCAACACATGCTCTCTCAGCGCAGCCTTTATGAGGAACGCTCGTTCAGTTCTCCAGTGCACATAGACAACAATCTGTCAAAGGCTAACTGCCGTTCTAGAAAATAGTCCACTACACAAAGCATGGTATCTGATCCTTCTACACTCGAAGGTATATCATCTGTCTTTATTGAGAATAACTAGCACACAAATACACCCATACTCCCTTTATGAGTATGGCCGTCTCTTTGCTAACTATCACTACCACCTTCTCATGCTCACCTGATGAGCATGATCGACTCTTCTTGCTAACTTTTACAACGTCAGCATAGAACCCAACAAGCCATATTCCCCTTCAGGGAATATACAAAATTCATTGCTGATCCCCATAACATCATCAACGACATTGACACCATTACCAAGGAGCAACCACATCATTGCAATATAATAATTCCCTCTCTCGCATAGGAAGTGAACATAGAACTACAATACTATAATTGTTAATAAAAGAGAATAAACGATGTCTTAAACGCTGTACATATTTACAGCCCATCCACATGGGTGGTTTCCTAAGCATCGCTACGGCAAGATACTAATAAATTGAATTATTGAATTTGTAGTTCGAGCCAGAAAATAAACTTTCGAACAAATATAAATATTATATAAATATAATACTCACAAAAGTTTAATATAAATGAAATAGTCTATACAAATACAATAACAGAATGAATTAATAAATATAGATTTATTACGAAAAATTAATATTTTCTTGCTCTAGACTTTCGGTGATAAATTACTTGGACCTATGGCGTGGATAATACCATTTTTTGTAGCGTGCTCAACATTCGGTGCTTTGAATGGTGCAATTTTTGCCAGTTCAAGATTATTTTTCGTAGGTGCACGCAACGGTCATTTACCTATTGCAATATCTCTGATCAACGTGAAAAAACTTACACCGATACCATCTCTTATTTTCCTTGTTAGTATCAATATATTTCTCACAAAACAATCTATAAATGTTTTTTCAAGGCAAATTATTTATATATATTATTAATTTTCAGTGCATAATGACACATCTATTATTATTCATAAAAGATGTTTACGTCTTAATAAATTATGTAAGTTTCGTTGAAGCCCTTTTTACCATGTTATCAGTCATGGGCCTTCTTTGGCTGCGATACAAAAAACCGGATCTTCATAGACCTGTAAAAGTAAGTATAAAAATTTTGTTTTTATTACTACTTAATTAATAATAATTCCAATATAATATCAAAGCTTCTTATTAAATTTTGAAACTAACAAAGATATAAAAGTCAATTTCTTAATTAAATAATCGCCAGTCATTTTTTATATCTATTGAACATTATAAATTTTACTTATCATACATAAAATAAACGTTCATTTTAATTGTAACAAACTAATTTTTTAAAGTATTAAGATTTACTTAACATAAATTATGTAGTATGTTAAATTTGTAAGGAAATAAATATTTTTCATAATTTCTTCATAATATGTTAATAACAACAGATTATATAAAAAATTCGAGAACTAAAAGAACTTAAGAATTTTGGAAATACTGTTAAAAAAGAAAAAATATTTTGAATGCAAAAACAATAAAATTCTATAAGAGTTATTTTGACAACTTTAGAAGAAAACTGAAGAATCATAAGAATATTTTTATATCTCGAAGCAACAGAAGTTATTATTTTTTTATTATACTTATAAAAATTTATACTAATTTACAGTGTAATGAATGTGTTGATGAATGAATGAGTATGTGTTTCCTTGTGTTCTTGATTATTGTAGATTCTATGGAGAGTACAATGGATCTTGAATGACGGTTTTTATGCTGATGTTATAAGGGTCAGCATGTATAGTCGATCATACTCATGAATGAGCATAAGAAGATGGTGTTTGAATCAAGTATGCTTGATAGATGGAATAACTATACTTGATAGAGTGTAAGATGTTTTGATGGAAATTTGTGCGTAATCAACTATGGTTTTAATTATGTTGGGAATAGTAAAAAGACTAATCACAGGTAAGAGTCATAAATGATAAGCCTTAGAGCTTTAAAGGATTTCATTAAATCTATTTATAGTCGATTATTCTATCTATTGTTGTCTGGCTTTGACAATGTGCTTGACGTATTCCGTCATTTGTGTCGACTGTTTAAGGGACTGCACGATGACGAAGTATTAATTCGAGACAGCGTACTCTATCACCTGTTGACTGTTTGAGGGCCTGTACAGTTTCGAAGTGTTAGTGCGAGAGCGCGTAAGTTTACCCGATCGACTCGTGTGGGCCTATACGGTGTCGAAGTGTTAGTTCGAGAGCGCATAAGTTTGCCCGATCGACTCTTGTGAGCCTGTACGGTATCGAAGTGTTAGATCGAGAGAGAGTAAGTTTGCCCGTGTGATTAGCTTATTTAATAATATAAGGAGATGTACCTTTTGAATTGCCGATAAGGTATGTTGAATTACTGCGTGGCTGATGTGTCCCGTTTGATTACTATTCCAATTGGCTTCATTGTAAAATCACTACCTAATCTGTTGATTTCTTTTTATTTATGCACACGTGTATTTTTTACGAGTATGTGGTCACGTCATAATATTTTAAAACACTGAGTAATAATAACAGTTGAGTGAACGCGAGATATAATAACAATGAGCCTATAAGCCTTTTGAATACGCGCACAAAGTCGAAGGCTTGACCATTTCGTAGCGGCTCTGCTGAAAATACCGACTGTTCCATGGCGGTCCTGTTGAGGGCAGATCGAGACCCGTGTGCCATGGCTTCTACTGGTATATGGTTAGATCGGTTCACTGCGTTCGGGTCACGGCAAGATGTTAGCCGCAAGCGCAGTTGAGCGAGGGTGGTTCGATAAGAGATGATTAGCAAGAGAGGTGTTCAGTAGAGAGGCGTTCAGCAAGACAGCGAGGCGCGCCGCGTGCTTGCCTTATACGCAGTTGAGCGAGGGTGGTTCGATAAGAGATGATTAGCAAGAGAGGTGTTCAGTAGAGAGGCGTTCAGCAAGACAGCGAGGCGCGCCGCGTGCTTTCCTTATATGCGGCTCACTTAGCTGGCAACAAAGCATCGTCGTTGTTGCACTGGAATCTTACACGAGGCGTAGAAAGAAAAATTTAGAACTTTCGAAAATTCGACGAAAGAAAAAATAAGGCTTAATACCGACAGAAAACTTCCGGGCGATATTATTACCCGAAGACCGTATAAACATTACGGGCCACTTGAAACCAAAACAGAACAAGTAGACGAAAAATTCTCATCCAAGTGTTTACAGAAATCTGAGATTTAAAAGGGCTGTCGATGCCGACAATCGGCGGTCTTGAAACTGGCTTCAATCTCGAACAGTAGATGTTACTAGAATTTAAATTTTCTTAGAAAATGATTTCATATGAAATCTTATATAAAAACTGTTTAATGACTTATTTTTTATGCAATGCATATATTTAAAAAATAATTTTTATATATAATAAAATAATATTGAATATTTTTACATTATTTATAATTTTTAATTTCCAATAAAATATTCGTTTATATACTTGATTTGGTAACTGCACCCATCCATCTTCTTTGTTTTAAACTACCAACATTTTTAAGACATTCCTTCTGGCCAGATTGCCTCAATAAATTAAAGATTATGTTTATTTTCAGAATTTTACATTTTGCACAAAGTTATTTTATTCATGAGTAAAATATATTCTTTGCTATACTATAAATCTAGCATAATTTATCTTTGTCGATAGATATTCCTAAAAATTGTTTTGTTTATACATTTTTAATACGATATAAACATTTGATTGAACTAGCTTGCTTTATTAATTATGTGAAATAGTTATGGACAAAATGAAAATTTCTTATTGTACTAATTTAATATTAATAACGATTTTTCCTTTTAATTAATTTTTTTCATTTGAAAAATATGTTATAAGACTTATATTTCTAGTAAAACCAATTCAAGTTTATTATTTTGAATTCAAAGAAGTTTGTAGTTTTATAGACTTTGCAGGTTACTCAATTATATAATTTGAAAAACAGTCATCCGAGTAAGAATTGCAAATGCGGACTAGTTTATATCGATAAATAAATGAATGTAAACGTTATATCATTCTATAATCAATTGTTGCAAGTTTAATTGAAGAGCTTATCAGAGAAGAAAAACAATAGCACTACTTTCTAGTTTTTCCCAGCATTAATTAAATTATTTTATTCTACTTATAACTATAATCTGCGAAAAGCTTTTAACTTTCCCAGGGATATACATTTTCCAAGAATATTGGACACAAGATCTCATATCCAAAATTTATTTCAGATTGAGGTAGTTTCAAGCAGAACTTTAAAACACAAGCTAGGATTATTTTCTATGTATTTAAACCAATTACTTAGCAATATTTATCCTAGTCTATATTAAATACGACCAGATGTTTATTCTGTTCTAATCGAGATCACTTGATTAAATGTTATAAATAATAAATTAATAATCATTGCAGGATGAGCTGCTTAAAGAAATTTAGAAAGGAAATATTAGATAAAAATTTCCTATTGATCGGATTTAAATAAATATATTATCTGTATTTATGAATTTGCTGATGTATCGAAGAAAACTGATGCTGTATTGATTTAAGAACTTAATATTTAGTTGATTTCTTTAATTAAAATCTACAAATTTTATGTACAATTTATTTATTTTCAATTTGCATTATAAAATAGTTAAATTTTGAAACATATTAAATAATATATCAAATTCTTCGAATAATGTTTTTCAAGTTTCTGTTAAATTTATTATATATAGTATCTTCTGAAAAAAATAATGTAAAAATAAGTAAAAACAAATAGATTATAAAACGTTTGAAAATTTGTTTATTTTTCTGTGTAACTTAGTTAACTCACTAAATTAAGCTAATAAAAGGTGTTCTGAGAAAATTTAGACAATGTGGACAATTCGAATTAATAGTCTTTGCTACAATTGGTTTTCACTCTATATTTTACATAAACTTTACTTCCATTATGATTTCCTAATTATGCAATTTCTCAGTGTACTCATTCTTTTTTTCATTGTACTGTTCCTTCATTCTACAGCTTGACATGGCTCTTAGTTTTTCATTGACTTCACATTTATAGTCCCTGTTATAAAGTGATATTTTTAAAATTCGTCTTCAAAATGTTTTAAAATATTATTATCTACTGATTTTGATTTGATTAAATCCTCTTTATTCAGACTTTTCATTCCATATTGATCATATAAATATAATTTTATGAAGCTAGAGCTAAATTTCATTAATATTTTGAAAACAGTTTTTTGCTGTTAATCTCAATAAAAAATTCACAATTTGAACAATTATCCTCAGAAGTTACACTGAAATTTGTTCTAAACTATTACCACTAACACAATTTTAAGTAGCTATTATATTTTTATTTAATCTTGAACATTTTGTTGATTTTCTACCAGATTTCTATGTAGTCCTAACTTTAAACACTTCATCAAAGAAACATGATTTTTTCAGACAAATCAACTTCCTAAAAACAACTTAAAAAATATATAGAATATGGGAAATATAGACAAGATAATGTCTCAATAATTTATATTGAAAGAAAAATATAACGTAAACATCATAAAGGTAAATCATCGCTAAATATATAGTGAAATTGACAAAGTTTACCATCATGTTACTGATCAATATCGAAGTATGTAATTTTAAACAGAATTTTGTTAAAAAGACTTCAGTCAATGTAAACATTACACACTTTCTTATATCCTTTGTTCAATGGATAATTTTTCCCATTTTAGTTTTGAATAAAATTGTTAAATCATAAATTATTAAATTTTAGCTTTCTAATAATATATAACATTAGTTGATTTTTACTTATTCTGTACCTCAATGTGCTAAAATTGTATCACACCTGCTATTTCAATTGTTAAACTTTTTTCTGATTGTAGTGTACATTTAGCTATTGTAATTTTCTACTCTACATACTTTTCACACCAATATGTCTCATTGCTTTTAGCTACTTTTTTGAGATAACAATACATCAAAGGATGAGTTACTTTGTATCTACTTATGCTTTTTATACATTGACAATTTAACGTATCATATATTTTCCTTGATGTCTCTAATATATTTCACTAAGTTCAGGAAAAATAATGTTTTTACTGCATCAGCAAATGTTTAACGAATTTATAAAATTGTGGTATTTTACATTTTATTAAGACACCACAGGTAGAAATCGAAAGGAATAATGAATGTTATCTGAGAAAAACACACTCCTGGTAACTCTCTATTGATACAGAGAAATTACACTTGCTCCATCCTGCACTTAACAGTACTTAGATTCTCAATTAACACATTTATAATTTCTCTTTATAATTCTTTTTTCATATATACAATGTTACAATAGTTATACTTAAAATATTAGCAAATTATGATAAAAAAATATGTTTTTATCATTTATGTAATAATAACTATGAGTTGTATTATATCTTTTAGAGTATTCAAATATACATGTTTAAATTCGTTTTTAATTGAATCTTTTTAATTTTTTAAAACTGTACAAAGACAAAAAAAAATTAAAAAATTATGTTTTAGTAAGCAAACTTAAAATCTGTTTAACTCGTACATTTTATAATCCAATATTATTAATGTTAATTTTATATTTTTAAGGTATCATTAGCATTACCCATAATATTCTTCATCATTTGTGCCTTTCTCGTAACATTTCCATGTTACGTTTCACCTTGGGAAGTTGGTGTAGGTGTTATATTTATATTATCTGGTATTCCTGTTTATTGGATCTTTATCTATTGGTCCAAAAAACCCAGGTGGTTGATATCTACTTCTTGTAAGTTTAATAATTATTCTTGAGAATATATTTTATTTTTAAATAGTATATATTTGTCTAAATTTAATAATTAAATATATTGATTTTCGTATTTTAGGTAATTTTATATATACGTTTATTTATTTTGTCACATCTAATTAACTATCCGTAATATATTAAGATAATATACCTTAATTATAATAAATTCTTAATAAATTAACATGATTATTTCTTAATAGCAAAGTATAATAAATTTAATTTAAAAAATATATAATGAAAAAGTATTTAATTTATATCATTTTAGTTTATAATTCTTATAATTTTAAAGATAATAATACACTGTTTATGCAATTAACACTATATTTGTAAATAAAAGATCATCTTTTTAGAATGTAATATACAATGTGCTGATCCTACGAATTCATTTTTTTCCCTGAAACTAAGATATTAGTAGTAGTAATGTAAAAAGCAAGAAATTTTTGGTAGTATAATACAAGTACAAGATAAATAGTTACAAGACCATTACAAAGTATAACATTTATAGATTGTATTATACTTAGCTAATTTCAATATATTGTTCATATTAAGATAGCAGAATTACTTATTGAATGAATCGTTGTTAATCTATCTCTGTTATTTTCTGCCAATTTCTATTTATATGTTACTAGTACCTAATAATAGCAAAATAAACTTTATTTAAAATAGCTATTAATCTTCTAAAATGAAATATTTATAAGTAAACAATAATTTGTTTTAAATATGTGATTTATATGATTTTTGTTTAGGATATTGTTAAAATAATAATTGGAGAATTATTTATATATTTATTTTACCTAATCAATTTCTAATTTGATAATTGGTTTCAATATACCTACATTAAAAAATTTAATATTATTATGATAATATAATATTTATAAACGTTTCTTTAATTTTGTATTTGTTAAATGTATATTTTTAAATAATTGAATAGAAAACTAAATTTTTTAAAAATAGTCTATATTATAAAGAAATTTCCTTATAATATTGGATTAAAATAATGGATATTTACATAAAAATATTTATTTATATATTGTATATTTTCTGGTATTTATGTAATACTAATGGGAAAATATTTAATTTTATTAATATTTTATATCAATAATTATGTATAAGTAAATATAAAAATGATTTCTTTTACAAATTTAATATTTAATTTTGAAGTGATAAATTTTTTAAAAGTATTTAAATTACTTAATCTACATATTATCAATATTTGTTTTTAACTTACATATTTATTTACAGATACATTCAACATAATATGTGCTAAAATATTTTTATCCGAACAAGAAGAGAAAAATTATTAAATAGTATTTAGTAAAAATATAAATTTTTTATAACAATAATCTACATATTTGAAAGAAGTGTAACACAATGAAACATATAAGAAAAATAAATAATTTAAACATATTTCTTAAATATACAAAAAGTACAAAGTTCTCATTATTTAACAATGTGAATTAACATATTTTGTTTCTTATTATTATAAGATAAATTTTAATATTGTAATGTATAATTGAGTTTAATCTAACATAAGTTAAGGTACATACAGTCATTCAATTCTTATAGATACTGGCAAAAATTTATTTGATTGTAATATCTTAAATTAGTATAATAATAATAATGATAATAGAAATAATTTATTTAATATAATCAAAATTTGAATAAAATATATTTTAGTGTATTGTACTTACTTTTAGTTTACTGTATTGTATTTATTTTAGGTATTAAAATTTTCAGTTATATATTGTATATATTATCGAAATGTAATAATTATTAATAATTTATATTTATATTTGTTCATTATTTAAAAAAATAATATATTTACTTTATATTGTTTGTTTGATAAAAATGAATGTCTTTATTCAACAGATTAAATAATAAAGATGATATAATTATATTTTAAACATTATATAAAAAATTAACTATGAAAATTATTTTAATTATCAAATAAAGTTTAGTAATGTTTTTCATAACAATATTAATACCAATGTTATTATTGAGTAATACTTTTAAATAAATAATAACATAATAATGATAAAACAATAAAAATGGTATTCCAAATTATTACATGCAGATATTTAAAATTTTTAATGTAGATATAATAAATAAATATATTTTATTTATCTAGTAATATTGAAATAATATTAAATTATTATTTTTAAAAATTCTGTATATTTATATTTGCAAGTTCAGTCTAATTACTAAATTTTTATAAATATTCTATTTTAATTGCACTATATATATGTAGGAGTGTGTAATGTTTACAATAGAAAAAAAGTTTAAATTAGTATTTTCTACAAATTTTGAAATAAATTTTATTTGATTTATTTTGTATTATATACCCAAGCTCTTTTTATACAAATTAAAATGTATTTTCTTCTAATTATATTATCAAAATTCATTGATGAAATAACAAATTTAAAAAATAAATTGTCATATATGTTGAATAATCCACCATAATTTATAATTAAAAATCAAAAGTTATATTGAACAATAATTTATTATTACATCACTAGTCTCCATTACCATTTACAAGAATTAAGTTTCTTGTTATTTATTTATTACATTACATATACTAGTATTTTAAACAATAATTGTGTAAACTTGTGTACTATAACAATAAGAAAAAGTAAGTAACTAATGTAATTTGTAAAACGATTAATACCAATTATAACAATTCACTCAATAATTTGTTATAATTAACTGTTACTTTACCTATTAACTATTAAATAAAATTCTATTAAAATATATATCAAGAATTATTTGATAATACTTTTTTCTATAATGCAAGAATATTTCATATTGATAATATGGTACATATAATGTAATATAAATTGATTTAATTCAATTGAATTTGATAAATGCAGTGATTTGAACTATTTTGTTAAAAAAATTATGCATTAAGTTCAAGTTTTTTATTATATTTTTGAAACGGATAAATAAATTTTTCATTCATGAAAATTTCCATAGTATATTTTTAAAATATATTATTTGACGATTCTTACATAGAATTATTTGTTTGAATTTATTTATAAGAAAACATGAATCAACTTTTCATAGCTCAAAAATATTCATGTATATGAAATAATTAAATTCTGAAAGCATATATTAATTTAGTTATCTACAATATTTATCAATTAATCAATTTTCAATAATAATACATTAAAACCTTGAATAAAAAAGTATATTCCAAATTATCTTTTGATTAATAAATAAAAAAAATTATAAGTTTTTATTACAGACATATAGTGGTATAATAAGCATTAAATATGCTTTATAATATTTCATTTTATGTTACATTTTTTTAAATACACATATAAAAAAATATAAGTAATCCATTCAAAAATCCAACAAAATAATTTATTTGTAATGATTGAGATTCAATGGATCTAAAAATAAAATATAATAATTAAAAATTTGTATACTTTCTTTTGTTTAAGTAATAGTTTTATTACCTTCTCTTTATAGGGCTAAATGGAGAAGGTGGATTGACACCAGGCACAGTACTATCTTTATAAATAATAAACCAAGTAATTCCAATAGTAGCTAAGCCACTAAAAGTTGCCTTAAATAGGTAATTATATCTATTTGAAGGTCCTATAAAGGCTTTATTTTTAATATTGTTTAATATAGAGTAGCTTCTATTATTGATCGGTTGTATAATTTGATCAATGTCGAGTTTAATATTCACTAAATCATTAAAATCTGTAAGAGTAAATATCTATTCCTATACATTTAAAGTAGTTCATAAGTTAGGTTTATTATAAATTTTATATCGCAATATCAAATACGGAAAAAAAACCACATATAAAACAACATTGTATTATATATTGTATTTATTTTATTATTGGAAGAATTAGTATTACAATGTTATCATTACAACTTTGTGTTATAATAAAGATGATTTTAACTACTACAATTTAAAAATAGTTTAATAAAAACTTTTAATCAGTTATAAATAAGAATAAAGCAAACAATTAAAAAATATAATTAATTAAATAAAACAAATTAATGAATTAAGAAATAGTTTTATAAACTTTATAGTTTATATTATTATAATTAAATTATAATTAAAACAATTAAAATAATACAGTTAGCGAATTTTATTATTACTAATAATGGAATGTATTTCTTACTGTGATTAAGAGATAATTTTCCAAGAAGAATAGACAAAGAAAATGTGAAGAGAAGTAGTGTAAATGTCCACTCATTAAATCGTAATTGTTTCCACAGTCTTTTAACAATTTTTCTAATAGAACCTGTTGATTTATTTTCTATTAACTGACAGTTTAAACTTATATATATCTTTTTCTCGTTTATCATGAATTGTGTTCGATGTTCCTCACACATTATTAATATAAAAAATGCGATCTTTTGATTGTATAGTTTACAAAAAATTAAAAATTATGAATCTTATTTCGAGACAGCATTAATTGTGCACAAAATTTTGTCTGCTATTATATTTATATTCTAGGATTTAATATCACGCAACAATTCATTTCTATTATCATTATAAATTTTCTCATACAGATTCATTATTTTATTAATAGTTAGAATGCAATCATTAAGCGTAGACAGATTCTGTTTTGAGACACGCGCACTGGAGATTTAGGCTTAATTTCAAATTTATATTTAAACTGATGTTTAAAAATATATATTGTATATATTTATTTATTAATATAAAATTAAAATAAAGAATATAATTGACTTTATTATTTTTATAAAAATATTTGTTTCTATTTACTTAGCTTATTTAAATTTAAAATACAGAAATAAGCATTTACTTTCATTTGCGTCGTTAGCTTGAATTATAAAATATATTGTAACCATATATGTCCGTTTTATGGTTCCTATAAATTTTGTTTGTTTTTACAACATTGCGAGAAAGAACAGAAATACAATGTGTAACCTACATTATTACAGGGGATAAAATAGCTTTATATTGGACACTCGCATACTCTAGTGGTAAGTGTATAAAAAGCAAAAAGGGAAAATTGAAAAAATACCCAACAATACAAATATAATAGAGAATGAAATAAGAAATACGACGTTCACTTGAATTTAAAGAAATTGGCTAAACATATAAATTGATAAATTGATATAAACTAATAAAGTGTTATCGCTAGAATCTAAATCTTAATATCTAAATTATTGAAAATGTTGAATAAGCTGATATTTTTGTGCACGTTGTCTCTTCTTCTGTAATTGTTTTCTCCGTTATTCTAGATGTATCCAAATTTTACTTATTACAAAAAAATTATATTAGGTGTGGGATATTAAAGAATTTTACTCGAAACGAATATTTTAATATATTAAATTTCGAAACTATAAGACATAGAAGTTTCAATCTGAACTTTATACATGTCAAGATTATTGTTATTCACTTGAGAATGAAAAGTCAATTTCGTTCATATTAATGCGTATCTTAACCTATTTTATAAAATATTAACAGTACAAATTTGTTCAACAATAAAAAAATCTTTAATTATGATACCCAGACTGAATAAGTATCAATAAGATTATTAAAGGAATTGTTTGTCTAATGTTCTTATACTATACAATTTATTTAAATTGAAAGATATCATCTAATAAATATAATTTTTTGTAATTGCAAACTGTAGTCGATTTGAATTAAGTATAAAAAGAATATCAACAGAAGTATAACAATGATAAAAATTAAAAATAATTTAAATAAAGGATCCTATAAAATGAAAAAACTGAATAATATTTATTCCATTGTAATTACAAATGTATATCATGAATGATTATATTGGTAATGTTAATTTTAATAACCATTTTAATTTTAAGAATTGTAGTTATCTAGTGTTATTTTAATTGAGGACATAGATTAAAATGAACAAATCTTAATTGAGAAATATACAGTAGTGTTTACTATAGAAATGTAATGGCATTAGGTAATTGAAAAAAAAATTAAGTAAAAGAAAATGATATTAATTTAGAACATAATAAAATTGTTGAAAAATAAATATACAATAGAATAAAATAGAAATTTTTAATATATTGGAATTATAGCTGTTATAACGCTAAATTTCAAATTATGCAAAATGTTTTAGTATTTATATTTCATATTTTTAAAACTTTAGCATATGTTTTTACTACTCTCTAAATTTACAGTCTCAGAATATAAAATAAACTATCCTATCTTGTGACTACAAACATGGAGTATTAATAATTATTTAAAAATAATTTTGATTTAGGTTATATTAATTAAAATTAATATTATTCATGTCCAATGTATTTATTTGTATTTGATATATGATCCTTTATTTAGACTATTGTTGAAAATTATAAATTATAAATTATCTGATTAAGATATTACATCTATTTTTAAATTTCATGATACTGTATTTTACAAACTATTGAGGATTACTGTTATAAATTAATAATTGTGTAAATTATTATTTCTTATTAAATTATAAGAACTGTTTCTATTTATATCAATATTTTATGCGCGTGTGTGTATGCATATGTGTGCGTATCTGTGTTCTATTAGAATTTGTTATATTTTTAATCATGAGAAAATGAGAATAGCAAATAAAATAATTTGGTAAAATGTAAATAGTAAAAATTTATATTGCCAATTACATTTGTATTCACTATTGTAATTGTTTGAAGGTTTCTTATTATTCTAAACATACTAAATATTAATGAAAATTTTAAAAAAGTATTGTAGCAAATGATAATATAAATGGAATCGGAATTTGGTACTAGACTTGACAAATAAACTAATTAATAAAGTTTGGTGCTACTGGCACTCTGGTACTAAACTTTGTAAATTGTATTAAAGATTTTAAATAATGTAATTACAAACACATTTTTACTAAGAAAATTTAAAATACCTTTTAACGGAAAATTGCAGAGTTTAATCGCGGTCATTTACGAACGTCTGCATCTTTTATTTTTTTAATAATGAATCAGAATTGTTAATTTATTACTTATTAAAAAGAACGATTTTAGAATAGCGATGGTATACAAACGTATGTGCTCCTTGCATTAAAATAATATATTCATAAATAACAATTTCATTAGGTTGTTTAAAGGTAAATACTATTAGTCACTTGAAATGTTATTACGATTTATATAAAATCTTTTTTTCCACCGACCCCGAAAATAATATTGTATTTATTTTATTTTCTAACACTGGAAGAGAATATTGAATAAAATTGGGTACAATAAACATGCATTAAGGTATACTTAAAAATTTCATAGCTATAATCGATAAGTTCTTTCAATATTTATTTGTTTTTCAAAATTGGTATAAGGTTTAAAATATAGCGAAATTTTTTCAAAAATCATTGAAATTGATGTAAATCTGATGGAAATCGAAATGGAGTAGTCTTACTAGAATGATAATCACTTACAATAATAAAGTTGTAGAATTATTGTAGCTTATGTGGATTAGCTACTAATGATATATCACGAACCTGTGCAATCCACATTGTATTCTATTTAAATATTAAAATTCCACTATGTAACACTGAATAATAAAATATTCCAATGCTTAATCGATAAGCAATTAACAACTTTTATTATCTTCTAATTTTAAGTTCTGGGTAATATTCGTCAACATAGATTGATTCTGAATTATTTTAATTATAATAGTTTAAAATGCAATATTAAATTATATTTTTTCCATTTAACAGATTATGTCTAGAATTTAATTTTGATTCTTCAGAAAGCTTGATTAGCTTATTAAATATTCTTTATACATTATAGAAATTTCTTTCAATCTCCACATGTAAGATTGAAATTGGTAATAAAAAAGTATGAAAATTATATGTATCAATGCTCAATAAAATAACTAAAAAATTATGTCATTTCATAGATATTATTTTGCTTTAAATAGGAATCTCGTAATATATTTAATTTTAATATATTTAAATAATAACATAGTTTGTTCACTAAACTTAATAGTAATTGTTCTTTAAATTGATTGTGTTACAAATGTGATAATAATTGCTATTTTTAATGATATTAACATAAGCGCGTTAGAATGAATGATATTTTTCTTGGCATTAGTATAAAATTTTTTTCTAAATATATGTACGTGAATACAATACAACAATTCTAATTACTATTCAAATTTAAATTTGAAGATTTTAGAATATTTTTAAAACTATATATATTGATAAGTTGCATAACAGGCAAACTTACATCATTATAACAGAATTATTTTTATAAAATATGTTATATATTTCAATTTTCAAAACAAGTTTTACAGTTATTTATTAACTAATCGATACTTATTATTTTAAATATACTAAAAATGTATAAGTTTATTGAAAATATTTTACATATAATTTTTAAAATAATTATTTAAACTATCGTGTACATCAATAGTTTTATTAAATGAACTTCTTTATGTAAGTAGCAAAATGCTCAAAATACTTTTTTTATAATCATTTAAATCGAATTTATTAGATTAAAATATACTTCTATTCCGTTGATTTCATTTTTTAAAACTTTTTATAAATATACATATTTTTAAATAATTTATATTAAAAGATTTTAATTCTGTAGTAAAATTTTAAAGTACAATTTAAAAAATGATTGGGAAAATCGACAATTTCTTTTATAATTTTATTCAGCATAAAATTACTTAAATAAAAATTATAATTTATTACTTTTTAAAAATCAATACATACTACTTTAACTAAATTATTAATAGTTTTATTTTAATTGTCATTATGTTTATGAAAATAAGAATTTGTGTTTTTTTCTTTTATCCAAACTGGTAAAGACATATTCCAATTGTCTGGAGGCTTGTCCCTTTTTTGCCAAATATCATTTTCATAATGTCCTTTTAAACGTTCATTTCTACGTTTCCTTTCACTTATAAGTAACTTTTCCTGTAATACATAATCTTGATTAAATCTTTGAATTTGTATGTGAATTTACATATATATAGAAATATTTGTACACAAGCTGTTTTATTTTTGAAATGTTTACAAAGTAGACAGTTTTCATAATCTTTTTGCCATTGAGAACAATTACGAAAATTTCCATAAATAAAGTATTGATGAAAGCGTCCTTTTAATGTTACACATTCATCAAATTCTTCACCATAAGAATAACATGGTCTAATCTAAAATAATATTAATAAATTAAATATAAATTAAAAAAGGTATGATATAAAAATCTGTAGAAAATATCACCAGGTTTTCATTTAAGTTTGGTAATTTAATCCTCTCATTTAAAAACATTTTTAAATAGATGTACCAGAAGTTCTATTCTAAAACAACAATGATAAGATACAAATAATATATTTTACTTTTTTATCTTAATTTTCAATAAATTACATTCTATGAACAATATTTTGTTTTTACTTATTAATTTTATTGATACAATTTAAAACATCGTAGCATAATATTAATCCAAAATACAGCATTAAGATAACATAATAAAATTAAAAAATTTTTATTTAAAAATAAAAAATATAAGTTATATATTCATATTAATTTATAATTTTTACTATAAAAATTAGTGATAATTTGTAACTATTTATTCCAGAACGATGTAACTTTTATTATATTACTATTATTACACACTGTATGAAACAATTATATATATATATATATATATATATATATATCAACTATTCACCTTAACTGTTTTTAGTTTTAATTTCATTTGATGCACTAGAACTCTTAATTCAATTCAATTAAGGTAATGTATATATACAATTAATTTTATTATCAAAAACTATTGAATATTAAATAATTTTTATTTAAGATAAGTAAAATAATCTATTTTAACAGAATAGATCAAACATATATTATTTCAAATTTTGTTAAAAAATTTTATAAATGAGAGTAACTTGAAATAATACGTTAATTATTGCACAACAAAAATCTAAATTATTAGAAATTATTCAAATTGCTGTACTCATCTTCAATAAGCTTTGAATATTTATTTATAAATGTCTATTTCACTTGAATAATATAAAAGTTTGTTCATCTCTCCATTATCTAACTTGCTAACTTTAACAATGTATTTTAAAACAATGCTTATTATTCTGCAATCATTGATTAATAAGTAAACATTATTCATTCGTTTAGATTCAATTAAATTTTATATAATATAGCCTAATAAAGGCTTACACAATGCAATTAATTTTTTATTACATACTTGATAATGATCATATTATTAATTAAATTAATGATCACAATAATTAATAATGATCACATTAATGAATGCTAAATATTAATATAGGCATTTTCTATTAAAATTATGTATGATATTCTCCCTATTAACAGCTTTATGTCTATGCCTTAATGCATACTACAAATACAAAATTTTATAAAATATACTTTAATTTATGTTCATAAACATAAATTGCAACATAAATTAGCACGTTTCTCTTCACAATTTTCTTTTATAATTTCAAATGAATTAATTTAATATAAATAAAAATACTGATATCATACGTGTATTTTTAGTTTGCGGACAAGCAAATAATAAAACCATAGATAATATTTTTAAGTGAATTTTTTATCATATTGACATTTTACTGTAATAGTTTGTTATATAAGCTGTCATTAGACAACCTATTTTTAATATAAATTTTATAATTATGAAAAAAGTGTATTATTTAACATAATTAAATAATCAAAAACTTACAGCTTCTTCGTATTTGTAATTATTTAAAATTCTAATTATAGTAAAAAAAAAAGTTTCTATTCCCATTCTTTTAGTTTATAAACGATAATTTTATTTTTACATAACGTTTTAATCGCGTAATTAAACTAGCCTGAGTTTTATAATATATTTAAAATAATGTTGACATTCTACGTGAAAACAGTTAATTTGTAAACCAACTGTGATTTATGACTTTACTTAATTGTTTATGTATTTTAAACTTCCGATGTTGATAAATTAACCATAAATACTAAAGAATGTTAATATAATTATTGTAATTAGTACAGGAGATATTAAAAAAAAAACAATAAAATTAAAAAATTTATAATATGATAGTAAAAAGTTTATCCATCTTCAAATGTAACGGATTACCCGATATCGGTCTAATGGTAAAAAATAAAAAAGCTCATGGTCTATCAATAAAGGGTTCGTATCTTAAGATATTTGAAATATTTTTTAAATGAAATGAAGTTTAAAATATTACAGTTATAACTATAATAGTGGCTATGGTTTTGATTATCCTGCAATCTAATTGATTAACTCATGCAATCTACAAAACTTTAAAATGCTAGCTCTTAATTAATAATAAGAATGAATTTTTTATTAATTCTAATAAGCTACTTAAATATAAGGTTTGCTATAGACAAGTTCTCTGAACTTAAAAAAATAAAAGAGAAAGTACTATTGTTATATTTAAAAAGTTTAATTTAAAAAATGTATTTTAAATATTTAATAATAATAGGACTTGTATATTCAATATATGCCCCTTCTACATCTGTACATACAAGTATGTATTACTTATAAATTTACTGAATTTTATATCAAAATAACAGAGGTAAAAAGAGATACAGAATAATGATAATGTATAATCATCTTTCAAAATTTAAAGTATAAATGTATCAGAATCAAAGAAACTAAAATTCAAAACAAATATAAAATTTTCTAAAGCTACTTTATATAGAATCCAATATCAACATCACCTTCATTAGCTGTGATAATAAAAAAATATTTGAAATCAATTTTTGTATCATATTTGTTTTAGAATAACCAGAAGCAAACATTGCCTGAGATTCTTACTATCGCATTCCAGTTGATTATAGATGAGGTTGTATATTTAATTAAATGTTTACAAAACCAAAAAGTTGTTTATTAAAGTGTTTTCATAATTACAATTAGAAAGAAATTTCAATAAAAATGTTTATATAACTTTCAAGTTTTTATTTATAATAAATGATTAACATATTTTCAGTTTTTTGGATTTGAATTAAAAAAATTGACTATAATTGCTATTTGAATTTCCATTAACATTATTTGGAAACAAACAATAATATATTAACGCCAACTTTCCCTTAAAGCTGAAGCTGTAATGGAAATTAATGGTTATATGAACTTTTCTGGAAGATTGATTAATTAAAATCTTTTAAAAGAGAAATTCTGTAAGTACCAATTAAAGAGATTATTTGCAATGGTATCCAAAAAATTGATGTTTTATAATTATTAATACATTTTACATATTTAATCTTATTTTTAAATTAAAAATCTTTTTATACCTTCAACACGACATAATTCTATATCAATCCCAAGATTATCTAAATATTGAAGCCACAATTTTTGTTTTTCAGATAAAGAATCAGTTGGTCCTTTAACTTCTACAATTTTATTCTAAATATTCAAATCAAAAACACAATAGATTATCATTACTATTATTAAAATAATTTTTTGTGATTTTATTTATATACCTTTAAAGTTACTGCATTCCACATAATAAGATCTGGAAATCCAGATCTCCAAAGTCTAAAATTCGAAATTAATTTTTCACATATACCTATTACTGTATTCATACCCAGACAAGTTACCATTTCCTGAAATACCCATAAATAAAATAATTGAACATCTATTATATTATGAAGATACTCAGAAATTATAAATACTTTAAATTGTTGATGATTTTTAAATAAATTATTTGGCATTAAAGATTTGTATTTACTATAATTGGAATATCTTTCCTGCATCCAATGAGCAAACAGATCTAGATTTAATTCATGTATAAATTTAATTTTTTTTTCGATAAATTGTTTTCTATTAATAAAGAATTCAGCAGTAAAGAGATCTAAGGGTGCATCTTGATAATATGATATAAAAGAGCTTGGTACCAAATCATTATATATTTCTTCCCAAAAACATACTACAAATAATGTAATTGGCAGTGAACCTTCACAATGAAGTCCTTCGTGAAAATTTTCTTTGCTGATGTAATATTGTAAAACAACCATTTCGATAGTTCCATAATAGTTTTCATTATTAATATTGATAGACCATGTACTTTTCCCCTTATGTTTAATTCTGAGTACAAATATACATTTTTCTATAATTTGAATTTTTAATTATTGTATAATAACATTACCTATTTGCCATATTCATTCTGATACTTTTAGTAGTGAATTTAGGACTTATGAAACTGTTTATCTCTTTTTTAATTAATATTTTAGTTTTTTTAGATATTCCAGTTTTTCTCTTCTCTAAATTCTTTAATTTTTTTATTAGATTTAACACATCAACTTCTGTCAATATTTTTTGTTTTAAAGTATGTAAGATTAATGCAGCACTACTTTCTAAATCTTTTTGATAATGCATTTTGATTAATACAAGTTCATTATACCATTGACCTTGACGGTTTTCAAAAAAATGCTTATAACTTATAAGAGTTTTTAATATGTTCATGGCTTGAATTATAGTTTCTGGTGTTTTCTTAAATGCTTCAACACTTTTCGATAAAACTTTTATCCATATATATTCTGGCATAAATTTTTCTACATGTAATGGAAGTGAAGTTTTTTTATCTCTACAAAACAAAAATACGTGGTAAAATAAAAATATTTAAAAATTGAAAAACAATTATCTTACATAATTTTTGTTTCTAATAAATACTTAAGTGCCAGATGCCCTAAGTTTCTCACTTCATCCCATTTTTTTTTTTGAATAGCCATTAATATATCTTTCAATAGATTTTTACTATTAACAAAACTACAACATAAATACGATTATTAGTTTTATAAAATATACATCACATATATTAGATTTTTAATTACTCAATTAAATGGATACGATTCTTAAATACAGGAAAAGCTTCTTTGTGTAAAATAAATGGATATAATAATAAACCTTCTTCAATTTTGGTCAGCATAATAAATAAGTCTGAAATATTTTCAGATGGATCTTGAACTGGACAAAATAAAGTTAAAAGTCTATTAAATAAATTAATTATATCTTTAGGTAAATAAATACATGTTTGTAAAAAAAATAATGCCATTGATCTTAATACAGATTTTGGACTTTTTGATCCTATAAAAAGTGATTTTGAAGTTGTTCCATATTTCAAAAGTCTCTCTATTAATACTCTTTTACTTTCAAGATGATTAATTTTTAATGTTTTACAAATACTTCTAATTTCTTGTAATTGAAGCATATTTAATAAAATGATTATATTTGTTGATTCTAAATCTAAAAATAATATTTAAAAATATATATTATTATAAAAAATATATTTATTAAATGTGCATCTAAAATATTACCAGATTTACAAAATCCATTTTGTATTAAATCAAAGAAAAAAGGATTCAAATTATCAGCGATTTCTGGATACTTAATCTTACTTGCTCTGTAACATACTGATTTTCTTTTCAAAAGTCTTACAAATAACATTTGTGACTTTGGTGAAAGTGTGAAAAGTGAAAATATTAAATCAAGTTCATTTTTTAAAAAATATCCACAATTTACAGGGTTAGAAAAAATATACATAACTATCATCAATAAATAATCAGCATTTTTTTCATGAGGAAATTGAATATCTTTTAATTTAAATTTTTGTGAATTTGAACAAGCAATAGCATAACTAAAATTAAATATGTTATCACTATATATTTTCTGAAGATCAAACTCATTAAGAACAATATTACCTTGTCTTACAAAATTTAAATGATTGATAGCTAGCTGTAAATTATCACTAATTATTTTTTCAGAAAAAAAAACATTTGCAAAACAGAATTTCTGATTTTGAATAAATTTATTGATTTGTGTAGTGTTTTTAAAATAAGAACTAGATCTTTCCTCTAAAAAATTAATATTATTGTACGTTTTTAATGTATCATATATGTCATGATTTGTGTTATTAGATTTGTATTTTTTTGTTAATTTTTGAAATTCAATCGAATTTTTTCTTTTTTGATGATTAATATTTTTATCTAAATTTGTTGAAATTTCGTTCTCACAAATTTGTTTATTTCTCGTTGTTAAAAACATTTTATTCACTTTTTTTTTTAATTTCATTTCTAATTTATGCTACAACAAACAATAAAATATTCAAATTATTAATAGCATTAAATAACTTAAGAAATTATAAATCGTGAGAAAATTGATTTTCATAGAATTTTTATTCTAACCTCTTGATTAAATTCATTCTGAGTATTTGTATTTGTTTCAGATCCATTATTTTTACTATATGTAACTTTATAAAATTGATCTATTCTAGTCTGCTTTAGCATTTTGGAGATATTACTACTATTTTTTGTACAAAATCTAAAATAAATTGGTTCATAAATACTTTTAAATACTAAACGTAGAATTTATAAATAATACAACATGGCACAAAATCTTTCTACTCCATTTTATCTGATTTAAAATTCTTTTGAAGGAATGAGCAAATAGGAGCATTTAAAAAATATTAACAATAAAGCCTTATTATATTATAAACAATTCTGAATTTGTATTTATGAAAAAAAAGATCTTAAAATAATTTATAGATTGCTTTAAGATTTATATTTTATTCTGATTTTTTTTAATATATATTTTATCTATTCGATTAAAATTATAATGATAAATTTGATATTATAAAATTATAAAAAAGATAAAATTTGCCAGTTGGATAAATATATTTCTGTATTTCTATATTTATATATTTTTAATTATAATATTACGATGAATAATATTTTATTAATATTTTTTTAAAATCGTGATATAAAAAAAATATTTTTTAAACAATACAAGACGGCCCTTTTATATCGAACATTATCACTACATATATATACATACATTGCTCGAATTTCACAAAGTGTTTGAAAACTATAAAGCATCACAATTTTTATAATTTTCATAATTTTTATATTTTATTTAGATTAATTGTTACATTCACACTCATTAAAAATCGTTATGTAAAAAATGAAAATAGTAAGAAAGAAATTTGATAAAAACCAGAGACAAATAATATAAAATCATACAAAATATTCTACTATTATACATAATTATGTACTATTAATTATCAGACAAGAAATACATTATAATATAATTAAAATAATTCTTAGAATACTATATTATTCATCATTATAATGTAAAATATTTTATATATTTCAACATTATAATGATCAAACATTTTACATTATAAAGTATTTTTATATTTTCATCAAAGAATGTGCAAACATGGATGTTTTGAATTATAATAATTAAGTTTCATTTTCATCTTGAACCTACATTTCTGAGCATGGAAATATGTTCAATTATGCTTTTTTTTAAGTACCAGATAAAACATTTTTTAAACTTAAAATTAATTCTTTTTTGGCTTATACACTTGCTTGAATGCATACGATTTATTTAAACAGTATTATACTTTCATGTGTATACAATTTTTTGTACACTGACAATTACTTTAAAAAGTCAAATAATTCAATCAGATAGATCAGAATTAATCAAAAATTATTAAAGCCAATCTTGGAATGATAATACATCTACATCAACCATGCAAATGAAACTTTACAACTATTTTTTTGACAAACTTTTCTTGCATGATTTCTTAATATTTTTATTTCTTAATAAATATTTGGGTCATATTTATATTAAAAAAAAAACAGTATGAAAATATAACATAGTTAATTATAGCATATAAATAATGCATTTACTTAAACTATTCATGAAATTTATCAATATACTTATATGTTTATAAACTCTTATCAGATGATACTGCTGTACATTTAAGAAATATTAGTTTGATATATATTGTATACTACTAGAATAAATTATTTTTAATAAATTTTAAATAAATACTTTTTCTTATTTAATACTTTTTTTAAACTAATTTTTCTCCAAATGCAGTGAGTAAAATTTACAGCTTTTATTTATTACTTTTTGAATAACATCTTTCATATAAATATTTGTATTTCCTATTTAATAAAAATGTACAGTCCAACAAAAATTTATAAAAACGAAATTTTTTGTAATTGTGCATCTTTTGTAAAATAATAAAATAAAATTAATATAATGTAACATAATAGCTTTTATAAATCTTTTACAAATTTAAACAAAATGTGTAGGAAAAAAATTTTAATTTAATTTTTAAATTTTATTTCTGATTCTTATCATATTAATAAATAAATTAATATCTAAAATAATTAATATTTTAGATATTATTACTAATATTTTTTTAATCCTGTATTAGATGAATGAAAAATGATTTCAGGTTTTTGTTGTTGTTTTTCAACGGTACCTCTGTATTTGAAAATTTTTGTATAGATTTTTAAATTTATGTAACTTGGGACATGCATTATAGTGTACTAATCAATTCATATAAATTAACATAAAATATAATGTAACTAATGTAATTATTTTTAAGATGCACTTTAGCTACAAACAAAGTTTTTCATAATAAAGTTTTTTCAATCGTATAAATACTTAAATAATATTTGCACATATTTGGTTGAAGTTAAAAAATATTTTAAAAAAATAATGGGACCATTACACTAACAGTAATTTTTATATGATTTACAGTGAAAGTGCAGGAAATACAATTTATTTAATCAACGTGTATAATTTATTATATATAAATTTATACAAATACCATTTTATGTAAAATTAATTTTAATTATATAATTTGATTAAACTGATATTGATATTGTTTTTTTTTATTCCATGGCTTCAACCAATACTAATATGATGGTCAAAAATGAAATTTAATTTTATATGCATTACATATTTTATTTATTGCTGTTGCTAGTAGACATTCTTATTATGTACAAAATGCATTTTATTCAGAACCTTTCCACATTTTAGCATTGAAATATATACGTTATAATTGGACAAAAGTTTAATTTTTGGGAATTTCAATATCAATTTTTCATGGACAAGTTTTTGAAATGTTTGGTGCTGATAATTTTTTTAGTTATACTATATTAAATTTAATATTGTTAAAAATTTTATTTTATTTATAACCTAATTTCCATTGCAGTACAACCTTTTAACTTATGTTTAAACATATGATCAAATATAAATTGTATAAGTAAAAGGAATTACAAAAACAATTTCATACCGATTTATAAATTAAGATAATATGATGTCTCGGTCTGTACGAGCAGAAACTCGAAGTAGAGCAAAAGATGACATTAAAAGAGTTATGCAAGTGGTTGACAAAGTTCGACATTGGTAAATTTTTCTTATATTTGATTATTATAAAATTTTTAATATTAATTTATAACTCATTGTTTAATTTTATAATAATATCGTATATTTTAGGGAAAAAAAATGGGTTACAATAGGGGAAACTACAATGAAAATTTACAAATGGGTTCCCATATCAACATTAGATCAAGTAAGAATTTAAATTATACAATTCAAATATGAAAAATGAGAATACAAATTAATTTTATTGATAAATAAAATTATTAATATGTATTTTTAAATTATAACATTTTAATTATTACATTGATGTTTTTATATATTTATATATTATTGTAAATGTTCATAAAAATATTTTTATGTGAACTGATAGATTCATTTTTGAAATAAATATTTTTAAGTATATTATTTTTTTATAATTGATTATTCAGCTTGATTTATTAACAGAAGAAGAAAATTAAATCATCGATGGAAAAAGAAAATGGCTTGGCAAGAAAAAGTGGCATAGATTCTTCAAATTCTAATTTTGGACTTACAGAAGATTCAAATACATGTAAGTTTATAAATATGTTTTGAAATATAACAAAAAAATAATTTTATGTACTCGATAGGCTTCTCTACTGTTAGTGATTCTCAAGGATTGACAGACTTTTCAGTTCATTTAGGATTTTCAGAAGATTCGAATTCTCAAAATAGTGAACCTATGCCCAAAAGATTAAAGACTGAATAAAATTATACTTTGTACAATTACAAATTAATTAAGTAATGAATGAATTTTTCAATGTGTGAATCATAAAATAGACGAATGACATAAGTTGAAAGTTTGATTAACTTTCAATACATTTATATTTAGTGATATTTTTACAAATAAATTGGCTTATCTATATATGAAATTGAAAACAGTTAATATAATATTAATCATTAAATTTTATTTATATTATGTTAGTTTCAAATATACTTAATTAATTAAACAAGGACAAATGTATTTGGCCTTCAAAGAATGTGTACAAAAATGTCTCAATCCCTTTTATTTATGTTACAAAAAAAGTACCATCGACGTATATGAAATTGTACATATTTTAAACTATAGTTCATACAATAAAAAGTATTGATTAAATTTATAAATAAAATGATTTATTAATTTTCATTTTATTTTACTGCAACTAAAGATAATCAATTCATTATTTATTACTATTATATTTAATACAATGGTTTATCATGGGGTTATAAAATAAAATAACAGTTAATTGAGCTAAAAATATTAAATTTACCAGGGTAATATTTTACCATCATACTGAAAAAAAGAACCTGTATCTTTTTCTGAAATAGATTTTAAAGTATTAAAAATACTATCAACAGAAGTTTTTATATCTATTGGAGCATTTGGTCCTCCTAAAGATGTTTTTACCCATCCAGGGTGTAAAGATACTACTAAAATATTATATTTTTTTAAATCTATACTCATTGATATTGTTGCAGCATTTAAAGCAGCCTAAAAATAATAAAAAGTATTAAATTTAAAACTTGATTTATTACTTAAGTAAAATATAATACAAACTTTACTACAGCGATAGGGATAAAATCCACCAATATCATTATTTTTTAAACTTCCAAGAATAGATGACATATTGATTATAGCAGCCTTGGTCAAGCTCATACCTTTTTTAGTTGAATGATTAATAGATGCTTGTCTTAGTAAAGGCAAAAACTCCTATACATTTTTTAACATTACATTATTCAAAAACATAATTTCGAATAAAAATGGATTCAGTAATTAAGTGAGTTTATTTACTTTTGCTAAAAGAATTGGTGCAACTGTATTAATTTTATAAGATTCAAAAAGTTGTTCTTCTTTTACAAAAGGAAGGCGGGTAAATTTAGTAGACATTCCAGCATTATTAAATAATACTGTAAGACCATCATCACCTACAATACTTTTAACCTTGTTCACAATCGTGGGATATTCATTTACATTTTTCAAGTCTAAAAATAATATATTTACAATATATTAATTCTAAATTTAAGCAGAATTTTATTTATTTTTTTCATTCAAGAAATACTGACTAAAAATATAAAATAAATAATCTTACCTATTTCAAATATATGAATATTTTCAACATGTTTAGCAAGATTTAATAGTTCCTGAAAAAAATTACAGTTTAAAAATAAATATAATAATAATTAATTTTACTATATAACACATTTTCAATTTATAATAATTGTTTTTCAAACATTTATATATCATATTTTTAATAAATTATATAATATAATTATAATAAAATTATATAATTTAATATACTATATTAAAAGAACTTTAAAAATATTATATTATTAGATTTCATATTAGAGGATCATTAAATATAATTGTCAGAACAAAAAGTTTAAAAATTTAATTTCATTTATAAACAAATGGTATATAGATATTTTCATGAACTAAATAAAAGTATACTTGCAAGTATAAAGTTATCTGTTTATACGTATAATAATAAAGATGACAGTATAATAAGGCCATAGTTTTTTGCATTCCAAAAGTTTAATAATAATAGTTTAAAAAAAATTATATTTTCATTGTTTTTTCATCGAATGAAATATGAAAAATTAAATTATTAATTTATAATAGTTCATAAAAAAGAGTATAATATAAAAAACATTTTAATATATAGAATTATTAAATATATTCTTTTAAACAGATTTTTTCATTCTTCAACAATATTCTAAAAATATTTTAAAATGATTATAAAATAAAATTTTATTAATTATATTTTTCAAATGTAACATACAACGATAAATTAATAATAAGGAATAAAGTATTGTAAGTTCCCTTAAGTTTTAAATAGATAATATCGATTAATAAAATTAATATCTATGTTATCGAATTTTAGCAGATAACCATAATTTAGGAGCGAAAAGTATAAATTTTAATTGCTTAACTGCAAGATGTCAAGAACCTGTTTTGAAAAAAAAATTCAATAAAATTTATATCAAAACTGTTTAAAAAATATATAATTTTATATTTTCTAGTTTAATGTAAACAAAAATTGTATATTTTATTTGTATTTGTTTATTAATTTATGTATTTTTATATTATTTAAATCTAAAAGTTAATATTTTTCTTTGTGATTAAATAAAATGTAATCACTACCCGTTATATTAATATATTTAATAAAAAAGGAAACAAAACATTTCTAAAGAAACAAATATTGTATTAATGCATTTACTTAAAATTTTAAACTAAATTTTAAAGTCTTGTATAATCAGTTAATCTATTGCTATTCGTATGCATATAGTATATTATATAATAAATATCATTTAATATACATAAGATGTATTTTATGTGTTTATATTAATAAGAAATAATAAGCTATGAATGAAAAGTATAATCATAATTACTATCAAAATAGATGTGCATAAATTATGTTACATTTATGTACATAGATATCAATTAGGCAATGAAAGTATAGACAAATATTTTTATAATATTCTGTGTACCTATATCTATTTTTATATGTACTTTTATACATATTTTTCACGAAAAACATTTCTAGTTCTTACAATTACATCTACAATAATCTAAATGTTAATATTTTTAATAAACAGTATTCTGTATTATAATATAATACAGTTAAATAATTATAGTAAATATTTTTAGCCCTTTTATTATCATAATTATTAACTTAAAGTGAAGTGTGTTCTTGTACTATCGTCTAAATATAATTTCATATAGTTGATAAAAATAGTCTGTACAGTTGTCCCCAAAAGCATGATTTGATTTTGCGATTGTTTATCATTACAGAATAGTGATTAGCCTTCCTGAAATGAATTAATACATCCTTTCAAAGTCAAATTTTTAAAAGCATACTACAGTTCATTAGTTTGAACATGTCCCCTTTTTGATTTTATCAAAAATAAGCTGAAAATTCATATACATGTATTCACAAGGCGGAGGTAAACAACACACTTCAAGATTCAATATTTCCAATAAAATTATCTTTAATTAATACATTAATAAATAATTCATATTTTCATTTTTTTAAAATACCTTTTTTCATCATAGTTTAAAAAAATATTTAATATTTCTCTTAATTTCAGTTTAAGAAAATATGAACAAGTCCGTTTGGTCATATATATACTAAAAATACATTTATTATATTTATCATTGGTATGGTAATAACAGTAATTTTAATATTATATTTTTTAAAACTTTCACATTATTTTTATTCTATTTATTATAAAAAAAACTTAACTAATTCGGTTTTCATCTATTTACAAATTTACAAATATTGTTTTTAACTTTATGTTCAGAAAACTGTAATATTTTAGATAAAGTACTGCAAATAAATTATGAAAATATTACTTTTATATTATTTTATATATTATTTTTATACTATAATTTGTAATACAAATTTATATATTTCGTAATATATATATCATTACATTTATGAACACATACATTGTATGCATTATTGAAATTGCAAAACAAAAATATTAGGTTTAATTAATTTAATGAATTTCGTTGAAGTTAGAAAGCTAAATTAACTCATGATAATACTTCATCATTAATTATATATATGCAGAATTTTTTCAAAAAGAAAAATGATGTGATCCTATAATGTTCTTTTAGATTTCTTTTACACATAGATGGCGGTGTATTATTTGAAGGTCGGAATGTTATATAGCCTCGGTTTAACTTTTCAGTCACAGTTTAACTGTTTAAAGCATAGGTTTATAAGTGTTACTTTATATCTTTTATAAAAAAGGTGTAGTTCGATCAAATATTATTAAACAGTTTAAGATCAGTTCACCAGGATTATTGCAAATTGTATTAATCACTAATTATGAGTAATGTTTAATTTGAACAAAACTAAAATACTACATTCATTTTTAACTATAATTTAGTATCGTACCTTATACATTCATATTTATTAAACTTTTTAATAAAAATAAGAAGAAGAAATATGCCGCCTATTGGTAAGTATTAGATAGTATATAAGTATATCTCAACCGTCTAATACTATAGTTTTTTCAACGTATTTCTTAATAAAGTTGTTTTATATATGTATTATTATGTAACTATGATATTAATTAGCTATATTAACATATAATTTATACGAATATATTTTTAAAATTTTATACTAAATTTAATTAAAACTCACCGTAGCTTTTTGAATATTTCGACAAGTTGCAAAAATTTTTTCTGTTGGTGTCTTTAATAATGCAAGATATTTTACCAATCCAAGGCCCAAACCTTGATTGCAACCGGTAATAAATATTGAACGAATATTCATTTTCAATTTCTATCAATAATTACAATTGTACAAAAATATTTAATAATTTTATTATAGTAATAATTTGATACTAGAGTATAAAGTTTGTCAAACTCTTTTACCTAAAGTAAAAAATCTCATAGGATAATTATAATATTCGACTACCATCAAACTTGATAGGTAAAATCGTATGAACGATGATAAATAAATATATAGTGTAAATGTAATAAAGATGTATATTACATTGCTGTACTTGAGAATTAGTGAATATTTGAACTTGAAATACTCTACATTATATTTTAAAATTTGTAACATATAACTTTCGAATATGGTTTTGACTTAATATATTAATATAAATTATAACGTAAAACAAATTTGTTTAATTTTTCTTCCTTTTTCTTCCCCCTCCTTCGTTTCTTATTATCTCGCGCTTTTTATCCCCTCTCTTTTTTCTAACCGTTAGCTTTATTCTACAAGTCATGGACGAAGCTATATCATGGCAACGTTACTGTTTTTACCAAGTTTTGTGCTATCATTCCGTAGACCTCCTGTTAAGATAATTAATTTAGCTTGTACAATATCCAGACACTATACCTACACTCAGGTTATATGCACTAACTTGTCTAGTAAGTTATTTTTGTATTTTAATATGTGCATTTTTCACTTTGTTTTCTTTAACAGTAAAACGTTACTTGCTTATGTAAATATATTGATTTTACTTACGCATTTTGTTACTTTATTAATGTACGTGGCCAGTTATATCATCAATTAAGTTGATCAAATTTTGGGCATTATTTACAAATCTATTGTTATTTGATATTAATTAAGTTGATAACATTATAAATTATTGAATAGATATTAATAAAATAAGTATATTATTCAAGGTAGATGTTAAGTAATTTTTTTTGTTATTTATACATTTATGAATTATATTTTATACTTTGAAATCCTCCCATTCCTTATTATACTTTAAAACAATTTAAAAATGATTAAATATAATTAAATTTCAATTATTTTATTTATAATTGAATTTATTAAAATAAGATGAGGTTACAAAAAGAAGAAAATTATGATTACTTTTTATGTCATCCATTTACAACACAAATATGTTTATTTTAATATTTGTATTTTAATTTTATTTTAATCATTTAATTATTTTAATAGTTTTATAATTTATATTTACCATTATTTGGCAAATAAGCAATGAATAAAATAAAATATTATTGAAAAGTATAAAACAGTTATCATTATATACATATATTAAAGTGTAAAATAATATAACATTATTAAATTTGGTATTTAAATATTTTTATAAAGTCTATATTTTTTCAGAAGAACAGTATATGTATGACTTAGTTGTACTAGGAGGAGGTTCAGGAGGTTTGGCTGCAGCCAAACAAGCAGCAGAACTTGGAGCACGTGTTGCTGTTTTTGATTATGTAACGCCATCTCCAAAAGGAACAAAATGGGGTTTAGGTGGAACATGCGTCAACGTCGGGTGCATACCTAAAAAATTAATGCATCAAGCAGCTTTATTAGGAGAAGCTGTACATGTAAAAAATATTTTAATCAATATTTTTAAACTTGTATAAATTAATTGAGCAATAGTTCAAAGAATTGATATTTATTTTTTTAGGAAGCTGCAGCATTTGGTTGGGTAATACCTGATATTAAATCTGTTCAAATTAATTGGGAGGCTTTATCAGTTGCTGTACAAAATCATATTAAGTCTGTAAATTGGGTTACAAGAGTGGATCTTAAGAATAAGTATAGAATTATAATTTTAATTGTTATTTATTTTGTTTATAAATTTGTTCACAATATAACTAATATTATAGAAAAGTGGAATATATCAATGCACTTGGTTATTTCAAAGATCCACATACTATTGGTGGTATTATGAAAAATGGAGAAGAAAATGTTGTAACTGCTAAAAATATTTTAATTGCTGTTGGTGGTAGACCGAAATATCCAGATATTCCTGGTGCAATTGAAAATGGTATCACCAGTGATGATATATTTAGTTTGAGTCAACCACCAGGTAAAACTCTTATTGTTGGTGCTGGATGTATCCTTTTTATTTGAATTTAAAGATTTTGGAACATAATCTATTAGAATATTTCCTAAAGTATTATTCAGATATTGGTTTAGAATGTGCAGGATTTTTAAATGGATTAGGATATAATACCACTGTAATGGTACGTTCTATTATTCTTAGAGGTTTTGATCAACAAATGGCAAATATTATTGCTGAAGAGATGGAGCAACGTGGAGTTCATTTTATTTATCAAGCTAAGCCAAAATTAATAAAAAAAGAAGCAGATGGTATTCTTGTACATTGGGTGGATAAAGTAACAATTACAAATAAAAAAATTAGTTTATACTTTATTTTAATTTAATTTTTAACAATTGTACGATTACTGTAAATTTTATTTAGCTAGGTCAAGTTCAGAAAGATGTATATGATACAGTATTGTTTGCCATTGGTCGCAGAGCACTTACGAAAGATTTAAAATTGGAAAATGCTGGTGTTATTTGTATTCCTGATGATGATAAAATTGATGCTGTAGATGAACAAACTAATGTGCCTCATATTTATGCAGTTGGAGATATATTACATGTGAGTTTTTAATTTTTAACTATTTGGAGATAAGATATTTATTATAAGAATTGTTACAGAAAAAACCTGAGTTAACACCAGTAGCAATTCACGCTGGAAAATTATTATCTAAACGATTATTTGCAAATAGTTCAGAAACTATGGATTATACAAATATTGCAACAACTGTCTTTAGCCCTTTAGAATATGGATGTGTCGGTTTAAGTGAAGAGCAGGCTAATATAATTTATGGCGAAGATAACATTGAAATTTATCATGCTTATTATAAACCAACAGAATTCTTCATACCTCAAAAAGATAATAGTCATTGTTACTTAAAAGTAGTTACTTTGAGAAATAATGATCAAAAAGTTATTGGTATGCACTTTATTGGGCCTAATGCAGGAGAGGTTATTCAAGGATTTGCCACAGCTATAAAGTATGTTTATGAAAATTTCTTAATCAATATTTTAATTGTCACACAATTATATCTCTTTCATTTTTGTCATAGATCTAACTTAACATTCCCTATTTTGAAATCGACTGTTGGCATTCACCCAACATCTGCTGAAGAATTGATTCGTGTATTTATCACGAAAAGATCAAAGATGGATCCAAAACCACAAAGTTGCTGCAGTTAGAGAAAATTCAAACGATAAAATTTTTATTTATGATTAATACTTCTTTATAATCACGGCAATAAAAATATTATAATGTATACTGTCATCGTGTAACATTTTAGTTAGAATTTAAATTTTCTTTCACAGAATATCTATAATTTAAATAGATAGTACTTCAATAGAAATTTAAATTTAAGAATGTTTTAATAAAAAGAATAAAATAAATATTTACTTATATTATACAAATTTAGATGAATTATTTTAAATACTATATTTTCTATAGTTTTAATAAAAGCATTTTAGTTTAATAATTTAACTAATTGTTAACAACAGAAATGGGTATAAATATTTTTGATATCAAAAATTTTTAAATAATTTGAAAATTTTATTCAATAGTTTACTGAATGAATATTAAATAATAAAAATTTGTAATATAAAAACTATCCATTAGTTTACTTAATATAAGTTTATTTTATATATTTAAATAAAAAATTATAATAAAAAATTTTCGATTAATATAGTGTGTTGTAATTATAAATATCAAGAAATGTTTATCCTACAGGAATACGTTTATATATTTATAATTTTTTTATATAATAATTCAATATTTTCATTTAATTGCTTAATTTTAATGGTAATGTATTATAATTTTATCAATTAATCAAACTAGTATTTAATAACGTAGTAAATTTTTGGAATAACAATCCAATTCTTTTTGGAATATACCTAATATATTTTTTTCTTCAATTACTTATATAAACTTCATTATTTACTTTATCAATAAGTATGTATAAATATTAATTATAAATAAATATTGAACATGAGCATTACTTTAAATCATTTTTATTTGCAATTCATTTGTACATGTATTTAAGAAATCGATAATATTTATATTTTCAAAAATTATGTATCAATTATTTCATTTTAGAAAAATGTACATAAAAATAATTAAATAAAAATTAAATAGATATATTTTAACTGATCGTTTGTATTTTCACGTTATCTAATTTTCATGAGTACAATGAAGTTAGTAATACAAATGTTTAACTTCTTAAACTTGAGTTGTGAATGTTTGTTTAAACACAATTATTAATATAAAAAATGTTCAAATATGCTAAATTCATGTGCTTATATGTAAAAAGATAACAATTATTTCCTATTTTATTATACAATTTACTATGTAAATTATACATTTTCTTAGAATTACTTAACATTTATAAAACTATCAATTTAACAAATTTATTACTATAAATTTTATGTGAATCAAATTTATATATTTATATTCATATTATCAATTTTATATATTTAACTAATTGGTAATTATTAGATTATCTTTAAAAATAAAATTAATTTTTATACAAGTTTTCCTTTTGTAATAATTTTCTGTATTTATTTTATTTATTTCAGGCTATATTTTGAAAATATTTAACATTATATTGTGACATTCAATTCACGTAATAATTGATACATATTATAATGATTGATTCATGAAATTATTTTATTATAAAAAAGTTATCGATTAAAAGTATTTAAGGAAGATTATGTAAATAAATTAAAACAAATTTTTTTAAATGTTTTGACTTGATATAACCAACTAAATTTTAATTTATTAAAACATACCTGTTCAGAATTTTTATAAATGTTTCATAAATATATAAAAATTATTTCTTTTTATATAATAAACTATTTATTATGGAATATACGACGATTCTTATGCTTTTAAGCTTTACTATAATCTATTCAAAATTATTCAAAATTTCCTTTTTTAAAAAACTAGATTCTTATGTCTTAATTATAAGAACCTAAAAATATATTTTTATAGATTCATTAAACATGAAAAAAAATAGTTTTTTAATGAATAATGAATATATTGCATTTGCTGAAATCTTACATTAGAGAAATATCTAAGTGCGTTCGCGTGTCCAAGTAATCTCGATTGTCAAAAAAACCTTATTTGCACTTGGATATTAATTAGTAATTATAATAAAAAGTTTCATATAATTTTATAAAAGAAAATTTTTACGAGATTTAACTTAATAAATTTTTAAAACTTATTTGTGCTAGAAATGTATTTATCAAAAGAAAATGTAATTATGAGAAAAAATATGACTTCGACAATCTATAAGTTACAAAAACTTAATGATAGGTAAATATTCTGAATGCATATGATTAGAATTAAAATTATTCATAAATAATTTAAACCTCTATTATAAGAAATTATAAACTATAATAATATATTTAAATTAAATAAAAAGTAGTTATGTATTAAGTGATTCAGCGTGATTATATTTCCTGGATAAATATTTATGATTAAATAGTTATAATAAATACATTCAAAAACTGTAATCGATTATTTACCATGAAACTTTAAATAATGAAATAAATGCAGAATTGTATGAAATTTTAAAATATACGATACTAAGTAAACTTTAATCACTCACAATAAAAATGCAATATTCGAAGAACTTGTTTAATAGTATGCCTTTAGATTTTACATACATGTAACACAAGTAATAATTAATTATATAATTAAACTAACAACAAATAAATAGTTAATGTCAAAATAACAAAAATATATCAATTCATAATATATACCTAAATATAACCACTTTTAAGAATATGACTCAAGTAAAAATCGAATAATTTCGTTCACAAGTATCGATTTACTTCAATAATTTAGGATTTATTATAAGACAAAATAGTTACTCATATTAAATTTATATGAATTCTATATAATAAATACTCTATATACTATAACGTTTTTTCTATAGTTTGAATGATTGATGATAATAATAGAATACCTTACATGCTTTAATTTTTTTTTTAAGCTAGTTGTTATTTGCTAATATACATAAGATACGCGAATAAAAAATTTATAATACAAAATCTTATATTAATAGTAATACTTATTAAATTGTTATTAACAAATTTGAATTTACAATAAGCATCATTTGACAACGTAAGTTATATACATAAAATTGAACCAATGAAACTATATGCCAATAAATCAGCACATTAAAATTGTGTTTATTAACGTTTACAATTTATATATATATATATATATATATATATATATATATATACATATACTTTATATAAATTATATAATTAATTATACATGTACGTAAATGTTTTATTAATTATATATATATGTAAATATATATAAACATTCTGTTTTCAAACTATCATTCCATATTTTTTTCGGATTATTGAATCGGTAAACTGTAGTAAAATTGTAATTCTTTCAATTATAAAATAAGGAAATTACTTGTATACTTTATATGAAGGCTTTTATTCATTAGAATAAAACCAAGTAGAGGCATTTGAATAATACAAGAGGCTTCTTATAACGTAAAAGTAAAATAATTCTATGATTACATATAAATTAGTGTGTTTAAACATGATAAAAAATGAATATAGTAAGGAATCACATTATAAACGTAATATATGATAAATAAAATAATCCTGAAGCGTTATCTCTTATTAATGTTGACTACTAAGAAAAGATTCTAAAATTTTGTATAAATATATGTTAATAGATACATGTTTTACATAGAAAATAGATACATATTTTGTCTTTCTGTGCATACACGCACTGTACTATTAACATCGAAATATTAAAATTATTAATGATTAAGTTTTTATTTGGTAAAAGTCTAAATATTAAATAACATGTAAATTATTGTAAGTTTATTTATATCTATAAAAGGTAAAAATATATTAATATAATGTATATACACTAATTTACATTTTTTTTATCTTTTGACAATAGAATTTTTCAATTTTACTTATGAAATATGTTCGACTGTATTTTATATATTATTAAACTAATTTTTAATTTTATCTATATTCAACATAAATTATGTTTTCGTCGTATGATTATTATATTTAAAAAAGTGTGTATATATCAATTAATCACTAAATTCCTATTTTTATATCAATTTAATATAATTCACTGGTTTATCATTGTATTATTTGTTATGTATTAATAGTCTTTTCTGAATTTTATGTTTACATTTGAATGATTATATATTTTAAAATCAATATATAAAAATTATTAATATAGCTATTGAAATAATTTAAGATTTAATCAGAATTATAATATTTATAAGCTATCATAAATTAAAATACACAGACACACACAGAGATATACATGGTTTAATGCACGTTCAATTTGACATGATCACAAAAGTTTTATATTTAATTATATGTATTTATTCTATAGAAGTTTATATTATGCATATGTTTATGTACATAATTCTTTACTTACAGAATTATTTCATAATCAGAAACTTTTAAATAAATTGATATTTAATATTGACACATTTAATATTTTAACATTCATATAAGTAATTAATATATTTAGTATTTTTATAAATATTTTTAATAATATTTAAAACTAATAAATACTTTTGATATAATTATTATAAAGCTATATTTCACTAATTTTTAGTTCACTTTAAATTAAAAAATTTTTTATAGTAGTCGAATATAAAAATTATTTTGAATATAAAAATATTGGTTATAAATCTTAATAGTATTAGTACAGTTATAACAAGTTAAAAAATAAAATATATTTATTTCTGACTTACTTTGAATATTTCAATGCAACATTAAAAGTATATAATATACTATATGAAAACAAGAAAATTTTTAAAATGTTATATTTCAGAAATGGTGATTTTTCAAATTTTATTGGGTTTACGATTAATGATTTAATGAATTTGAACAAAGAATAGAAAATTATAATCATCAAGTTAATAAATTGTTATATTATTGTGAGATATTATAAAATAATTATTTATCAATAAAAAAAACTTAAAATTATTTCAAATACATAATACTTCAAAATTTGATTGAAAAATTTTCAGCAAAATCTACATTCATTTGTAATATTTAATTATAAAAAATAAAATGTACTACTGGTGCTTAACACATTGAAAGCATAAATTGTAAATATTTTCATACTATACTTATCTATATTTATTATTTGAAACAGAACATTATGAAATATTCCCATGTTAATAAATTTAGTTAGAAACATTCGTACAGTACTAAAATGACTAAATAATACCAAGTTACTGAAAGAAACAGAACAGTTTTGTTTTTGATGATAATGTATTCGTATTTTTGCATCGTGTGTCTTATAAAGATTTACTGTCAATATCGTAAAAATCAATTTGACAAAGAAAATGAGGACTGACAATGTAGAGAAATTATTTGTTAAGAATAATTTATATTAAAAGTACTAAAGTTTATTATAATCTATTGCAGTAAATAAAACAATATTGAAGTTTTTAAATATTTGTAATAATATATAAAATATAAACATCAGGTAAATATGTCTATTAAAAAATTAAAACCTTTTAAAAACTTTTATAATTTTTATTTGATTTAATTATAGAATTTATTTATATACAAATTATTTTTAACAATCTAAAGTTCTTGTATAAATTCATATAATTAATTGATATAATTAAAAAATTCATTTTATTTTTGTCAATAGCTACAGTACATAATTTTCAGTATAAAATTAAAATAAAATTAGATATATATGTTTATTTTTGCTAAAAAAAATTTAATTTATATACAGCTATTTGTGACATTTATATTAGTCCATATTTTTAAATTTTTTGTTTAAATTCAATACTTGTTATTTTAAAAAATCAAATTGTATGATATACCATATAAACAAAATATATGAAACAATGAATTATTTTAAATGAAATTTAAGTACAAAATTAAATAACAAAATTTTTTGTTATTTTATCTTTTATGGTATACACTTTCACAATGAGTCAAAAATAGAAAAATCTTTTTAATAGTAATCATAAATAGTATTGCCACGACTTTTAAATTTATAAAATATGAGTACTTAAAACTTAAATATATATTTTAAAACACTGCATTTAAAAAATAAAGTTATATCAGAACTAATACAATGTTAACTAGACTTTACTTTTAAGATTGTGAAGAGTATAAGAAATTTTTTAATTTTAGTTTTTAAAATGATAACTAAGATTTCAAATGGATGGAGCTTTTTCTATACAGATGAAGAAAGAGTTTTAAACGAATATTAAATATACATATTTAAATTATAAATTCTATGTATTTAAAAATAATTTTTTAATTGAGTATTTGTAAAAAATACTAATTTTAAATAGAATTTTATATACAATAACTTCAAAAACTTGAGTTTTAAAAATGATAATCATATTTAAAGTGTATTGAAATGTTATACTATTTCATACAAATTTGTCGCTACATTCCATATTTTCTATTTTTATAATAGAAAAAAAATTGGGTATTGATACTAAAACTTATTTTTGTTATTTATAAAAGGTTTCATTCATTTATAATATTATATTCTTTATTTTAAAAATTTTTAATTAATCAATTTTTCACACAGTTCACGATATTTAAATTAAAGTCTATTCATTAGAAGTTTTATATAGACTATTATTCATCTTTAAAATGTCTAAAGTTCATATAATTTTTGGACTCAAGGTATAGAATAAACCTTTTTTTTATTGATATGTTTAAAACTTCACTATTGTCATTATGCTTACGGGAAGAGACATTAAAATTATCAAATTAAATTAAAACAGTTCATCACAACTCTGAACTTAGTTATAAATGTAAATTTAAAAAAATAATAACTATAAATCTTCATATTTTCATAAATATATTTAATACCAGTTATTACTAAATATAAAAGATTCTTTAAATTATATAAGATGTGTTCTACAATGTCAAATAAATTATAGTATACACATTTTTAATTTACTATCATAACAAATATAATTATCTGATTTTATGTTTTTTATATTCTATATACCATAATCATATTTTACGAGATATATATTAGCATCTTACGAGTAATAAAAATGATCAAAGCAACTTTATTTTTTAATTATTGAAGAATTTAATTTTAGAATATATTTTTAACAATACGTACTGATTATTTGCAATTATATACACAAATATTATGAAACACCACACTAATTTTTATTACCCTTTTAATTTAATTCATAAATCACAAATAATGCCTGAAGTCTAATTCTCTAAGTTTATATAAGATTTAAAATAATGATACTTTAAACACTAAATGAAATTGATTTGAACTATCTATTAATTAAAATATTATTCTTACATTTTATAAATAAGCTAAAAAATTAAAATAACAGAGTTATTTGCAAAAGGATGGAATAAATATTCTCTATTTGAATTAAATATAAATACTTAAAACTTAAAATTATTTATATAATATATTTTTAAAGTTTATACGCAGTAAAGAAAGTTAAATAATTTTGAATCAATTTGCGACAAAGTTTGACAAAATTGAGTATAACAGTACATATAAATTTTATAATTTATTAGGTATTTCTTAAATAATGTAATAATTTTCTGTAGATGGAACTTTTTAATTTTATCTTAATATTAATAGATGGCGCTGCTTATAGATGAATTGTGAAATGTAGAGATTTTCCACATTGAAGGATTTCGGCTGACATTTTGAAAAACATTGAGATGAAGTTCTTTTATATATTTTCAGATATATTTAATGGTTTTATCGATTGAATATTATAATTATATATTTTGATTTTATAAATACTTAAATTTCATAAAATTTTTGTTTCTTAATAAATCTAATTTCTTAAAACAAATACTAATAATTATACTTCTACTATTCCATGGCATTTATTTTATAAAGAATCTGCATGTATTCTATTTTATTAAAAATAATTATGTTCAACATATATTCATTATAACTTTACTTCCATAATTGTAAAAGTAGAATGTACTTCAAAATAATTATTATCCACATGAATACATATGTATGCTTTTAAAAAACTTAATATTTTTATTACACCTGATAAAACATATTTGTTAAATTAGCTTGTAAAATTAATATTGTTTTTTACATATTATATTATTTGCAATCCATTAAATATATCAGAAATTAAATTTCAGAATTATATATTACTGTTTTTATAATTCTATTACAAACTTTCCTTAAGCTTAGAGAGTTAGGCCACAATAATAAAAATGAATTAACTCATAGATTATAAAACATTTTAATATTTAGTAATATTTTTGGTAAATATTGTTCCAATTATAACTCAGTAGCATAAAGTTTGCAAAATTAATTTTTTTCAATTTAAGCATTTCATTAATCCTGTAATTGTTGTACTTAGCAATTTTTTTTAAATATAATCAAGTAGTTGAATTAATTTTATTACTATTAATCACATATTTTATGATTAAAAAGTTCAATCAAATTTTAATATGTTACATTTTTCCATTGTATAACATTAAAAATAAATTTTACTCAATTTTTTCAGCCCTCCTACTGTTCACATGTACAAGACTATGTCTGTATGCAAGTAATTGTGTAAGTAATTATATAATGCTTTATATAATATATAAATTTACGTTGATGTATCATTTTAAGAAATACATAGAAATTTACACAAAAACTTAATTTGTTCATTATCATATAAACTTTAAGATATATTTACAAATGTTATATACAAACGCGTTTGAGATTATGTCAATAATAAGAAAAATATCAACATGGAACGCTGAATATATATTCTGTGTAATGCTTCGGATGCTTTATATTCTGAATATTTTCTTACTTTTTAGTTTAAAAAGCGTAATAAGCAATATTGAAGGAGTATTAAAATACTCATTACAAGCATTACTCTCTAATTGAGTTCTGTTAAAATACGTAGTGAAAATAATTATTAGTCCAATAAACATTGTTTTATTATTATTATCCATTAACGAAGTCATCGACGTCATCCGGTATACCCAACTTCCGTCGACAATCTGGGCAGTACCACTTACCCTTGGGTGGCACCATAATTCCTACACACTCGAAGTGAAACCACTCGATTTGACAATCATCCCCGTCACAGGCTATCATTTCAGATACCTCGTCGTATGGGCACTGACAATAACAGTATAAGTTGTTCGCGCGTTCAAGTTTTGGTGGATGAAGCTGTGGATAATGTATTTGTGTTTGTGACATAACATTTTCACTTTCATTGTTTGAATCATTTGCGTCACTACTGGTATCTACTGGTTCATTTGAGTCACTACCAGAAGCTGTAATTACTAACATTCTTTCATTTTCAACCACATGATTTTCATTGCCTTCTTCTTCTTTGTACCTTTGTTGTAATATTTTTTCCTGCTGTAATTGTAATTGTTGTTGCTGTTGAAGATTTTGTTTATAATTTATGTTTCTACTTGTCGATGGTAATTGAGGCTTTATTGGTGTTGGTATATCAACTCGTCTCCATTTTAACATTTGCTGTTTATGATTTTCTTCGTCGCTAGAATCTCCATAAAAACGTTTTGGGACACGTTTTCTTTTGGATGATCTTTTTATATCAGTTTCAGAACCACTACCCCTGATATTTTGAGACATATTTATAATTGATGATTCAGAAGCCATCATTTTATTCATTTCAAATACTGACTGATTAGCTGTAAAATTAGACGATGAATATCTTTTTACAGACGATGGTTTTGAAGCATATTCTTTTTTTTGGTACATTAATTTTGGAATGTGCAGTTTTATCGATGCTATAGTTTTTGCAGGATTTCTAACTTTTCCATGTTCATCCCTTTTATATTTTCTTGTTTTAATTTTTTTTCTTAATGATATTTTTTTTAAATGGTGAGCTGGTGTTGATGGAGCAGATGAATGCAATGTTGTGTCAGTATCAATAACACCATTATTTACAGGGGTTGATATGCCAGAATTCATAGAAGCTGTGGTAACATCAGTAACTAACATTAGTTTATTTCGTTTTTCTGCTAATAGCTTATTTGCTAATTGTTGAGGTTGCTCGTCATAAAAATCTTCATCAGTTTCTGTTTCACTTGTATCAAGATCAGATTCCATTATCACGAATTGCATTGAATTTAATGAATCAGCAATTTTATCTATTTCATTATTTTCAATTATTTCTAAAGCTTCATCAATATTTTTTGTAACTTCAACTTTTTCGTCTTGCTTAACTATTTCTTTTTCTTTTTTATGTTTTTCTCGATTTGTATTTAACTTTCGTTGCAAATTTATTGAAGAACTTCCTGAATCTGAGCTACTGCTGGAACTGGAACTACTACTAGATGAGGAACTACTACAACTGCAATTAGTTCCACAAGAACAACTACTAGATTCGCTATCACTCGAAGAATCACTGGAAGATGTACTGACATTTTGTTTTTTCTTTTTGAAAGATTTACTTTTTTTTTTAATATAATCATTTTCCATATTTTGTTTATTTATTATATTAGATGACGTTATTTCTAATTTTACATCAGAACTGTGATTGATTCTGATATTGTCATCAATTTTTGAGGAAGATTTATTACAAGACTCTTCAACTTTATCTGAATATATAATACAATAATCATGATCAGCCAGTACTAGATGTTTTAAATGTTCTGGATCATTATTTTCTTTATATTTTGCATTTTCTTGTTTTTCCTTTTCAATAGAGTCTGATTCTATTGCAATCATACTGGAAGAGTCTTGCTTTTCTAAACTTGCTGTATATGATTTAAAATTATCCCAAATTCCATCCATTATCTGTTCTTCTTGTTTTTTTTCTTCTTCATTTCTTTCAACTTCAACAATAATATCAGTATTAAGATCGATATTAACTTTAGCATTAAATGTTGATTCAATTTTATCGTTTGATTCTTTTTCAATCTTGTTCGATATTTCATCAAATTTATTATTATTAATTTTATTATCTTCAATTTCACTATCACTATCAGAAGATAAATTCAACGGTGGCAAGTCATATACATCTACTACTTTCTTAACTGCTTCTTTAACAATAATTTCAGAATTCAGAACTGTATTACCCTCTTCATTAGTTTTCATGTTACAAACATCAATGTGAATTTCTTCAGTTAATATTTGTTTATAATTTACATTTGATAATGTACTATGACATGGTAATAAGGGTTCTTTATGACTTTGTTCATGTTTAGCTAGCAATTTTTTTGATATAAATTTATTAGAACATTCAAAACAAGAATAAGGAAAATCACCAGTATGAATTCTTTTGTGCACTTTTAATGCAACAGCTTTAGAAAAACTAAATCCACATTCTTCGCAAGAAAAAGCTGTGGGTGGAATGCAAAAATGATAGATATGAGGCCATTTTTTTTGCAAACATTTTTTACAAAGCACACTTTCAGTTCCATGTTTCCAAAAAAGATGTTTTGTTATATCAGGCTTATTTCGATAAGATATACCACATCTATAGCATAGATGGTGTAATTTATGTTTCCATACATGATTTGATAAACGTTGCTGATTACCTGTAGATTCTAAACAAACATCACAAGCATGATGATGTTTGCGTAAATGAACCATTAATCTAAATGCTGATGGAAGATTAGTTAGTGAACAGAGACAACAACGATATTGAACATTAATGTTAGCAGCATATACACCTGGACATAAATGGCATAATAACTCACTATAGCTACAAAATGTTGATTTACACATTATACATATTAAAATTGGCTTTTGATGCATTTTTCTATTATGTAAATATAGTTCTTTGTGAATAGAAGAACAAAACCGACAAAGAAAACATTCATATACTTTTACAGTTGAAATATTGTAAGTGCCTTCTTTACTGTTATAGGAATCTAGATTAAAATAATAAGATTTTAAATCTTCTAAGCATTTTTTAATTTTTGCTATGAATTGTTCTTGATGTATAATTACAGCAGGATGTTGAGGTTGAAATCTATGTTCTGTAAGCATATGAAGACACAATTGCTTGCCATTAACAGCTATGTGTCGAGCATGATTGCAATAAACACAAATTGCACATACAGCTTTAATACAAAGTTTCAATAAATCTTCTATATTCATACTTTCTAAAAGGCCATCTACGTTTAAATCAATCATTGGAATTTCTTCTCCAGCTAATAAAATTCCATCAGTATTTTCAGTACTGGTAGTTACTGTACTAATTATTTGTTTATCCTGTAAATTAAATGATTCTTCTATCTTCTTTTCTCGATGATTCTCAAAGTTATTTACAGTCACATTGGATTTATCTTCATCACTAACATATGACACAATTGTTGAGTTATGAATTTTATTTTCATCTTCACAATTATCAATCAAAACCAGATTATCACTGCCAGAGTCGTTATTTTCTTTGTTTGTACAAAATTTATCTTTAATACTATCATTTTCTTCGTGTATTAAAACTTTACCATTAGAAACTTCACCATTATTGTTTTCTTCAGATTCTTTAGAATTATCATGATTTTCAGTTAAATTTGTTTCAAGTGTTGGGGTTCTAATGGAAAACACTGAATTATTTTTAGTACAAATTTTAATAACTAAACTTCTGTCTGTTAGAGGTGTAATATTTGAAATGGATTTACTCTTCAATCCAGATTTTCTCAAATCTTTCTTAGTTTTAATTGAAGTATTTTGTATTTCACAAATAGGGCTAAATACAGATCTACTTGTAGGACTGCTAGGACTATTAATTATTTGAGATTTAGAATCTGAATTGGAATCTGTGTGCATATCATTGAATAACTTATCGTCCATATCGATGTCTTTAATTTCAACAGACTTGCTAATAACCTCATTTAATCTTACATCATCTTCGTTCTTAGGATTTGAAGACTCAACTGTTCCCTTACTTATGATACAATTTGGAATGTTCACTGTACTATTTTTGATAGGTGTTACTTTATCTGCATATGATATATTAATATAATTATGCTTACAACAAGATACTTCCATAATTGTTTTGGTGACATTATCATAAATATTATTAATAGTATCATTGTTTAATGATTTATTTTCATTTATAGCTTTATTATTATTCAGAGTTATATTGCTCTGGTATTTGTTACTCACATTGCTACCTAAATCTTCCCTAAATTTGGATACTTCCATGATAGTTTCAGCAACAGTATCTTCTATTAAATCATGCATAAGTTTTTGAGATTCAATAGCTGATTTATCAAAATTATCTGCTTGAAATTCTGAATTAATACATTTATTTATTTCATTAATATCTGATGTATTTTGCATTTTAGTTCGTTTAGCACGAACATTTGTTAACTTAGTATATAAATAAACATCATCGTTTGACCTGTTAGGTTTTATTGTTCTTTTTGAATATCTTCGAATACCAGTTATAGTTGGATTTGAAGTCAAATAATCAACATTACATAATTTTATATTACTCATTGATTGTTGGTTTTGATGATTTTTTTGTGTAGTCAAATTACATGTTCTAATATGAGTTCCTACTTGTTTATGTAATGAACATAATTCAGAAGTTTGATTATGTTGCAGTGAACAAAAATGATTATAAAAATTATCAGTTTCTGAAAATATTTTTTCACATGAACAACAGACAATATAACAAGAACCTTTAAAAGTTTTATAAAATTCTTCTACAGAATGAAATGATACTTCTGGAATATTATGCTTCTTTGATAAATGACGAGATAATCTTTCTGCTTGTCCGAACATACCAAGACAAAATAAACATATATGACGGTTGTGTACTTCACGCATGTGCAAAAACAGATTCCAATTTTCAAAGTATGTTTCACATGCTGCACATAAATAAACTTTTCTTGTAATTTTGAAATTTGATGCTTGAGAAAGAGGTAATATTTCAGAATTTGTAGTAGAAGATAATTCAGATGTATAAGTAGATGATAATCCAAAGTTATAATTAATTGGTATTTCAGAGCTATTACTACATGGTAGTTCATAACTATTGGTAGATGGAAGTTCAGAACTACAACTAAATGATTGTCTATAATTAGTATATGGTATTTCAGAATTACTATTTGGTGGTATATTTGTGCTACTTGTAGACTGAAATTTACATGTAATAATCGAAGATGATTCAGACTTATTAGTAGATAATTTGGAACCATTATTTAGAGATAATTCAAGAGTACTAATATTTTCTTGCAGTGGAGTTATTATTGTTGAACAATTACATTGATTTACATTGGATGTACAAGAATTATTTTCCATGGAATTGCATTTAGTACATTCAGATTTTGTTAATGTAGGTTGAAGACCTAAATATTGAGTATACTCTGCCATTTTTTTTGTCTTTCTTTCTATCATTTTAACTTCCTTTATCGTATCATTACTATGTTTTACTCGTTCCATAGATATATCATCAAATAAATCTGTTTGATTTTCTTGTGTATGTTTTATCATATTTCTTTTAAATCCTTTAATTACATTTTTTACACTTGTATTAGAATTTTTATTATTATCTGACTCACAGGAATAAGCAGAATAGAAATAATCTTCCTTATTCTTTTCTATTTCATTAAAGCAAAGACTTGAGTTATTTATTTGTGTTAATGATGTATCAATTACTGTATCTTTATAATATGCCTCTTCCCATAAGCTCCATGTATCCACAAGCCCATTTTCACTATCTTCATCTTCCATAATAGTGTAATAAATTTACACTTATTATCTACAACATAAAACAATAGAGCTGTAAAATTACTTTTAATGTTATATAAAATTTGATATTAATAATCTAGACTCTTATACAACATGAAGATATTTCTATTTGAACAATATTTAATAAATTAGAAAGCTAATTTCAAGTATATTAAAAAAATGAATGTCTAATATAACCATTTTCTATTATTTTTCTTTACAAGCTAAATAATTCATTGTATTAATTTATTGAGTATTTATCAAATCAATCTTCGATAAAAATATATTAAAATTAAAAAGCAATTATTAAAATTATAATGGATAAAAAATATTATAAATATAATTCATTTTGTTTTTGTAAAGATTAACGTGTGGCCTCAAAAAAATTATTGATAAAAAGTAATTCTATAAAGATCTTTTTGGGTTGAATTGGCTTTCTCATAATAATTCAATAAAAAACGATCACACAAAACTTTTAAGAAAGCAATAGACTTAACATTTTTAACGTGTGTAATAGAGTATTTATAATAACGAAAAGTATTCATGTAATTCTAAATTACGTAGAAGTCTTGTATTTAAAAAGTTAAACTTCATACACACCTTACGTATTAATAGTTCGGCAGCTGCAACTTTTACTCCAATAAGCAATAAAAAGGCTATAAGCAGCAACCACGATTATTAGATTGCCATCCACGTAACAATTAAATAACTAATAAAGATTTCGATTCTATTGCTTTACTTATTAAACATTAATTATCCGTTGAAAGGGATTTATTGATAATTTTCTTGTAACAATTCTTTTACAACTATTGCCCTGGGCTCTTTGGGTTTGTAGTATCGAACAATCGCAAGAGGTTAGTAAAATGGCGTCATATCATTACGAATGCGGCAGCGGCTAGCTGTTTCCTCTTGTGCTGCAACAACAACTCCAAGACTTTGACCACTAATACCATCCTTCCTCATGGTAGCGCCGATCAAACACAATTTTTTTTCTCTCTGTCTTCGTTCTCCCGGTTAATTTAAACTAAATATTTATAAATTGTTTTGTGCTATACTATTTCTGACCCTCTCAAAGGTAACCGCGCAGTAGTTAAAAATGCTTAAATTGGACGAAGTTGTTGCAAAGAAAAAAATGCGCTGTATGCGTTCCAAGTCCTAATGTCTTAGACCTTATAGGTCTCAATTCCTCTAAATCAAGGTGCAAATTTACAATCGTACATTGATTATTATGCGAAAATCTCACTGGCTTTATAATTTAATGACAAGGATTTCTACTTTCGATCTTGTCCTTGTATTTGAGAATCCTTGAACTTGCGTGCTTGAAGCCGGTATACGACTGCTAATAAATATATTAAACGTAATGGAGCTATTGCGCTGTTGTTTTCGTCCCCGTCGGCGTGAACGTGCAAAAAATTGAGTGGCCAGGCAAAAGCAATGGCTAGGCATCTCGTTTCTTCGTGTGACAAGCCAATGTAACCGCCGTATTTACAGCACCGTTTCACTTAACAGTTAACAACTAACCGCGAAGAAAGAACAAAAATAACCCCCTCTTTTCTTGGGCTTACCTATATAATATAGACTGGTACAGTAATGTTAAAGAGTAGAGACAATTTAATGTACTGAGGTAATAAGAGGAGGTACGTGCGCATACAAAATTTATTGGGCGAATATTGCAGTTTCCATTGTTATTTACTTTTATTTATATATAACGACCACATTCGCATTTATACAGGTTCTAGATCTAATTTTGATAGAAATGTTTTTACAAATTTTAATTATTTATTTTCGTTAACATAATCGTAATTTATATTAAAAATTAAACAACGCTAAATATATATCTTTTTTTAATCAATTAACTCAATTATTTTTAAATCTAAATTTCATTAAAAAAGAGTTGTATTTAGAAAAGTTTTATTTATTAAAATAGTAAAATTGTATCTTTCTTTAGTATATTAAAATTTAACATGATACAGTTATGCTAAATTTTAAACGAAAACTGCACAGATTTATTTGTCTATATATTTGCATCACGCAGCTTATTAATATTTTAGACATAATTTCTTGATATTTTCGTATAAAAAAATCAATTATTACAATATAAATATTTTAAAAATTGAGCTAATACGTTATTCACATGTGCGCTCACATTTTAAAAACGATTTGAATTCATATAATGAGTGCTTTTAAATGTTTGCAAAACAAACATTTTGTGAAAATTTTCGTTAACTATATTATAAATAATAATTTTATATATAATGATTTTATAATATAACATATAATTAGTATAAATATAAAATTATAAATACATTAATCATATATATTAATAATTTACTAATATTTTATAGTAATTTTTTTTTAATAATAATGTCTAATTTTTTGTAATTGAGTCACATAAATCTTAATTTTATTGAAAACGAGTATAAACATAACTTAAAGTTATTCCTTTGTTAATGATTATTATATGTTCGCAGTTTTAAATTTTCGTTTTAATTAAAAAATTGTTATATAATAAATATATATTATAATCTTGCTACATTTCAGATTTTTCATTAGTTGATTAAATGTTTAATTAGCTATTGAATGTATACAAAATTTGTTTGTAATTTCAATACTAAATTTCTAAACAAAAATATTCAACATATGTTTTATTATGAATATAAAATATTTATGATAAAGTCATTTTAATGAAAAATTATAAAAATAAAAATACATATTTGTATATTTATTTCTTTATATATTATAAGTTACATTTTTATTAGTTTTTAAATAGAATTTATTAAATCAAAATTAATTATTTTTTGTGAATTGATTATATATATGTAAAACATTCATTTTGATAATAACGACAATATCAATAATGAAACAAAGCATTATATAGAAAGAATTAGTAATCATGCACTATTTTAGCTTACGACGTATTGCGTAGGACGGATTGTGGGAAAATTAAATATCTTGAAGTTATTCACTTTATAAATTTCGATATTTTTCTTAACTCCTTTCAAGCAACTATATTCAGACTTCCAAAGTTGATGAAAAAGTTACAAATGTGGTATCAGAATAGTTTGTACCATTTCATGAATTCGTAATGTACTAAATATTGGTTTATTTATTCGATATTTAATGTATATTGTTTTTTGACGCTGACATTGTTTGTGTTTTTATAAGCTATTTAAATAGTATTTAAAATTGCCAAAGATTGATCAAGTACTTAGGGTTAAAGATTGGTCAAGTTGAGAAGAGAGCTAAGAGTGTAGCATCTCGCTTAGACGAGTCGGTCGGTCGTTGTCATTTGAAAACGGAAGCCATCTTGTGGCAGAATCTCATATATTATACGACGGATTAATAGTTGCTGACTATTTCTATCGAAAAGTTACTCTGCATTTTTTTCATTACGTCTAGACTATGCACGAATCATTGTACCATACGTTTGCATAGCCATGGCTGCGACGAGAAAGTTGCAAGGTGAGGTGATACTATTTTCAGAATGTTTACATGTAAATTAACTGCAATTTCTTGCATTGTTCTATAATCTTTTTATCAATTCATCTACAATTATTAGTTTCTACAGTATATTTTCTTTGGTTTACACATTCGATTATTTCATTTTATAAAACCGATATGCAAGTATATTTTTTGTTAGATTTTTTTTATTTCAAGTTGAAAGTTAACCAAATATTCTTTTTTATCAATTCTTTATTCCAAATATTAATGCTGATTGTAATATATGGTTTTAAACTTATTATTTATTATCATTAATATATATTTTCATGTTAATATTGATTTTTATGTAACATTAATTAATAAAATCTGTTAATGAACAGAGTATACAATATTAAATATTGATTATAAAATATGTAAAATAAGTAATATATTTATAAAAAAAATATAAATTGTATTGTATTAATATACGATAATGTGGAAACATTTAAATAAATGTTATATGTACAATTTTTGGATTGCAAATTCTACTTAAATAACAGTTATATATAAATATAAATATTAATTCATTTGTATATATAATTAAAATTATTTAACAAAATTCCTTAATAAATATTTAAAAATATATTATTGTTTTACAAATACTGAAATTTTATTTCAAGGTGAAATTGATAGGTGCCTTAAGAAAGTAACAGAAGGTGTTGAAACATTTGAAGATATTTGGCAAAAAGTTCATAATGCAACAAATAGTAATCAAAAAGAAAAATATGAAGCTGATCTCAAAAAAGAGATCAAAAAGCTTCAAAGGTTACGAGATCAAATCAAAAGTTGGATTGCATCAGGAGAAATTAAAGATAAGAGTACCTTACTTGATTACCGTAAACTTATTGAAACAGTAAGTTTTATAAAAGCTTTTATAAATAATTTAAGATCTAAAAAAGTTATTAGTATTTTATTTATACTTTTAAGCAAATGGAAAGATTTAAAGTTGTAGAAAGAGAAACAAAAACAAAAGCTTATTCTAAAGAAGGCTTAGGCGCTGCTCAAAAATTGGATCCTGCACAAAAAGAAAGAGAAGAAGTTAGTAATTGGCTTGCAAATTCTATAGACACTCTTAATTTGCAGGTATAGAAAATTTTGGGTTTAATTTATTTAAAATAAATTCACTATTTTAAAATTAAATTTTCTATTTTTTTTGTAGCTTGATACATTTGAGTCAGAAATAGAATCTTTACTTGCTGGTAAAAAAAAAAGATTAGATAAAGATAAACAAGATAGAATGGACGAGCTCAAAGGAAAACTTGATAAACATCGATATCATATTAGAAAGCTGGAAACTTTGTTGCGTATGTTAGATAATATGTCTGTTGAAGTTAACACAGTAAGTTTGTATTTGATATATTTTCAAATTTAAACTATTCATATATTTTATTAAAATCTACAATTTTGTTTAAATAATGTATTGTAAAACATAATTCATAGATTAAAAGGATAAAAGATGATGTTGAATATTATATAGAATCATCTCAAGAGCCTGATTTTGAAGAAAATGAATATATTTATGATGACATTATTGGTCTAGATGAAGTTGAATTATCTGGTGTTACGATACCATCTTCAGCAACAACAGATAGTAATAATAGTAATGAAACTGGTGGTACACCTACATCAACTAATTCTGGAACTTCACCAATACCATCACCTCCATTGAGTTCAACAATGCATAATCATTCAAGCGATAGTTCTATAGATAATGATAAGAAAACGAAGGTATATATACATTAAAAATATCCAGATTAACATGTTTATTATGAGTATTATAACTATAAATGTATATATTTGCACATTTGTTATGTATATATATACATATTTTTAGCCTGTAAAACCAACAGCAGTTAGACCATTAGTTAATACTCAAGTGAACATTTCAACATCAGGAAGCACTGCCAATATAAAATCATTACTGTCAAGTAGCACTCCAAGTAAGACCATTCTTACAACACTTAGTCACAGCTCACCTAGCTCTACAATCAACCACATTTCTACAACCAATCCTGGTAATTTTGCAACTGTGGCTGCTTCACACAGCAATTCACAAACTATTCATACAAATTCTAGCAAAATAATATGTAAGTATAATATCTATTTATATGGTGACAGATATAAATTAAAAGAGTTTATTTAATTTATTTAAACAATCATTGTTTTTCAGCGCATAGCAGTGAAAATGGGTTATCATTATCTTCATCCTTGATTTCTAATGTGCCACAAATAATTTCCCAACAACATCAGCAATCACCTTCACAATCAGTACAGCAAATATCACAACTACAGCAGCAACAACAGCCACAACAATCACAACTACCGCAACATATCAATTCAGCTTCCTCACAAATACTACATATTTTACACAATCAACAAAATCAGAATTATAATAATGAAGTAGAAATGACAACTTCCATAATAACGTCAACCTCACCTCAATCATCCGTTAGCAACTGTTCTTCGCCTATTCTAACAAATTCTTGTTCACCAGCACCATCAACTGCTAATGGTCTCATAACTAAACTTCCTGATGGCATGTCTACTTTAAAGTCTATTGCTCAACAAGTAATTGTTCGAGCAGGTTTAGAAATGCCAACTTCTGAATCAACAAGAAGTATTTTTGATAACTCCAAAACAAATAATGTTATCGGTAATAATAATGCTACTGCAGAAGCTCACATTCCACCTTTACTTGGAGTCGCTCCACTAGGACCAGTTCCACTGCAAAAAGAGCATCAACACCAGTTTCAAATGATGGAATCAGCTTATTACCATATGCCTCATCCATCTGATTCTGAACGATTGAGACCATATTTACCTCGAAATAATTGTCCTACACCTCCATATTATCAACAGGTATAAATTTTTAAACCTATTTAATATTAATAAACATAAATAATTAAATAAAATATATAAAATATATAAAATAAATACATTCAAAATTTGACTACAATACAATATTAAGCACCAATTTACAAAAATGTTGTGAAATCATTGTAATAATTAAATTTATATTTTATGTATAAAATTACATGATAAATTTGAGTAAATAGTTAAAAAAGAGATATATTATAACTTTGTTATTTATCCTATTATTTTATTGTCTAAAAAATCTAAATGAATTTTAATGTTAAATTTTTCACATAGCATCGACATAATATTGAAGGTTTTAAATCTATCAATAATTTATATTTTAAAATCTAAAGAAATTAAAACTAATATTTTCTTTATTGTACTTAATTACTTATACAAAAAATACAAAATAAAATAATATGAAAAAAATTGATATATTCATTATATTTCTTTTAATATTACATAGATAATTAAAATTGTAAAAATTGGTAATTTATAAATTTTTATATTCAGGTACAGCTTCCTCATTCTGATACTGTGGAGTTTTTCCAACGCCTTTCAACAGAAACATTATTTTTCATATTTTATTATATGGAAGGTTCTAAAGGTCAATATTTAGCAGCTAAAGCTTTAAAAAAACAAAGTTGGAGGTTTCATACTAAATACATGATGTGGTTTCAAAGGCATGAAGAACCAAAAGTTATCAATGAGGAATATGAACAGGTGGGAAAATTAAAATTTATGTTAATTAATAAGATCTAAAATCAATAATATTCATGATTTTATTAATAACTTTAGGGAACTTACATTTATTTTGACTATGAAAAGTGGGGACAAAGGAAAAAGGAAGGCTTTACTTTTGAGTATAAGTACTTAGAGGACAGAGATCTCAACTAATCTCAATCCTGTTATTTTCAAAATCATTGAAATATATTATTTCTGTATCGGTATTATTGAAAATTTATGGACAGATATTTTTACAGTTCAATATTTTCACAAAATATATTTTTATTGTTTTAAAAAGATGTATACAAAAAAGCATCTAATGATGGGGACGTGTCAAGAAAACTTGATTGCATAGCAATTTTGTAGTGTTAAATTGCTAGCTATTTTTTTTGAAGAGTAAAATGAAAGATTCATAATAAGAACAAAGGAAATTTATTATTTGCGTTTATTCGGGACAGTAAATTGTATCTATAAATAATACTATGAAAGGCACCAAATACACACTGTAGCGTTTTATAGTGTGTGGTGTGTGATAATAAGAGGAAGAAGTTATACTTGTTGGCGACTGACTCTGTAATACCAGTACAAACATGCGTGCAAACCACCTACCATTTCACAGTAAGGTGAAGGGCGCACATGCCATGGTATGTCTTAATGTTAGATTATAAGTAGCCTTTTTGTATAAAGTTTATTGAGGTATAAGTCCTTAAGATGAATTACTGTACAGATTGTGTAGAAATAGTAAAAAATAATATTATGGAATATACTTTATTTCTCATTTAAAAGAAAGTTTAGTTGTTTCAACTATCATTTTCTGAATTGTAACCTAAATTTAAGAAAAACATTCCATCCAGTGAATTGTTTACTAATCATTGTTAAATCAATGATTTTAAATTTCATACTATCACTCATAATACTTAAAATTCATTTTTTCAAATTTTTTATAAAATTATCTTTAATGTTTACATGTACTTAATTTTTCTTTTACTTATTTAAAGTGGTCATAATACTGTTACATAATTGCAACTAGACAGTTTTAAAACAAGATGGATGAACTATATAAATCTTTTTTTTCTACGTGACATTTTAAGTATTTGTTGAATAAAAATATAAACAAACAGAATTATTCTAAGATTTTAATAAACAAAATTAAATATGTATATACATTCTTACAAGCATGGTGTTCACTACTTTATGGCCTTCAACGACAACAACAGAATGTCATTAGTAATACATGTATCATAAAATTATTAAAATTTCAGCACAGTGAGGGAAATAGTGATACTATTAAGTAAAAGAATATTTTAAATTGAAATATTGAAAACATTAAATTTTTTGTAAACTAGTTTAAATGTAACAAAGTATCGTTTAAATTATGAACATAATTTAAAATTAACTTTTTAACAAGAACAAATTTACTTTGTTATAAAAATGATGTATAAAAACACTATAAAAGTAGTTTCAGTTTAAAAGTATAAAGAAACTACTCTTTTCATAAATTATTCTTGGATATAATGTAAGTAGAACCTATGCATTTAGTATAACCATTTTCTGTTTTGCTTCTTGAATATTACGATAATACAATAAATTTTTGCTAAGCAAAATATTATTGAGTTAAACAATTATTATTGAAAGAAGTTGAAATATTCATAAATTTTTATCAATACTTTTTCCTTTTTCCTTTCATTCGTTTTCTAATCCCAACAGATTGTTCTGTGTCATCATCTTCAATATCTCTTGACTGTTTCTTTTTTTTACCTGATTTTTTATTTTCTTCTATGTCTTTTAGTTCCTTAATAATAAATTAAACTTATTATTTAAAATAAAAATATTAAAACACAATATACTTTTTACCATTTTTATTAAACGTTGAGCCTCTGCTATTCTATCTTGAAGTATCATTACTTCATCTTCTTCGGTTTTATATTCTGGAAGTTCTTTACCAATAAGATGTTCTATTCGTTGATATAATTCAACATCATATTGGGTTACAAATGTAATAGCAATACCAGAACGTCCAGCTCTAGCAGTTCTTCCAACCCTATGAATATAATCTTTACTATGCATTGGAATATCAAAATTAATCACAACGTCAACATGTGGAATATCAATTCCTCTAAAAAAAAATTAAATAGAAAATTATAAATTAAAAAATATCTAATTATTACAATTTTATTAACCTGCTTGCAACATCTGTGGAAATTAAAATAGATCTATTTTTTGCTTTAAATTTTGTAAGAGCAGCAATTCTTTTATTTTGTGACATTTGTCCATGTAAAGGAACAGCCATAAATCCTAAGCTACGCAATAGAAGTGATGTTCTTATAGTATTATTACATGTAGAACAAAATATCATAAAACTATTTCCAGATAGTTCATTTAAAAGATGAACTAAATATACATCCTGATCAATAGAAAAAAATATAAAATATTTAAAATCTAAAATATATAAATTTATTTTGATATATTACTTTATTATACTTTAAATTTTATAGGGATAAAAACATAATATTGTTTTAGTTTTTCTACTGTTTGATACTTGGTTGACACTTCTATTTTAACTGGATTTTGTAAAGAAGCACGTTGTAATTTGTGTACTTTTTTTGTCATAGTTGCCGAAAATAATAACGTTCTTCGTTCACGAGGGATTACTCGCAATATTTTATCTACTTCAACTTCAAAATCCATATTCAAAATTCTATCTGCTTCATCCATAACCTATAAATTTTATTTATTTTTAGATATAGTGCTTGATATAATAATTTTAAATGGTTTTATTACCAAAAATTTTAATGAACGTAAATTGAATCCTTTTGTATTTTCTAAATGATCAACTAATCGACCTGGAGTAGCAACAATAATATGTGGTTTTTTAGCAAGCATTAATGCTTGAGTCATCATGTCAATACCTCCCACGACAACAACACATTTAACACCAATACTACATCCTATAGAAATATTGATCATTAAAATTATTTTTGTTAAGTACATTTATGTTACAGTATTACCAAGTGCCTCAAATTGTTCAGAAATTTGAAAAGCTAATTCTCTTGTTGGTGTAAGAATCAGAGCAAAATATCTTTGAGGCTTTTCTAAAAGCCCTTGGAGTATTGGAAGAACAAATGCTGCAGTTTTTCCAGAACCTGTTTCAGCTAATCCTATAACATCTTTTCCTATTATTTAATAAATAATAAAACGTTTTTAATCATATTTACATTGTATATATTTTTTAATAAAATGATACCTTGAAGTGTAAGAGGAATGGCTTCTTTTTGAATTTTTGTTGGTGCATTCCATTTTAAATCTTTACAAGCTTGGCATAATAATTCTACAATACCCTAAAATAAATAATCGCTGAATAGTAATAAAAAAAAAAAAATATATATATTCAATATTAATACTAACCAAATCTTCCCATGTCAATCTTTCTAGATTTTTTGATTTGTTATAAATATTATCTATAGTATTTGACATTTGTATATTAATTTAGTTATTTTTAATACAATATGATTAAAGTTAAAGGTTAAAGTAATTTATATTTTTAAATACGTATATTTTTTTATGAGAGCAAGATTAAAGATAGTAAATCTGCTAAACCACCATTTTATCTTTAATGTTTATTTCATTTATAAATTTTTAACGAAATTGAACCGCATATACCGAAATATTCAATGATGCCTTAGAAATTTCAATCTAAAATATGAAAATTGAAAGAACACAAAGAGATTTCTAAATGAGGAACAAGATTTACTTTTTTATATAAAATATTAAATATATTGGGATACAAAAGAACAGAATAAAGAAATTATTAAAATTAATAATTTATTAGCAATACATTTATAACGCATGCGCGAATTTTTCAAATAAAATATTATAATTATATATGAAAATTGTTAGTTGAAGGATACTTAAGTAAATGTCTCCCGCGTATATAGGAAATATAAAGAAGAATAAAATGCAATTATATTACGAAAAAAAAGGGAAAAAATAGATTTATAAATTTTATAAACTTATATATTTATAAATATTAAATATGTTTATGTAATCAACTATTTTTTTTGTTTTAAAAATGGCACTTTCGTTAATTTTGATTGCGAAATTAATTAAAATTAATTAGAATTATTTATAATTAATTGTGTACTGTTAGAAAAAACTACTTTATTATGTTTTGCGCATGCGCAAACATTTTTGTAAATCAAATTTAACACTATAATTTTGCAATAGTGATAATTGTTTAACTATGTATTATAATTTATATATTCGAGTCCTGTAATTCATTAAAATTTAATTAAAAGAAAGCAGTCACATATAACATTATAAATTCAAGATTATAGAAATACTTTGTATTAAAATTTTATAAACTTTAAATTTAAAATGAAATTAAATAAAATTTGTAAAAATATTATATATATATTATATTTAATTTGCTTAACTTTCTGGTATAAAAGTAAACTTTCTAAATGTTTTATATTTACATTTCATTGTACATTATTACAGGAAATTTTGAAATTTGATCCTAAAATAATTAAATATATTAGCATGTATAAGTATACTATTACTTCTGTAGATCTATTAATGTCATAATTATTCCAATGGTTTGTTAATTAAAAAATTTTTAATTTACTGATTTAGTCATTTATCATATACTTCGGTTTAAAATATTATGTATAACTTTTATATTTTATGTTTAAGGTTTTCATATAATAAGTTTAAATTAATTTAATTACGTTTAAATTCTGATTAATTTATAATTGACCATTAACTGTAATTAAATCATTTGTTATTAAAATAAATCTACCGTTTCACGAATTTTGCTGAAAAATATTGAAATTAGACATATTTATATTATCCTGACTTTGTAACTGATATGTTCTAGAGTGTATTAATTAATACTATATATACTATATAATAAGATAAATCTTATAATATATAAAATTCTTACGTAGTATCAAGTTTGATATAGATAAGTTCATTTTTGTAGGTTTTTACCGTAGTACCATATTTAATATTATTTTTTGAAAAGCAGCAATGATAGTAAAAAATAAATACTTTTAATTAACAGATTTAACTCAAACCAATGGGATTAGGAGAGCTCGAAAAGATTTATGACATAAAATATTTATTTGCGGAGAAATTATAATTTGAAAAATTCTACAAATGACTATAGAATCGAATTTTGTAATGAACAAAGTAGTTAAATTTCAATATGGAATTAGACATATAGAACTAAATCCACAAGGATAACACATTTTATAAATTTGTGTACATATATTTTTTAATATTTAAATAAATATTTATATATTTTATAAATTAATATTTTGAATTATTAATCATAGTATGTATTGGACTTTTAGTATAAAAAAAATTTTTAATTTGTTTGGAAAGTATAGTATTTGGCACATAATTAAATGTTTTTTACATATTCAACTTTATAAATTCTTTAACTTAGAAATGGTTACAAATTCCATGGTTCCAAATTGAGAATAACATTTTAATAATATGATTAACATACAGAATAAAATAAAATAAAATATACCATGGAATACTATATCGGTGGGTAGAACATACTTGAAAAGAAGATAAAAAAGTGAAATTAACGTATAAAGAAATTGTTCAAAGAAAAATTGATATAATACATTTTAAATTTGAAATACTCCACTAAAAATCCTACTTATTATCTTATTTATCTGCTTATTAAGCAACAATATATAAACAAAAATAATTTTTTACATAATTGTTTTATAGAAATACTTTCGCTTTTATATAACTTAAAGAATCTAGAGGAGTGGTATCTGAAAAAATATAAAAATATAAAAAGGTGCATAGTGATAGAATGTATTGCCTTACTTCGTTTTACCCTGTTGATTAATAAAAAATTAAACCATAATTTTCAAAGATAAAATCAAAAGGTATGGCATTTAATTATATGTCAATAATATCCACTCAGTCAAATTTACTGTTAATCTTCTATAACTTTATTCAATTTAATGACGATAATAGAGAGGTAATAACTAATGACAAGTAAGCAAAATTTTGGTAAATCATATCAATCTTATTTATAATATTTGAGATATGATTTGATTTAACTAGCTATTTTTCATGAAACAATATTCGATCTGCGTTAAACTTTTATGAATATCGGATAAGTACAGATAGAGTGTAGTAATTATTTTAAACAACGTGGACACATTTATTTTATTGTTAGTTACTAATCTTGGATAGTAGATAGTGTAGTAAAAGTTACTATAATTTCAGGAGGATCTATAAAAACAAATGTTATGCGTATAATCATCTTCTACAGCATATATAGAATAAATATTAATTATAAAGAAAATTATGTATACAGGGTACAATTAAATATAGGTGATATATGATAATTCTGTAAGGATAATTAAATAATAAATAATGATTTTAATATTTATGATCAAACAAATATTTTACTTTCATTTTTTTAGCAAATTTAAGATTTGTTTACAAATATTATAAAATAATATAACATTTTATTTTATAAGTAATGTTTAACTGATCATATAGCCATCAAATGTGTATACTTATATATTCCAAAAATTTTTAAAATATTTTTATCTGTATTCTAATTTGTATCCGACTGATGTTAATACAGTAATATTTAAATATATCTTTCTAAAATTATTTATAATTTATATATTCATTTTATTAAAATAAATACTTAGTTTCGACTAATTTAACAAAAATATAATCAAATACATAATAAGGCTACTATTAAATAAATTTAAATAAAATAAATCAGTTTTATGTAAATATCAATTTAAAATAATAAGAACGAAATAATTAATATTAATACATCAAACTATTTTTAATTAGAAAAAATGATTCTATAAGTTATCATTAGAGTAATAAATGGCTTTACCTTAATCCCATAGAATTAAATTAAAATAATTAACAATATACCAGTTTCATCGATTCGAAGTAGGAAATCTGTAATGATTGTCTTCCCGTGTAAACGTTATCACGTTTCTATCGAATGAAATAATGATATCTCTCAGTGAATAACATAGTTGATTAAGTACATATTCACTTGAAATTAAGTGAACTATCTCGATTAAGCAAGATAGGAAAAATAAAAAATTGTAATTAATATAGGATGGATTACAAAAAAAGATTATTAATAATATCAAATTTTTATTTAAAATATATTTTTATTTTTAGGAAGCTTGAGAATGAGAACAAATATTCATGATGTGTATATTTTAATTATATGATTTCTTAATTATTTGTTAATTTCATTTATTGAAAAAATTTTATTTTCAATAAGCAATGTTCAATTTGTTTGAACTAAAATTTTTTTCAAATATTTTGTTTATTTTTTAATAACCTTTTATTTTTTATTTTGAACTATAAAGTTATTAATGTTATTATTGGTTCTGTTTACTCGTACTATAAGACATCAGTTTCTCAACAAAACGGAGAAATATAGATGCGTATTTTTCATCATATTTATTTAAGCAATTGATCTTGTTTTTCAACAAACTCCATGTTTGTCTTATTTAAATAAATAAAATATTTCTTTTTGGTGTTCATCAATAAATGGAATTTTAAAAGTTCAGTATACAACAAGAAAATAAATTTACTAATAAAAACCGTGAAATATTTTTAATAGATTTTATTATACGGCTGAAATATTAAATCATGAAAATGTTTAATCAATATTTATTTCTTCTTTATTTTTATATTTTATATTTGTTTGATATTAGTTTGTGCATTGACAATGTTTATGAACAAATTTCACCTTACATGTAAGCTATTTTTGAACGTGTATATTTTAATTCTAAATATTGTTAAGGCATCATTTTAATTTTATATATTTATGTTTAAAAATACAAAGGCAAGATTCTCAAATTATTGATCCGAATTCTTTATTCTATAACCGTCAGTCTCAGACAATTCAGATACCAAAGAATTATAAATACGAAGATGTGGTTAATAATAAAATGTAATTAATTTTTTTATTGGAAAAAGTATAATATTGAATATAGTCAATTTTAATTATTTATTAACTTTTAGTATAGTGAGAAATGTATTTGATCATCACTTATATTGCAAGGACAATTATTATGAAGTTTTTATTACAAGATTAATAAATATGTTAATTTTCAAATCAAATTTTCAGGTGAAATATTTTATTTATACTTAGTTAATAAAGTTTTATTAATTATTAACATTTACTTTTGTCAATATTTTATGTAGATAATTAATGATATAGCCTTTGGAAAATTAGATTTAGAAGCAACTATTGAAGAATTAGAAGTCTTGCAAAGTTTCAGAGAAAGAAATATTTCTATTAGACAAATTGATACCATTATTAGTAATATTGTACGTCCAGTTCCAATTAGTTCATTCGATAAAATTATTTCTTATTCAGATATATTAATGATATATTTTTATGAAAATGTGAGTAAATTTTAGTTAAATATAATTTTAAATATTTTAAAAATAGTTCTTTTTTTTTATTTTTAATGTCGTATAAATATATTTTAACAGATAAACCATTTTATTAAAATTATATAATAAAATTTCTTTAAACATGAATTTCCAATTTTTTTATTTTAGAGGATATTTCTTGGAACGATAATTTTAATTTTATTTATTATTAGAATATGTCTTAAGATAAAGTGGACAAGACCTAAAATAATTATTTTAACTTTCGATGTTATGATTTCAATTTCTTATATAATAACTTATTGGGATCTTGTACAGGTTAGTAAATATTTACTTCTTATTTATATTATTTGAATATTATTTTTAGTTATATTTTATATATGCAGGATAAACAGATTAAGTTAGCAGCTCAAGAAAAGATGTATTCATCATTATATAAAATGTGCAATCGAAATGAAATTAATTTTTTTTCGAAAGTATATTTTTTTTTTAGTTACAGAGGTTTTGGCAATGATGCTTGTTTACAATATTTTGAAACAATTATCACAAATCCTGCCTTAAAAGTAACACCACTACATGTTTTAACTCATATGTGTAGTACATGTGTATTCTATCCATTTTCAATTGCTGGTCATTATTTATCTGATTTTATAGAAAATTATACAGGTAAATTTAATTACAATTATAGTTTTATAAATTATTAATTATTTCTTTTGAATATCATAGGATCATTATTTTTTCCTTTGAGAATATTAATAAAAGTATTTTTACTTTTATTTATACCCATTGGTGTTGGTGTATTAATATTTTTTCTTTTTCCTGGATCGATGGGAGCCTTTGTTCATTTTTATCTAAGTGGCAGGCCATCTTTTCTTCAATCCACTAAGTTTTCTAAGAATGATAGACAAGCCATCGAAATTATTCAATTAGTAAGTAAAATATTAGTTAAAAATAGCTTTTTAAAATTATGATAAATATTTCACTCAAAATGTTTTAAGATAATTTTACCACTTATTAAAAATTAAAAATCTAAAAATTGGGTGAAAAAGGAAAAATACAAAGCGAAGAATATTTTATTTAAGTTTTCAATAAGATTTTTTTTTATTACACAAATACTGAAGCGGAATTAGATTAAATCAAATTAAAATATTAAATCCATCTTCTAGGATTTTAGTATTATTAATATGTTTTATTCTAATAAAGTATTAAATTAAACAAATATTTTGGACATTTCTGGATAAAAATAAACTTTAATAAATATTTGACTTCACCCAACAATTAAAAAATTCGAATTTGTTAAAAAAAAAATTTAATTTTAGAATATTGATAAAGATATCTCTGGAAAAAAACATATACTGGACATAAGAAAAAATTTAAATGGTTGCACAAATATTCAGATCCAAGTCTCTGATAAAGCAGTCAATAATATAAACAGTGAATTTTCAGGAGAAGAATGTGAAAAAATACTCAAGAAAAACACTGAGAATAAAATGAATAAAGTTAATATTATAAAGAGGCGTAATAGTTTACAGCAAAAAAAAAAAATTATGAGAATTAAAAATAAAATATGAGATATCTTCCGAAGATTGAATGGAAATCATTCAAATTCAAGTTATATATTAAGCTTTATTTAAGATTTATATACATAGAAAAATTTCCTTTTATAATGAAGATGTATGTTATATAAAATAATATGATTATATTATTTTGTTTCACTTTTATATAGATAAAATTATTCTTTTACAAATTGTATAATAACCATAATTTTATTAAATTTTGTATACATAATGTTAATTTATTACTTGCAAAACATATGATCAATTCATATTTTATTATTTTTAAGGCAATATAGCATTAGTTGGAATATAAGTATGTAGATAAAATTAAAAGTAATGTCACAAAAATAATTGAATTTTTCAATAAAAAATAAAAGACGTTCAGACAAGTAAATTTAAATAAAAAATTGAAAAATACCATTTACGAAATTGAAGAAACACTTTACAAATCGATTTTCAGTGAGCATATATTTTGAATCATGTGATTTAACAACATATTCAATATTAAAAATCTGTTTTAAAAATTCCATAATAAAAATAGTTGAGTACATAACAGTATTATAATATATTATTTATGGTAAAGTTTAAATATTAATAAATGCTGTATAAGCATAACTTACTTTTAAAAAAAATTAGTTAATTCGTTATTAATAATACAAACTTAATCTAAAGAGTAATAAGCCACAAAATTATGTATAATGCATATATTTTAATGAATGATACCTTCTAATTTGCATTGTAAATATTAATACTGTTGCTAAAAATGGAAAAGATTTATATAAAATATTATCATTATTAAAAACATGTCTTTTTATTATATAATATGAATATAAACCCATAAGCATTAATATATATATTTTTTTTCTTAATATTTATAATTATATATATTTTTTCTGATTTTTTAAATTTAATTTTTACAATATTTGCTAATTGCATTTTCATGTTATTTCCATTAGATTTAGAATATTTCATTAATCTTCAATTATATATTAGTAGTATATTAATAATTCCTTTAATAATTGCCAAATGAAGAACCGAAAGAATTTATTCTATATTTTAAATGATTATTTAATTTCAATGCTTCAAATGTAAAGAATTCAATAAATTTGTAATTTATGTGTAGATTGTAAAATAATTTAATATAGATTTTTTATTTTATATAGGGTATAAATTATATGTTATAAAGATAAATATTTTAAAATCTATATAGTATTTTAACTATTTCTGTGAGTTCAAAATATTTTACAAACGTTTATTTCAAATCTTTTAAAGTATTCAACATATCTTATATATGTTATTTAATTACTAATATGTTATGAAATAAGTCTTTCATAAATGAAAAATATATTGAATATTAATAACCATTTATTTCTGTAGTAAAAATTTCAGTCAATAATATGTCTCAAATATCTTTGGAATTATATTAGATTAAATCTTTGGAATTACAACTAATTAAAGTAGTTTTCAAAAAATATTATCTATTAATTATTTAATATAGTCTTCTTTGAATTTAAATTACAAAAAGATTTTGTTTTTGAAAAAATGTAACTGAACTTTAATAATTTATCAAGTACTGATTTTTTTTAATCACTAAAATAGAATCAAATCAGTTCATTTCTCAAATTTATCGATATATTAAGAAAATTGTCTTATAGATATATAATAATTCAAGCTTTAGCAAGAACATACAAAATATTTCGATTATTACAATATATAGTATTGAATATTTAATGTAGAATAAATAACTAATTATACAAATACATTTAAAATTTAAAAAAAAATTTAAGATTAATATATAAATAAAATTGACTAAAAACGTTTGTATATATTTAAACACATTTATTTTATGTTGAAGTTTATAATTTATCAATCAAAAATATATTATTTATAAATCAATTTTAAAAGAATAAATAGATGTCTAAATCTCAATTTATATTGACTTTTCATACTGTATTACTTATTTATACCATTCAAATTAATACAAATGTAACATAAGTATTTGCATTTGCATATCCAAAGAAATGATTAATAGATTACTTATAATTTTTTAAACAAGTAGATTTTACTGAAAATTTTAATAGCATATAGTTGTATATAAAAAATTATAAAAATTTATCAATCTTGTATAGTTGAAGTTACTTTCAATATTAGAAAAAATTATTGTAAATATTAGATTTTTTGACATATTTCTGCATATTACAATAAAACATATGTTTCTAGAATATTTAAAATTTATAGATGTTTTATTAGGATTAAGAAATTAACAAAATGAACACTTATTCGTTAGATTTAGACGAAAACGAAATATCATTTCGGACTATCTACTTGCTGAATTTTCCGTATGAAATTATCTACATATTCAATAAGAATATTGAATCGTAGCATTCTAGAAATATTATCGATGATGAATGTATCGGTTGCAAAATTAATAGATGTATTCGATAGAAATAAGAATTTGATTTTTAGTCTATAAATGATGGTTCAAAAAAGTTTTTTTAACATTATTATATATTAGTTTCAAACAGTAAAATACAATTACTAAATTAAAAAAAAATCTTAAAATGTAAATATCATATATTTATTCAATTTTCAATAAATAAAAGAAACAATATTTTAACAATATTTTTTAAATATTAAATTTTTGATGCTTTACTTTTTATAAAATTTTCTTTCATTATATGGCAATTTATATTATTTTTTATTAAAAAACCTACTAAAATGATTATAACAAAAAATATTATTAAAATGTTTAATGTTTAATTACGAATGAAAAAGTATTAAAATTCTTTCAAATGGTTAAAGTTTACGAGTTTGACTTAATTAGTTAATAAAATCACGATTTCATCGACAAGACCCAATTATATTGTATAAAAATTGTTTAAGATATGAAATTTTTAATCTGATAAATTAATAAATATTATTTATTTAGTAATAACCACGTTCTACATTAACATTACAAAACTTTTTATAAAATTGGTGATCTTAAGTAATCAAATTTATTCTGTGAACGTCTTTTTAGTTCGTACTAAACATTGAAAAATCAAGTATATTTTTAATTACTCGATACATAGCATGATTTCTGTGTGAGTATAAAATTTATTAATCTTAAATTATATCAAATTCTTCTACTGTCTGTGTATTATAGAGTTTATGAATAAGAGTTTCATCTTGTATTGAATAAATAAATTTGTTTTTTATAAAGTTTATGTTTTTAAATTATATAACAATATGATAGAATTACTAGGTATTTTCATATTATCTGAAAAAAACTCTATTTTTTATAATGTTTTTAAATTCTGTTTATTCGTAAAAAATAATTAGTTAACAATTAGAGTATTGAATTATATAATTATAATCAATTATGCAAATGTAACTCTTAATTTTATATTAAATATTTTTATAAACATTAAATACTTGTATTGTAATATGTACGATCTTTGAACAATTACAAATTATCTTTTTCTTTAAATACTTGATTTTATAATTTTTTATTAATACAAAATGTTAATATTGTTTATGTACATTTTAACAATTAAAACATTCACAACTAAGAAAATATTTCAAAACTATAAATAATAGAAATATTTATAAGAAATACAAATATGAAAAAACATGAATAATAAATATATATGTGTATTTTATTTGTCCACGTTTTTCTTTTTTAACAACATTTTACATTATAATTTTGACTATTTTGTTCTATACATTTGTTATTTTTATCAACTTTATTAAAAATAAAAGAAAAAAATTATATAAATTAAATTCATTATGCAGTTTATAAATTCAATCGTACTTATTTTTGTAATATATATGCTTACGACTATACACGTCGCCACTATATTTTTAAACGAGTCACCGGTGAACTCAATAAAATGCATTATCACCTACGCGTTAGTTGAGCTTTGCCACCCATATATGTGCAAGGGTATATCGCAGTACATAAATACGAGATAAAGACTCAATAGCTAATATCGTGGAAGAAATTCATAGTACAAAATCGTTCTTAAGAGAAAGAAAATAAGTAATTTTATCCATATGTGATGATATTTACTGAAATTTGTTATAAATAATTCTTGTTTAAGCATATGTATATAATAGTGTTTCAAAGAATAATTAAAAAAATTTTATGTTATCGTAAGTAAGCTAATACATAACATGTTTATAAAATTTATAACACATTTGACAAATGTTAAAAAAAATTTTTTAATTATTTATTTATTTATATTTATATTATCTATTAAAATAAATATAAATAATTTTTTATGTATATCTTTTACAGATAATTATTTAATATAGTCTTATATACTAATATTGCTCTGATTATTTATTACTGTAAATTTATGTAAATGAAATGATAAAAATTGTATTCTAATAAATATAACTAAATTATTAGCAATTACATCTAAAATAATGATGACAAAACAGATATATAGAAATACTAAATAATAATTTGTTACTTATTTTTATTGTTTAAATAAAATTATAGATTATCTATTGGGGTTACATTTTATACTTTGAAAACTAATTTTTACTGTCTTATTTAAAATTAAAATTTTAGTAATGTTTTAGGCAATGAAAAATATACTTCAAAAATATATTTTATAGTATTTTAGAGAAACTTTCCTTATAAACCCTAAAATTATTTGTTTTATACATTCATTATTAATTAATAATATCCTTATTGAAAGATAATACTGAATACTAGGTGTAACATCTTAAATCTTGTAAATGATTACATAATTCAATTAATTATATATGAATAATTAATTTCAAATTTGGATGTATATATAATTTAATATACATTTAAATATTTTTTCTATAAATTTTAAATTATAGCTTTATGAGTATTTGTATATTATTAGCCTCATTTTAATATATTAATTTATGCTACATACATTTGTTTCAATCATTGAAAATTATTCAAAAATATATAAAAATTTTTGTAAAAATTAATATAAACAATCGATAGCTTTTATAAAAAAATAAATATCAAAAACTAAAAACAATTTTTAAAATATAAAAATATATAATTAAAAAAATTGTTCAATATGTATGCAATTAAATTCATATTTTATAAGAATTATTTAATAAAAATGTTGTATCTAGATAAAATAAAAAAAATACATTCAAATTATTTAATGTCTATAATTTACTTTATGTATGTTGTATATAAATTTAATCTTATAGAAAAGAAACAAAAGAGTGTAATGCGAGAATATAAGAGAAAAGAATATTTCGAGAAAAGTAAAATTTTTTGTGTTTATAAAAATAAATATAACATGATTTCATATTTCTTTACACATAGCTCATTTTAATGTTTGAACTACTATCTTTTGTTATTTTTCATAAATGTAACAGAATTTATTTGAAGGATAATTAATTTAGACAAGGGTGAAGCAGAATATAAAATATGAAATGTTGGGTAACACCAATTACTGGTTACAATATAGAGCCCAGATATCGCGTCAAGTGCGTTGTAGTGGAAAGCGAGCGTATTTTTAAAGATATTACTATTGCGCCGAGGAACTCTGCTGACTTATTACCCATATATAAGAATAAGCGTCAAAATCTTATTCGTCATTATATGGAAGGTCCGAATTTTTATGAGTTAAATCGACTAGTTAATTTCGACACGAAATGTCGAAGCATCACGACAATGCGACCAAATCGGAATAGTAATATGGATATCAATATGCTAATAAGGACTAAATTATCAAAATATTTCTTAATAGAAAAAAATCATGACGAAGATAATTCCTTTCTGAAAACTTTGGAATGTTCCAAGGTAAAAACATAATGTATTAGGACTTACATTTAATCCATTTTTTTTATTCATTTTTATGTTTGTTCAATTATACGTAGAACAATTGTAAATAATTTTATATACTCCATTTTTTATATTGTATGAAAAATACGTTACATAAAAAAAATTGTTTATAAATTTTTTTATCTGATAACACAATACAGTATTATTAACTATTTTATAAAAACATCGGTTTTTATTTAAATTTTTCTTATAATAAAATTTATGTTTATTATAATTATATTACTAGATGATATAAGATAAAATTGATTTAACATTCAAAGAAATTCAAAAGCATTATTTCTATTAATAACATTATAATTAGCATATAACATTTTTTTTTTAAATGATCTATAAATTTAAATACTTTTTGTATAAAATACGATTCTACATTCATATACTATAAATAAATTTTATCAAAGTATAAATATAGTAAATTATCGACATAATTTTATAATGAATAAACTTATTCATTTTAATACTATAAAATAAAATTATAAAAAAATCACTATCGAAATAAAATATTCAATTTATCAGGATAGTTAATTGTATTCCGGAAAAAAGAATTTAAAAAATGTATAAGGTTCCTCTTTAAGCTAAGTATATGAATTTGAATTTTATATCTTACTCTAATGAAAGTGCTAATGTAAATGATTTTCAGAGATACTTTTACTAACATTTGTAAAATATATTAAACCATCAATTATATAAAGCGGAATTGCTTTAATATAACATTTTTTATACAGAAATATTCAATTGTGTAAATATTTTTTATCTTTTTATTATAAACAATTATTTGCTTTCTTAAAATAATTTATTTTTTAAATAAAATCTAAATATTTTTACGAATAATATTGAATAATCAATAGTTTTTATATTACTGATAATATATATTGTATTATAATTATTTATATACAAATATATTATACAAATATATTCATACTTAATTTTAACATAATTGATCCTTTTTTTATTTGTAATATTTTATTTATGTATCTTTGATATATATTATTAATATATTCTTATTTTTTGGACTATTTAACTGATTAATCAACTACATAAGATATATCGACACCCAGAAATAATAATGAAGCAGGAGATTGTGGTGTTATCTTTAATAAACCAACTATTAATAGATATTTACGGATATTCAAATAACAGCAAGAATAGATTTAAAAATAAATCTATTAATTCTTTGAGATTGCGCCAATATAGCAGACCATATTTACAGAGAAGTCAATTGGAATTAAAATGTATGAAAACAATTAAACTTAAAAAAATTATTTCAATTAACATATAGTTTATATATAATTTAATATTAAATTTAGTACATAGATCAATTCTTAAATAAAAATTATTAGTGTATAATTAAAAGGAATTGATTATAATTTGATGATTTGTCAACTACAAATTAAATAAAGTCAAATATTGAAACTTAATTATATTATTCAAATTTTCTATTAAATTACTCTTTGATTTATGCTCCTCTGCTATGAATAACCATACATCAGCATCTTTAAATGTAAAACATAATGTAGGTTATGTTATATAATAAAATATTTATTCTCCGGTAAAAAATTTTAAAAATTAATGTACTTGGAACATTTTAATGATAATATTTTAAGAACTTTAAAATATGTTATTTCAAAAACATTTACTAGAAGAACAATAATAATCGTGAGAAAAAACTAATATATTGTATGAAAGTATAGAATTAATTATAAATTAATTAGTGTAGATTGTCATGTACACAATTTTACTAATTATGAATAAAAAACCGATTTATCCAGGTTTTCAAAAAAATAATTTATTTGACAACTATAATCTTATAAGATATTATATAAAATTTTTAAGACAAAATTAAATAAAAAACATTAACAAAATAATTTAGAATTATGAAATCAATTGATATATTCTAAAAAATTGCATTTTTAAATTTTATTAAGTTTAAAATAATGTAATAAAGTGTTTTTGATAAAACAGTTGTACATGAATAAATAGTAAAAAACTTATATTATAAACCTTTTTTTATCTAATTTTATTTAAATAAAAATACTTTTAACAATACACAAAATGTATTGTTGAATAAAATTTAACAAACACACATAAAAAACAATACACAAAACAACTATAAAAGATATAATTTTATTTTCATAATATTCACATTTAAACTTAAAAATATAAATAATTAGATAAAATAAAACACTTTAAAGCAATTTATATGGGATTTACAGATACAAAGTACTAAAATTTAGGTTAGTTTGGTGAATATTTGTATATTACTAATGTAAATTAATTTTATATCTAATTTTCTTTGTTTTTTCAATTACTAATTTTGTGTAATATAGTTTACAATGTAATATGCGATTATCATTTACAAGCCAACGATGTCACTTAATTAAGATATACGATTTACGAAATAAGTACTAAAGACGTTTAAAATACAATAAAATAAAATACTATATATTAAATTAATCTGTAAATATATTTTGTGATTAACTTGCTTAAAATAAAAAGTAAAAATGAAACAGTAAATATATAACAACGAATGCATTTTTAATTTCATTTATTTTATTTACTTTTTAGGTACAAGTGAGCTTCAAACTATAGTAAAATCAATAAGTGAGCATATAAATCATATCAACGGATTTTTGATTCATCAGCTACTTCGTAGAGAATATTTACAAACAAAGCGCAAGGGATTTTATAATGTTGTTACTGCGTACTTACTGGCCCATAGCAACAAAGAAAGTAAGCACAAACAAATCAATTACATAAAAAACATTTTCAAAATATAATTTGAGTATGTAATTTAAGTAAAGGGTATGTAATAAAATAAAAATATTATATTAATATTAAAATTAAAGTTATTACTTTAATAAAAATAAACTTTTATCGCTATATATCCATAAATAATGAGAAATTTTCATATATAAGTATACACACACAGACAGCAGGCAGACAAAAATACACACATAAAGTAGAATTATTAATTTTCAAAAATATTAGATTAATATTATTAAATAAAATCTTTTTGTAATTCTTTGTAGACGTTAAATCAGGATTTTTTATTCACATAGCTAAAATATGCGGATAAATGTTTAATTCAATTTTTTATTTAACAAACACTAAACATAATTATATAAACTTAATATTAGTATAGTTACATCAAAATGTCTATATTTACATTTTATTGATATAAAATATGTATTTTTGATAAGAAATTAATATTATAACTTTAAAATATATGTTCAACAATTATTTATTATAATCATACATGAAAAATAAACGAGTAAATAATTTAAAATACTAAAATAATTTAGAGTAAATAATTTAAATCGTTAATTGTTAATTACACATATTTTGCCATGTTTTTCTTCATTCTATCTTAATTTCTAATAGTAAATGCATTATACCGTATAGATTTGAATTTTTATGTATAGAGATCAGCATAAAGAAGTAAAGTATGCAATTAGTAAAAATATTGTAATTTATCATACAGTAGGAATTGTACATAACAAGTGTTCTAAGGGTCGCGTGATTTATTTCTACATGTGGAAGGTATATATATATATATACGAAAAAGAAGAAGAAAAGAGAAGAAAGAGGGGATGAATAAGAGAATAAGAGTCAGCACTTACAATCGGGTTACTGCTCTAGTGTAAGTAGCAAATCTTGGTTGATTAATGTATTTCATAGGCAAGAAATTTCAGTGATTACAAAAAAGTTAAGTATTTTTATCTTAATGGATAACCGAGCAATATTAAAAAGAATAATCAAATTATAAAATAAACTTTCAAATTAAATGTATCTAAATGTATTATATTTTCATATTTTTATAATTTAACCAAAATTTTTTAGGTACTCCACTAAAGTCATTATATGCTTCAATTTACATTGCTTTTTTAAATCGATAGGTATTTTCTTCTTAAGAATTTATATAGCATTAACATGATCTGATTTAAGTAATGAATAATTTATAAATGTATACATTTTTGATGTAATAACAAACTACACATATTTTTCTGATCAATTTTCAATTTGAATAGGCCCCTATTATATATTGTATATACACGCCTGATACCCAATAAATTCTTAATCTGTACCTTTAAAATATATTAGATAATGATGTTAACACATGTATTGTACATATATGACACACATATGTTGCATTAGTTAATTTAGGCTTATATAGATAATAATCTTGATGTACCAGGACTCAAATCAATAATTTTTTATACGAATTGAATAAGAATATAATATTTATATTTTTTAATTCATATGAAGTGTGCTAACTAATGTCCTTAATAATGATTACTATCTGTTCTGAAAAAAATGTTTCTACGTAGTATTTGAAACAATATTGTTGTTATATTGGTCCTATTTGTTTAGTTTGTTGATAACATCATGATTGTTTCTAGCATATAATGTTACTTTTAAGAATCTCAGAAATTTGATTGTTCATTTCTAGTCTAACTCTTATAAGTTACATCAATTAAAGATCAGATTTCTTTAATATTGCGAGATATTATTTTATGATATTACCCAGAAATTTTCTATCATATTGACACGTACTCAACAATCTCATCTTCAGAATCCTAAACTTCCTTTTTGTTTATAAATCAGGATCTTCCAGAATTTCTAATAATTGTTAATAATTAAATTGTCTAGTGGATGTATTCATATTAGTTCTATAGTTAATTAATTCCAATTAAAATGCATTTTCAGTTATAATAGTATTTTTTTTATATTATCTGCTTGGCAGGTGTAAAAAATACAAAATGATGGATATCAATTAACTACTAAATCCTGGTTTCAATCTTATTTTATTTTTCTATTTGTAAATAACTTGATTGTAACTTACCCAAAAGTGTTCTATTTTCTATTACTTTTTAATAGTTTATGCTCACCATCATGAACTTTTAGTACGTAGTTTAATAAATAGTTTTTTATACTTTGTAGACAGTATTATTGATAAACTTTTTTATTCTTTTCCTATTTGCTGATTCTTCTAATTCAAATATCTAGAAATTATCGATGGAGTTTGCTAACAGATTTCAACTTTTATTAATCTTTTCAAACTCAGTATAATATAGGTGCACAATTTTAAGAATAATATATTATTTTACATTGCTTGTTCCACATGAAAGCAATATAGTTTAACTCTATGTTAAAATTATTCTTAATGATTTATCAGTAACATTTGCTATATCTTAAATTGAAATTTGAAATAAACTATAGTTTATATAGTCAGAGATATCTTATGGATTATATAATACACTAAACGTCGTCGATCATTAAATCTTATTTTAAACATTATATTTTTATATAAAAAGTTATAAAGTAGTTTTGCGAATTTCGCACTTGTTGAATTTAGAACTTGTTTTACTGCTTGTAATTCTTTTCTTTTTAAATCAATTTTTTTCCATAGGTGCATAATTAATTGATTCACAATTAATTGAAAACAACCATCCTTATATTCATTAAAAAATTGAGAAAGTCAAGTTATAACAGTGCATCTTAGCGTACATTATATTACTTACGCAGGTATTGTAAAAATCTTGGATGAAATATACAAATGAAAGATTTGGAAAATATTAATTTTTATACGTGTGATAAAAGTCTATTTTATGTAACAATGAAAGCATATTCGAAAAAAGATCATACAATAGTATATTAGATTTTATTTAATGCGTCATTAAAATAGTTATATTATATATATATATATATATATATATATATATAATTAGTTATTTATACTGCATTTTTTTTTTAATAAATACACAATGAATTATTACATGTAATAAGATAGTCTAGATCAAATAGTTATAGAAAAGTTAGAAATATGAGACATATAAGAAAATAATAGTTATGACTCTTTCTATGTCGCTAAAATAATGGTTTACAAATAATATTTAAAAAACGAAAAGCAATAACGGTAGTATATATCAGATAGTATGCTATGCAGTAAGTTCTGTACTTATAAGTGTAACATATGTATATAATATGTATGAAATATAAAAAATATTTAATTTTTTAATTACTTATAATTTAAAGAAACATATAAATAAACATATAATTATTTACTTTCGTATAATGCGAGCTTTTTGTATAAATTACATTGGAAAGAAATAAAGTACAAAATAAAAAATGAAACTGGTTTAATAGTGATTTTCCATTGAGAGTAAATGAGCGAACAGGTGAAGAGTGTTCACTATAAGAGAAAAGTATAAATTTATTTGAAATTTAATGAATAGTTAAATACTTATAATAAATTCAAAAAGTGTAGTAAAATGTTTAAATACAAACATACTGCTCAATGGCAAATTCAACAAAAAATACTTTGTATCTAAGAAAAATATGTAATGATAAAAAGTATTTAAAGAAAAAAATATTAAATTGATACTTTATATTATTAAAAGTTAATAATTTTTGATTTGTAATGATAATCTATATCATTTCATTATTGTTGATTAACGACAATACTTGAAAGATAGATACATCGGCAAAAGAAATTAACTAGGTTAACCGAATGATACTGATTACGAACTCTATGAAACATAAAAATTATTGGAACTATATGTTTCTGTTTACTGCACTTGAAAGCAATATTTATTTTTGCTTGTAATATTGTGGTGATAATACTCTAAGAAAATTATATTTATAAAATATATATGAAACTGAAGATTTGAAATTGTAATATGCCACACTATCAATGACGATCAATCTACAGTAGCATACTTGGAAATACCTGCATCAACACGTACAGTTCACATACATTGGAATGCCACAATTTATATTTAAATTTAAAGAGATTCTATGTAATAGCATGTTTAAGCTACATTGTAATAAATGTTTTCATACAAATATAAATTATGTTTTACATTGTATTATAATGTATTAAATTATATTATAATTTTAATGTAAAAAAATTTGTAACTTATAAAAACATAAATTTTAATTTTTAATTCTTATATTAATTTGAAAAGATATTCATTTGAAAATTTGCTTGATAATATTATACTAGCACTGAACATTTCAATTATAAAAGTAATATATCAAAGAATGTTCATAGCATTTTCTTTCACTATTAAGTATATTTTTGTTTATTACAAGAAAAGAACTAATTTTATCGAATGTCTGCTTAAGTTCTTAATTTTAGTAAATTGAAAGTTACATATACGGTAAAATAGTCGAATATATAGTCGATAGCTGCGTGCGCACATAACTGCTTTTGGGCTTAGTTAATCAAGAAATTAATCATGCAACTGTTATTTTTTAGCTTTAATGCTTTGTGCGCGTGCCTGAATTTGGACGTCTAAAAACTGACGAAAATGAGAGAGAAAGAGAGAGATGAAAAACAGTGTTACAAGGGAAAACTTCATTCGACATGGAATTATTAATCTAATTTTTACAACGATTCTATTTCCAAAAACAAACTTCATGATGAAAAGCTCTCTTTGAATCCATGTTCTGTTTGCATAATGAAAGATGGTACCACTGATAGAAATTTAATCAGTATAAGGTGAAGTGAAGCTAAGTGCGTCAGCATGAAACAGGTTATAGGCAGAAAATAATATAATTAAGAGTGCACATGGATACGCGACCATCTAAAAAAATAAAGTGTCATTGTTGCGCTATTAGTCATATCGATATTGTATATGCGATGATGTAACTTCGACATTCATTATAATCGCTGGTGAGAGTGGATCTATAGATTAATAGTAAACGAGATAAGTTGTCACCTTCTTCTATACCGGTGTCATTTAAATTAATTTTTGGTGTAATTTATGAATTTGTGAATTATATAGTGTTCTAGTTAATTATTTAAAAAAATTTATTCAGATATTTGAGTGTATAAAAAATAAAAAAAAAATTAATTTAATATGTTTATACTAAGTGAAAATGTGTCCTTAAAATCATTATACTATTAAATATCATTATAGTATAATCATCACTATGACATTAAATATCAATCTATAAAATCTTATAAATACAATATTAAAGATATAATTTTAATGAGACTTCTGATCATTATTTATTATATGAATATATATACAACATATGTATATTAAAAAATTATGTATGTTTGTTTAATACTACTAATAATTTGATAAAGTTCAATTCGTATTAAAAGAATAACAGAATTATTTACAGGTAGTTTTGAGTATTATTCTATATTATTGTTTAATACTTTTAATAATATATTTTATATAATTTTTGATCAATTATATCACTATTCACCAAATTAGCCTTGTTATACAAGTTTTCATTTTAATATTTTGAAAATCTGTAACACATTAGGTAAACACAATAGAAGTAAAATTTTAGAATTAAATTTTTGTATTACTTTAGTAAAACTTGTATCAAATATAATATTAATGAATTAATCAAAGGTAGCGTCTAATAAAAAATTATCTTTATAAAATTTTAATTTCAAATTAATATATTACATATTGAAATTATCACTTAGCTTAAAAATTTAAAAAATTGTTTGCTACTTATTAATATTGATACAAATTATTTTAATTGAAATTTTTAATTCTTAAATATTATTTACAAATAATATAATTATTGTATCATAATTATTATAAATGTTATTACAGGATTGAATGGTATTTCTATATTATGATTGTAGAAATTATAAACTTAAATTAATTTGGTGCCATTAAGGTATTAAGTAATTTTTTGGGAATAGTTATATGCACATTATAATTTTATAGAAATTTTAAAAATAATTTTTGTAATTGAATATAAATTTTCTACTATTAATAATAATACAGTGAATGTAGTTAGAATAGCTAATGTCATTAAATTAATTAGTAATTAAATCAGCATTTTATAGTTATTATATTATATTCCTTTATATATATTATATCCTTTATATCTTTATCTTTTATATATTTTATCCTTTATATATATTATAGCATATTCCTAGTTCAAATTTCTTCATTTTTCGGAAAACACAAACTGTATTCTTTGTGTTATTTTAAAGTGAGCTATAGTTTTCAAAATTTTCAAATGTATGAAAAGTATTTTAGATTCTTGTATTATGATAAATTTATATTATTGTAAAATAATATCTAATTTTATTACATTTAAAGAAATATGTTTGAACCTTAGAATGTAATGTTATATATTTAAATTATTGGCACTTAGTGCAATTTCAGAATCATTGTTGTTTTAGCGTATTTTTATTGTTATTAAATTGAATAATATTAACATTTTATTATATAATTTTTATTAAAGATAAAAACGAACAATGTAAACATTTGTATTGTATTAAAAGTTTTGTAACATCACACACAAGTCTCTGAGCCTGCTATAAATAGGTAAAGAAACTTTTGTTTATTAAAAAAATTTCCTTTAAACATTCACAAGTGTTTTTAAGAAATACGAAATTATTTTATATCATAATACCAACCAATAAATATTGACCTTCAATTGTATGCGATTGATATTTCGGAGAATTTATATCGGTATTACAATACAACAAGCAACAAGTGAAACTATCGCAATAATACCGCGAGTTAAAAACTGTTTGAGCCTTGTCATGTGTAGAGAGCATATATAAAAATGAAGTTTGAAAATGGTTAAGAACTGTAAAGAAAAGTTGATGTAATTGAATTATAAGTAAAATATAGAAGACGAGTAGACGATATCAAGATTAAAGAGAATGAGTAGATTTTTAAGCTCACTACGAAATCTGGCATCTGTAGCTGCAAACACTTCTAGCAGTAGTTCAAAATCTGAAGAAGGTGATTTTATTTTTTCTAACTAAAGAATATGCAATATATTGTGTTTTATTTATTTTTCTATATTATTATTTTTTGTAAATTTCACAAATATGTTTGTAAAATAAAATCTAATGATCATTTTATACATTAATATTGTAAAATAATTTTTGTCTTTATTTACTGTTTTAAATCAATTAATTAATTTCAGTTTATTAATTAGATACAATATATGAAATGTAACTATTGATAATGTTTATAAAAGTTTAATATGCTCTATCTAATATTAAAAAGTAAATGCTTTTAATTTTTAGTGTATATAAAAATATTTAATTTATTTACATTTACTAAATTGTATTTATCGATTATGTAATGTATTGGGAATGGAATAAATTAAAAGGTATATCTAATAATACATTTCAATCATTATAATAAATCAATTTCAGATCCGTGTTTATGAACAAAATTTTGTAGTTTAATCTTACGATAACTCGTTTATTAGTGAAGGAATATAGTAATTTTATTTTCCTAATATATATTATGTAATATATTCTTCAATATATATTATATTATAGCATTTATAATTTTGAGAAAATAATTGAAATTATTAAGCATATTATTTTTATTATTTAATATTTTATTGTATATAAAGAATTCTTTACTCTCATTATCTAATAATTAATTATCAACAAATTTACAATGTATTGAAATATAAAATACAACAAATGCATAATTTTAATGCTTATTGTACTAATATTTAAACTACGAGATCATTTTAAAATGAAATTACTATAAATTTATATTATAATTTAATTTATACGTATCATGTTAAACTATAATATTTACTTTTGAGTAATACTAAAAACGGAATAAAGTTATAATGATATTTGAAAGTATATATGAAAGTTTTTGTTTTCTAGTTTTACTATTTTGTAATATATACAAAAAAATACAATATTTGTAGAAATACAAATGACCAACGGATACAGATATTCTATCTTTTTAAACTTAATCTTTTTATGATTTATATTCCAATTTCATTGTTGCGTCAGCTTTTCTAGATAATTATATATTAAATATACAAGTACAAAGTTATTCAAGTATAAAATTTACTAATGCTATGAAATTTATCTTTGTTAAAATGTTTCAAATGAATTATTTATAAAAATTTGTTTATTTAAACTTCTTTTTCTAAAATTTTTATCCAATGTAACAATATATGAATTTCATGCATTTTTCTAATTCTCAATTCTTACAAATATAAAATAAAATATAAAATAAAATAATCAAAAATTAAATAATATGTTTTCAAATACAAGTATGGAATCAATTTTATATTTTTCAATTAAATATCGTAAATGTATTGAATTTGAAAACATTTTTTAAATATCTGAATAATAATCTTTGTCATTATATATGAACCGGAAAAAACCGGAATAAAAAGCGTTTTTGAAGAAAGAAAATTTGGCTGGAGTCTCGAATACTATCTTCAAAGCTTTGTATTTTTAGCTTAATATTAAAATATATTAATCATATTTAAATAAATTTGTAAATGAAAAATCTTTATCTATTTATATATTTAATATAATATATATATTGAGTAGACTAAGCTTTAATATAAAAGAAAATTTGTATGTGTTAACTGTCGCTCATTCATACTTTATTTCATTATATAATGATAGTATTAAGGAAATAAAAAATTATATAATTTAATAAAAAATTTTCTTTGTCAGTTAATTTTTGTAATGTATTAATTGTCAATTTTTTTAAAGTACAACTTATTGGATGTTTATTTTTAAATGGATTAAATGAATGAAATAAATGGATATATTTTTACTAATTCAAAGCAAATTTTTTATAAAATAATTGTTCAAAATTTGTTTTAAGACAAATAGTATGCCCTATTAAACAAATTAATAATTAATAATAATAATGGAAAATTATCTGATTTTAATTATAATAATTATTATTTTGACTGCTTTTCAAAATGTTTTCACTTTTTTGTATTTAATGAATTAATAATATGTACATGTACATGATAAAAATAATATATAAATAATAATAATATAAATTTATAATTATAAATACATATAAATAATAATCACGTGTCCAAGTGTTCGACATTAATAAACTTTTATTCTTCTATTGAAATTTCTTTCAGTTTAATCGATTTTCTTAATTATTTAAATATGTAATGAAACTTCTAATTTGATTTTTTTTCAGTAACAAGTATGAGGTATGATAATGATGATGATTGTTGTATCAATTTTTTATAACTAATTTACACGTTTATTTTATTTATTGAAAATTAATTTTGTTCATAAATTTTTTAATTACGAATATATTTTTGAAGTAGAAGTATTTTGTAAACATAAATATTTGAAATAAAGATATATCAAAATGAGCTTATTTCTTACAAAATAAAAATAGCTAATAAAATAAAAAATTGTATAGAGGATAATTTAATAATTGTCTAAATTTAAAAAATATATAGTTTATATTTTATTTGCTTTCAATTAAAATTCTGAAGTACACAAGGTTATAAGAAAAAAATTTTTTTGTTGAAATAGATAAACAAAATATGATTAAATAACAATGTGATATGTGGCAATTGATTTTAATTTGTTTATAGTAACCATGTTATTTACGATTGTTGTCAAAGTTGAATATAAATTAAAACATAATGTTAATATTAAGAAAGTTAGTGTTTTCAACACTCTCATTAAATGAAAGTAATTGTTAGTGTAGTATGAATTTATTATATATATATATATATATATATATACGTGAATATATATATATAAAGTTATATATTACGTTTAAATAGAAGTTTATATTTAATTTTTATAATCATTATTAGATTACTTTACGCAATTCTTGAAATATATATGTATGCATGTAGAAGACATGTAACATATTTTTAAATTATGCATTGATATTTATTATGTCTAATGTATATAAGTTGAATATTTAAAAAATTTATTTTATAAATAAAATAATTCATAATTTTGAAACTTTTCAGAAATAAATCAAATATATTTACTATTAAAAATATAGAATTACACTAGCAGTAATAGTATTAGATGCTGTAAATTTGTTGTAAAATTGTATAAGAAGTTTTTTTTTTATTTATTTAATTTATAATAACAGAATAAATGAAATCTTTTTAAATATTTCATCAATTTGCAATATGTTTAATATTCATTTATTATTAATTTTTTATGTGCCACAACTAATTGATAGGGAAGTAATAGATTTAACATTAACTATTGTTATACTTGATATCACCTTTATTGTTTTTTAAATTATACTATAACTGATATAATCTAGATATTTGTTTTTTACCTTGTTGAATTTCATTATTTCGGGTTCGGTGTAATTTTATTTAATAATTTGTGTATTTAATATCAGTTCTTTTATTTGTTTTTTAAATAGTAAGACGTTTGTATAATCGTTTATTACTTTTTTATATAATAGCTTTAGAGTTTATAAAGTAATTCATCATAATTCGAAGATGTATTTGAAATTTGATATATCTTTGACAAAAAATATTTTTATTCAAAATTATAATTTAGTAATTTAATTAAATTTTTATTGTTTACTTATGATATCATCGGACATGCAAATATTACTTAGATTCTTCTATAGAAGAGAAATTAACAAGATGCAAAAGCATATACATTGGAAATAGGATTGGAATATTTATATTATGTATACTTTTATAAAATATAATTAATTATTAACAAAATAAGTAGAAAATAAATAAGTATTATAGGATATTTTTGGATATTATAAACTGATTTTATTGAATTATTAATAAATAGGTAATATAGAATTTTATATTTTATCTTTGAAGACTGCTTAGATATTTAATAATAAATTGAAAAAAACTATCGTTTGCTTTTAAAATTAAGATTAAACACAATTTTAAGTAAAAAACGAAATTGTAGAACATACTTATGCAGGTTAATTATGATTATTATATTTAAGAGATTAATACGAATTTAAGAGATAATTTAATAAATTTAATAATTCTTTTATATAATTATTTTAAAAATATGGATTTTTTAATTAAACATAATATTGAATTTATTTAAATAGTGGGTAAAATTTTGTATGAATACATATATTACTTGTTTATCAGAAAATTGACAGTAAATTTGAACTAACATTAAATTGTATTATTAATTATAGGTCAAGATACAAGAATGAAATTTAGTTTGATGCCTCAACGCGGTGAAAGTGGTTTTAGACAGTGGGTAGATGCAATGAAAATGGTAGCCAAACTGCAAGGTGGAATTCCTGGAGAATTTCGTAGAAAGGTGCTAAGGATTTTATTTTTTAATTTATCTAGAATAATTTGAATTTATATATATAATTATTTAGGAATTTATTTTTAATTACTAAATATTCTATTTAACAATGTTTTAATAAATTAAGGTAGAATTAATATTTATTTAAAATAATCAATATTAAAGGAACGTTTTAATAAATATTATCAACAATATAAAAATTGAATATATAAACCACATTATAGTAGAAGTATTATTTTTAAAAAATACGTTTGTATTTTTCTTTCCTAATAAAAAAAGTTGGCTAAAATGTTCAAAATTTATTATTTTATTGAATTTGTACGTTTTGATGCTATTTTTTTTATAATTTGTGAAAATTTGTATTATAATTTTAAATTAAAATTTAAATTTTTAAATTTTAATTCGCCATTGATTACAACAGCTATGGCTAACTTTAGCAGAAAGGCATTTACAGCAACGCGGCGTTGACTGGAAACAAGCAGAGAAACTCTGTTTTAACGAATGGTGCAATCCTGATGATAATGAACTTGGAATTCAAATTATAAAGGTAACTGAATTAAACGTTCTAAATTTTTCATAAATTATAATATTTCTGTGTAATGTTGTAACCGTATTTTCTTATTATATAACAATGCATCCAATCTAACGAAACTTTAACTTAATCAATGCATTACTAACTACTTTTTTTTTTTAATTAAGATTATTTTATTGAAAAATCCAATGAATTTCAATTATTCAGTTACATTATTTTACTTTACTACGAAATTAAATTTGAATGTGCCATGGGTAGATGTCATCATTAATATATTTAATTAAAATACTAAAAAATTTTATTAGCGTCAAAAATTTTTATATTTTAGCTTATATCATATATAGAGAGGTGTTGATATTTATTATATGTTAAACTTTAATTATATAAACCGTTAAAAATGTTTGTATACATATAAAAATGATTGGTGCAGTTGTAATTGAATCATGCAATTGTTATAATTATTTCTTAATATTTTATATTATTTATTTTTTTATTTTTTTTTTGTAAATACATGTATATTACAGATTTCAAAGTAATTATGTTAAATAAATTTCAGAAGTTATAAATGGAATTGAATAACTAACTGAATATAAATATTTCTTTATAAAGATATATTTTTTCTAGTATATTTTTAATTACTTAATTAAACGGTTTTATTTTCTTTTAGTAGATATACAAATTATAAATATTATATAGTGCTACATGTAATTTATATTTATGTTATATAGTCAAACATAGTCAATTAAATTATGATGAAATTAATTACAAATATTTTTCAACAATAATCTTTATAATGCTCTTACCTAAAATTTAATTTATTTATTATCAATATCATTTAAATAAATTTACAATAAAGTACAATACAATCTTTTACAATATTGTTAACACGTTCAATATTTATTATAGTTTTCGAAAGTTTTTTACTGTTTGTTTTATCTATACATATTTGATATATGATCTTCCATTTTATATAACACTCTTAGTTTTATTTTTAACAAAATTATTATTATTTATGCTTGACGTAATATAATTAATATTTAACTTGTTTATTCAATAAACATTTAAAAGAATAATAACGTTTTGGATTGTTAATTTATATACCTAATTTTTTTAAATTTTGATTATTTGTTATAAATTTTATTAATTTTATAAATCGTCTTTGATGCTCACACATTTAGAATTATTTTTTTTTGTAGATTATTATCATCTAATAGTATATTATAAAGATAAATCAACATAATTAATACAGTAAATGAATAAATTGTTGATAGAACTTGAAAAAATGTGGTCATAGCGAGATAAATTAAAACGGTAAATAAATAAATTTAATTTAATCTATATTAATAACAATGATCGTGCAAATTGAAACATAAATACATTTCTATGGTTAGTAACTTTAAGCTTGAAGTTAAATAGTCTCTATTAGTTGTTAATACACAGTTAAAACATTATAGATATGCAATACTATAATTATAATAAGATCGCTCGTAATAGTTTTTAATATTTTTTATATTTTAATAGTTTCTAAATGTTTTAAACAATTTATTTGTATTGTAAGAGAAATCAATTGAATTATATTATTTTTCAAAAAACATAAATTGATAGGTATGACTTTTAAATTTAGATATTACATTGATATCGTATCTAATTAATAAAATATTTTTTATCAAAAATTGTTTGAATCAGTTGAGCTCAGACTTACCTACTTTAAGAGAATTACTCAAATCATATGTCTTATAGTCCATCGATAATTTTATTTGTATCATTAGATTTGCCACTGGATTGAAACAATTTTTTTTAACGATTCTTAATTTTTGCACTAAATTTAATTTTAAGTAAATCGTAAAAACACGTGGTAAATTTTGATATTTTTATACGATTTTTTTAAAAAGAAATTAAGGAAAATATAAAAAATAGAAGCTAGTTGCAGTAATTTTTATAAATTTATTAAATTCCTTTTTCAACTATAATTATTATAAATGAATGATAGTTAAATGATAAGAATTTAAACACGTTTCGATTAATCCCTATAAAGTATTATTTTCTTACATTAATCCGTAAAATAATAAAATAAACCAGAATTCAGTATATTGTAACTGTAAAAATGAACATTTTCGAAATGTTCGATTTAGTGAACTTTAGTAAAATGATATGTATACGGCATTCCGATTAATTGATTTTTTGAACAAATTATTCAAATTGCTTGATCGGCAACATATTTTTTTATTTTAATAAATATGTTAACTAAATAATAATCAGATACTGTATTCCCTAAGAGATATTTAAATACAGATTGTATTTATTTTCTTAATTTAATGAATAAATTGGCTATACCAATTTTATCTTTATTTTTTAGACTTGAGTTTAAATTTAAGTTTAAGTCTAAATGAAAATAATTTATAAATTTTACTTCTCTATAATTTAACATAACTTGGTCTATAATCTAATGTAGATACATATTTATCATGTGTTTTGATATAACTTAGGATTCACTTCAATAGAAAATTAATTCAATAGAGTTTACTGAATAATTGTATTCATATAACATAGAAGAAGTTTTTCTAAGAATATCAAATATTGATTTTTTGACTTCATTTAATTCAGATTTGTAGAAAAGCTTTCTTATTGTAGATTTTTTAAACCATGTATTATTCAATTTAACTAATTGTAAGCACTAATAAGCTAATCTTTAATAGGTATTTATCCAATAATTAATTGAATTTTTGCTGATTTTAAACTTATTATTAGACAAAATTAAAGTAATAGTTAAAAGTACTAGTTAAACATTTTGAAATATTAATCTTGAACTTTTTAGGAAGTCAGTGGAAAATATATCTTTGCAAGTATTTTAAAGTACTACAATACCGTAAACTAAAAAAACAAAAATATGAATACATTTATAAGAAATTAATTATTTTACAAAGAGGAATATGATATTATGATAGCAAATTAGCAAATTACTCATTTAAGTAAAGCAGAAATACTTACAATACAAATTTCAAATGTTGTTATTTATATTGTAGATACAATAAATGTGACAATATTTAGAAGAATTTTAGTTTAGAACAAAATTTTAGAATCGTTGTTAAAAAATTATATATATTATTATATATTTTCTTGCTACTAAACTAAACAGTGCTTTGCATAAAAATTTTATCTTAGAAAAATCCGAAGAAATATACACTAGTGGAATTAATTAACGAAACGAATTTGTTTTATAATATCATTGATATCAGCGTCATGAATCGCATCATCAATTATAATTCTTATAATATTCAACGTATGAATTGATCTTCAAAAAATTCAAAACTATAGAAATCTATTAAAACCCAATATAAATAAACGTCTTTTAAACATTGCTACGATAACTCTTCGTATTAGTAGGAAGCTTCTTTTTCAAAATACAAAAGAAAATATGAAGACAGTATTAAGATGACATGCATTTCTTATAATTATTAATTATGACATAATTGTAATTATAGTTTTGGTAAATAAAATAAACAATTTAATTGTACGATTTAAAAAACTCAGCTGTGATGCATTAGACATTAGCATAAAAAAATTAAATACTAACATAAATAAAATGCATTAAATGTTATTAGTTAAATAAAAAAAAAAATTAATTAAAATTATATTTTACATAATATATTTTACACAAGAAAAATGTCAATAATTTCAATAATAATTATATTCGCAATTTTATAATTGCAAATTAATAGGTATAATATATTAAATACAGATATACATATAATTTTATAAATTTATGATGTTAATGCTTATTTAGTCAAAATAGTGCAAGACCATATCCGAGCAGTGTGAAGATCCATACAAAAATGTGATTAATAAAAGCATATTTTTTCTTTTTTATTCTGAGAATTACTTTTCAAAGTAATAAAAGGCATTGTGAAAAGAAATTAGGATAATTAAAAATCAAATAAATAATATACAAATAAAAAAATTAAAGTCTACTAAAATTTATTTGAACTTCTGTAATTTTTTATTTTACGGCATTGAAATAAAAAAACTTTTTTTTTTAAACTTTAATACTTTGTAGGTAATTTTCCAAGCGTCTATTAATCACTAAAAAATTCATTAAATTTATTATTGAATCAAAATCATTGATATTGTATTTCTGAAAATAAAATCAATATTTATTGAATGAAAATTAATTTCCAGCAAGTACGAAAAATGTTCCTTATTTCTATTTCTTTACATGTTGCTCAACTATAAAGTGTTATATATACATCATCTAACTCAAATAATAAAAATGTTATACGTTTGAAATTCTTTACTATATGAATTATATAATAAAAATTGTAAAATCATAATTTTATTTTGTAAAATACAGAATTCATTAAAATGTGAATAATCATTCAGTGTATTTAGTGTATAACATTATTATTTATATTATGAAACAACAATGACTCATAATAAAATATAAAAACTTAATAATAAATAAATTATTAAAATAACAAATACTATTTTGCTATTATTATTCATCATTATTAATCATTATTTTCTTTTCTCACACAAATATTAAGTTTGGTGGTAATATTAATATTAAATCAAATTAAATTCTGTTTATAAATTCAATTGTGAAGTTAATATATATTTTTTATGTAATTGCTAGAAATTATTGATGCCTAATTTTTCCTCGCGCAATTTACAAAATTTTCTTTCCTAATTTAGTTACACATTCTTATTGTGAAATAATTGATTAAATATGAATAAAAAGCAATATAAAGTTAATAAAAATTATTATACATATATATTTAAACAGTATGAACATTAATAGGATAATTTTAGTTGAGCCATAAGGTAAAATTATTAATTTACATTAAATGTTTTTGTAATATACTTGCTTTGCAGTAAAAGTATTTTATTACACTACTTTCTAAAATTCCAATTAATTGTAAACTTTCATATTATTATAATGTACTCTTGAATACTTTGTTCCCCGTAACACTATTAATAATAGAAACAAAAGTTTGATTGGTGCAGACACAACTTATAAAAATAGGATTCTGTCATTATCTATATCAAATGTATTCAATTTTTATCCGTAAATAAACTAAATAAATTAAAACTTAATTTATTGCATTTCATTTAGCACACTTAACTTTAAGAAGCATTTATGCCAGTTTCAATTTATACATGTAATAGATTAATATTTTTTATTTTTATAAAAATATATATGTTGCATCAAAGACATTTTTATTGTTTATTAGCTCTTTAGACATAATTTTATAATATTTTTATTTAAGATGTAAATGATTTAAATGATTGAGATCATAATGAAATTGAAATTACATAAGTTTTTAGTAGTAGTAAATTGAAAAAACTTATAATTATAAATATACTTTTAACAGTAAAATTGTAGTTTTATTATTAAAATTATTTTAAAAGATAAAATTATAAAACTAAAAAAATTACCTGTTTTTTTTTACTTTTTTTCGATAATCACAAAGTTACATGTACTAAATACTAACCATTACTGAGTAAAACAAAACTATTTTAATAAAAGTTTTAAAAAAAGGAAAAAAAAATATAAGAAACTGATAAAGACATGGTATTATAATGAAAGAGAGTGTAGAAAAGTTATATATAATCTATTATTATATTATATTATATTATATTATTATAGTAATATATAATCTAATTATTTTTATTTTTATGAAGTATATAAGATCTTTATTTTCAGGATTTACATAGAACTGGATGCAGCTTATTTTGTGGTACAGCTGGCCGCGATAATCAAGCTGTGCTACGTCGTGTGCTTCTCGGTTTTGCGCGTTGGAATAAATCCGTAGGATACTGTCAAGGTTTAAACGTTTTAGCGGCTCTCATTCTTCAAGTAGTTGATCGTGATGAATCTGCTGCTGTGAAAGTCATGATATATCTTATTGAGGGTGTTCTTCCTGAGGGTTACTTTGCCGATAGTTTAAAAGGGCTTTCCATTGATATGGCAGTTTTTCGTGATCTTCTGCACATGCATTTACCAAAACTGTCTAAACATTTGGAATGTTTACAAAATAATAATACTAAAGATAATGCTACGGGTCTGTACAATTTGTTTAATCTTTTCTTAAATAACAATTTAAATTACAGCTTATTATTTTTATATGAAATCTTAAAACTATACAGTAATTCTTAATCAAATAAAAAACTAAGAAAAATATAACATCCTAAGTTCTTTTTTTATTTATATTAACATCTATGAAGATATTTATATTTATTTACGAATATAATTAATTTTATGTATAAAATTAAAATAAATTAAAATCAGACTCGCTTAAATATAATTATTAGTAATACATGTAAATGATAACAAGATATTAATTTAGAACTTCAAAAATAAACATCTTTAATATTTTTCATTATATTAAGAAAAGTTGTATCTGTAATGAGTGTTATATAAGAATCGTTATATATACATTAATGTAATTTAAAAAATTGTATAATCTGTCGATTGCTCTTGATCAACAAGTAATAATCTTCATTTTTTATAGCTTAATAAATATCATAATTTTTATAGTAAATATTTTGATATATATACTAATTTCTTTAAAATAAAAATATCTATAAAAAATGAATTTCTATTCAAATGAGAATTACTTGTTAACTGAATATTTTAATTTTTAGATACATTATTTTTATTTTATATTATCTGTATTGAAATATATATGGAATATATTTACACCATTGATAATAATCTATATGATTATCAAAAATTTATATTCTTATTTCAATTTTAGTTTATTAATAGTCTATTCTAATTTAGTAAGAGTTTAAATTCTCATCTGTTAGTGTTCATTATAATTAGCTAAACAATATTGAACAGGCATATAAAAAATACTGCTTACAAAAAATTTGAAAAATATAAAATTAACTTTTAATATAAAAATTGCTTTAAGAAAAATCGATATGTTACTTTAAATTAGCGAAATTGTCACAACTAATGATATAATATATTACTGAATGGTAATTAATAGTAAAATATATCAATCAATATATCGTTACTATGTTATCATTATATAAAAAAATTTTTGCATATAAATAAATTATATCGTCCTATACAAAATAATTTATTTATTTCACATTTTATGTAACAAATTTCTGCAGATTATCAGTAATGCTTTTTATTTTTTAACAGGAAGTGCCTATGAACCACCATTAACAAATGTCTTTACAATGCAATGGTTTCTTACACTTTTCTGTCATTGTTTACCTCCTGATACAGTTCTATGTGTTTGGGATTTAATTTTTCTCGAAGGTGATGATGTTCTTTTACGCACGGCTCTTGCCATATGGAAAGTACTTTCCGAGTAAGTAATAAATATATGAAATTGAAATATAATAAAAAAAGTAAATATCGAATATAAAAAATACTGATTATGATTATGTTTTTATTATCAGAACGAAAAAAATGTATTGAAAATGCGCTAGAGTCGAAATTCATTTTCTATTAATGCTAGGTTAATACCTACTTTTAATTGTAACTTCATTTCATATTGACATACATAAATTATATGATATTATTTTAGAAATGTCGATTGTGTACATTTACATATTAAGATTTCCTAATTAAAACTATGCTATCATAACTTATATTCTCATAGAAAAATCTTCTGAAAACAACAGATTGTTTTTATTCTATCATGACGATTTATAATTGTAAGGACTATAATATTATCAGAAATTATAAGCTTCAATATCATCTATTAATATTATATTTTTAGTTACGGAAAGACAAATTAAAATGTTGTTCAAAGGATTCTTATAAGCAGTAATCAAAACTATTATACTTTTTTCGTCTTGTAAAGGCATATGTATGTTCTATCCGACAAGATTAAGAAAACAATTGAACTAAACATTTTTTATTCTGACTGAATTTGGTATTTAGTTAATGTATAAGAATAAGCAATAATTTTACAGTGTTTTGATTTGATCAATACTTGATCAATAATATTATCATTCATTCATGTTTGGGCAAGTCTGGCTCTTATACTTATACTTTGGATACTTAAATTTACGATATGTACTAGATCTGTGGTGAATAATTTGTTAGTTGTTAATATAGTTATAAATTACTTCTGTACATGTGTCATCCACAGTTATTTTTGATAATCCCATAGTATACTGTTGAAGATTCTAATTATTCAAAATAATTTTCTAATTGATTACAAGTCATTTGTTATTAACACATTTGGCAAACGAATAACTAAAATTGTTAATAGCTTTTAACATAATGATAACATAATTAATACTCTTAGAGCTTCTTAAGATTTTTGTACATTCATTATATTTTATATATTTATTATACCAATTTAGTGATTTCAATGAATGAATATAAACCAGAATCTATTTAAATAATAATAATAATTACTATTATTAATAATTTCTTAGAATGTTTCTATGTAATAATAATTTAATTTAATAAAAATTAATCATTCGTTATAATAAATTAATAATAATAGATACTTATTTAAATATTTACATTATTAACAAGATAATTATATTTTTTATAGTCGGATTATGACTGTAACATCAGCAAATGAATTTTACAGTATAATGGGGGTACTTACTAGAGAAATGTATGAATTTACTGATACAAATCATCTTGTAAAGGTAACAAAATTTCATTTAAAACATCTGCCTTTTTAATGCAAATTTTAAAAATGTCTAAATAATAATTAAAAAATTAGTCTATTGTATAATTTCTTAGTACATTCAAAATGAATTTATGATTATATTTATACATTTAAAAAAAAATTTTTAATAGCTTTTCAATAAGTATATATTCTTTGATTTATTTGTTTATCATAATTAAACAATTTAAAAATTGATACTTAATTTTATATCTAATCTTAAAAAGAAATACACACGTTAAACAAATTTTAATATGCTCATAAAACGAAATTAGTTTTAAAACAAAATTTATTATACGATTTTTATCTTATATTATGTATTTAGACCATTGTTAGTATGGGAACTCTTCATGAGGTTCAGAGTTTAAGAGAAAACCACCGCTACAATACTATATTGTGGACCAAAAGAACAAACAATAACGATAACACTGATACAGAGATTAATGAGAAATTAGCAATTACAACTGCTGCAACTATTTTTTCTATTCCGAAAAATAGAAAATTAGGTTTGCTAAAGTGGTTTCACTTAATTGTAAAATAGTTTTATTTAAAAAATATAATGTATATTTTTTATATTTTAAATAAGTTTTACTTATTATCTAAGTATATATAAGTCTACTTATATATAAATTTAGCTTATTATCTATAAACATGATTTGATACTAAAATTCACATAATCTCTATAAATGTTATTATATTTTAGATCGACATTCTTCTCAAAAGGTAATATCTAATGACAGAGAACGCCTTGCTTTAGATATTAGCATGCTAAAACAACAATATTCAAAATTGCGAGAGCATCAACGACAAGCTCACATTATTCTGACAAGTATGTCTACAAAAATATTTATAAATAATTTAATAAATGATTCAAGAATTAAAAAGCGAGTTAATCATTTTTGGTTAAAAAAAAAACTAAAAATTAATGATAATTTAAATGAATAAAAATTTAATATTTTAATGAAAATATTTAGTACAATAGCACAAATATATATATATTTAATTACAGATATATTTAAGAATTAATACTATGAATTTCTTTAAGTTTTAGGGAAAAATATATAAGCTACATTTAAAATAATTTTAGTAAAACTTAATTGAATAAAATGTAAAATATATATAATATTTAATCAGTATAAGATAAATTAAATGAAATATTATATATTCTAATGTACAAAAAATAAATTTCATTTTTATTTTTATGTATTTCTGACTCTTTTCATATTTTGTAACAAGATGCATGTACACAACATTCAACAGTACCGATTCCAAACCCAACACAGGCAATGAATCATTTGCTAATTGGTAAAAATGCATTAACGAGTGCTAAAAATCGGTCGATTGGTCCCTCTTCAGATTCAACACTTGCACATGCTAAGATCACAGCATTGTATAGTAAACCTAGGAATCAAAATCTTAAAGATCGTCAACAGCTGGGAATTACAATCAATTGGAAGGATATGAAAAAAAATAAAAAAGAATATCAAACGTCTAATCGTAAGTAGTTAATTAATATAAAATGAATAATATATAATTTTTTAATTATACACAATTGCAAATTTTGATTAAACTCTAGATTACCAAAAACAAGCCTTTTATTAATATAAGATAGGTAAATATACATTAAAAATATTAATTAAAATTTTTATGAAAATTAAATAAAAATTTAAATAGAATAATTAAAATTGTCAACCTGTTTCTTAGTTTACCGTTATTTTCATGTGCATTAAAAAAAATAGTGAGGACAGGAACATTAATTCATCACATGAGATTTATAGGTTCAATTATATTAATCTCTCTCTCTCTCTCTCTCTCTCTCTCTCTCTCTCTCTCTCTCTCTCTCTCTTTCTCTATCTCGTTATGTATCTATTAATTTTTCTATTAAAATCAGATGATAATTTACCGTACCAACCGTACAATCCTATCAATGATATATTTGGTTTTTTCTGCTTGTAATATAATTTTTTAATTAATAAGACGAATAATAGTTGACTACAAAATTATTTCATATTTAAATTATGAAACATTCAAATGAAATAATATCCTTTTATGAATGCTACTAGTTTTCAAAGAATAATATTGTTATTAAATTTGTTTACAAATAATCGATCGAATTCATAATAATTTTATGTATACGAGCTCACTACAATTTTTTTCGTTCAATATTTAAAAATTTTAATTCATCTAATTTGAAAATTTGATTTAACAAAAATAAATATTTTACAAAATTATTTTAAATTTGGAATTTTTAATCATTTAAGATATACGTGTGTTAAAATCAATATATTCGTTTTCATATTCGTTGAATTTTGAATTTACGTATTAGTCTGTTGGAAATAATAAACATTTTATAACATTTTATATCTTAATTAACCTAAATTCGAAATATTATGTACATAAACATTGTATTTATTGATACTTAGTTTTTAATCTTATTACTATATGAAAACTTTTTAGCTCGACATTAGAATATGATAGAATAATGTGTTTTCAGATACTTCAAAATCTATTTTATATATATCCATTCACAGTACACTATATATTTATATATAAGTGTTAAAAAATTTCTTGTAAATATTTTTTTAATTTCTTATACCGAACTATTAAATTGCGTATTATATTAATCAAAGCTGTAGTAGAAGTTTTAAGTATTTAATGTAAATTTTTTCAAATAAATATTAATGAAAATGAAAATATGTATACTATAATATATAGGTTATAACATTGTTTTAAGCATTAACAGTAACAAAAAGATATGTTTTTATTAGTATTATTATCCATTATTATTATTATTTTTATTTATTATTATTATTATTTTATTTTATTATTATTATTATTATTATTATTATTTATTATTTATTATTATTATTATTTATTTATTATTATTTTTATTAGTTTATTGTTTAAATATCTGTATAATTAAGTTTACCGTTTAAAAATCTGTATCATTTTTATTCAAATATTGAAAGTATTATAATAGTATATTAAATTAAAATTATTAATATTTACTAAATTTATTAAAATTTTTATTTAATTAATGAAATATACATTGTATTTAAAATAGAAAATATGTAATACACATTATATATAAGACGCGTATATTAATTAAACGTGTGATGATTTAGCATTTTGATTAGATTTTAATTAATATTTATTTTATTACTTAATATCTTTTAAAGGTATAGTGTAATTACTTTTGAATTTAGATTTAATATGACAAATGTTAAAGTATGCTTGTACTAAAAGATTGAGGTATAATTGAGGAGAATAAAAAATGAATTTTTGATCACTTAAATGGATAGAAAAACTAGTCTACTTTCTGTTTTTTTTTTGGAGTATATGATCATATAAGGGTCAAAGTGTCATTTAATATTTTCTTTTCTCAATTCCTCCTACGTGTACTATAACAATTTCTCTTCAAAATCGTTTTATTTTCATTGTTATACTTACAGCAGTAGAAATATCCACTACCAATACTAGTACACAGAATTTAATAGATCGTGAATTATCCGAAGCTACTTTGCCATTGACTAATACTATGATGAAATGGTCATCTGACATAGTCAGGGGCGGGACTGCCCTCGACAGTGATAGCGACAGCACTTCTACAGAGCTCTGTGATGAACCTGATCGGTTGAGTGATGTTGACAGTGAAGAACTAAAATCAACCTCGGAATGCTTTATTAACGTGAAAACAAATGTTGAGGAAGAAAGGTCCCCAGCATTAAACAATGAGAATTCCATTATCGAGCAGAAACAGAACATCAGATCGAGGTAGTTGAAATGAATGAAGTAATAGGATATGTTTTTGATTTTAGACATTAGCATAAATATACTCAAAGCATGTTGCGCATATTATTACGGAGCTCATTTTCAATCAGTGTGCATTCTGTTGTAGAGTTATATTAATGAGATAATGAATAATCGTCAAACATTCTACGTAATGGTAAGAATAACAATCAAGTGTAACAGAGATTAAATTGTAAATAAAAATGTAATAAAAAAATTTAATTTTTAAATAAAAAGTAGACTGTAATTATATACAAAAAATTGATAGTAATTGTCTATATTGATAAAAAAATGATTAAATTTAAATGTAATACAAACCTTATAATTTTATATTAAAAAATTAATATTTTTATACTAATAAAAATTTTATAGGCCTGTTTTTATTGAATAATATAATTTTAACTTCAAAATTATAAAAAGTAAGAATATAAATACACATTATAAGTTTTTATTGTTGATTAAATTGTAGTAAATGAAAATTCTCTATGTTTGAATAGTTTTGCGTGGATAAATTTACTTTATGTAAAAAATATAGTAATTAAGTCATATTTAAACATTCTGTTTTGCATGTGTATATTTTTATGCATATCATGTATATATATATATATATATATTGAGAATGAAGTTTCACTTGTTTTATGTGAGATTAATAGATTACTAATATAGTAATAGATTATTAGTATAAACTATTAATATTTATATTGATTTATTATTAATATAAATTATAATTATAAACTAATAATTTTTTAATATAAAAGAATCTAGAAAAACTATACAAACTATAATTTTATAAAATTTTTGGTTAAATCAATTGAAACAAATATCTGTGTATCATTTTATATATATACTATAAATAAATATTACAATTTATTATAGTTTAAAAAAAATAGTAATTTACAATTTCAAACCAATACAATAGTGAATTTTGCATTATTATAAGAATTAATTTTTTTTCAAATACAGTTGAATAACATTCACTTTAAGAAATTTGAGAAAATAAATTTTAAACTTGTCGTAATTATAAATATAAATATTAAATAGTTTTTATTTAGATTCACTGGAAAGACGATTTGAAATTGTAATTTCCATTTTTTAGTAATAACATATAAATAATACAAATTTTCACTAGTGTTTTTAATATAAAAGACTTTTATTAATAAAAATATAGTTTTCTTTAATAATTGTTTAATACATATTTTATAATCAATTTCATATTAAATATGTCAATATATAAAGGCATATATAGAATATATACTTTTTTCTATTGAACTCAACATTGATATTGAAATATACATATTAAATTTTTTAAAAATTGTTATAAAATTAATAAAAAAGAATTTAATTATATGGAATAGAATTTTTAATACAAATAATTTATATATATATATATATATATATATATATATATTTATATATATATATATATATATATATAAAATGCTTAAATTAATAACACCCTGGAAAAATGAAGATTAATTTAATACTTTGTTCATAGCTAGGGAAAATTTAAGAAAAAAATGAATAATATTTAATCAATATTTAAATTTCAGCATATTATCTTATTTTTAATTTTTTTTTTGTTATTAACTTTGTTATTAACAAAAATTAATATTTGATTCGTTTCATTTCAGCCGAAATTACAAAGTTTCTACAAAAGAGACTTCTTTTTCTAAAAGAACAGACCAGATACAAAAAATATCAACAAATAATACCGACTACAAAACTTTTTTAGAAAATACAAATACTATTATAGATAAAAAATCATCCAATTTTAAGAATGCCATAAAAAATGGAAAATTAGCTGCTTCAATATTATTAAATGACAATTTTATTGAAGAAGAAATATCAACAGGTCAAGAATTAAATGATAAGTACCTTATCCAGGAAATAAACTCTACAATTTTACAATCATTTGACATTGACTGTCCTACAAATAAAATCAAATCAACAACTTCTAAATTGTTTGGTAATTCTCACTACAAGGAAGAGAATCTCTCAAAGACTTTGAAGCCCCTTGACTTTGAATTTTCGAATAAAAAAAACAAATCAATAACTTTTGAATTGAAGGACACACATTCTTTAGATGATAAAAATATAACAACTTTTAATCTACATGATAATGATAAATTAAACAATGAAAACAAATTATTAGTACCATTGACATTAAAAGTTGATAGTCCGGTTATAAAAAAAGAATTATTACCTCTCTCAGATGTAATTGATAATAATAGGTTTGTGATGCATAAAGATTCAGTAATCGAGACAGCAACTTCTATAGTAGAAAATTTAGATCATAATTCTCATTTTTTAGAATCTGAAAATAAAATAGATAATTATATATCTAATGATGTTTTGAAAAATGTTGAAACAGAAAATATTTGTAATGCAGTTAATGAATCAGTTTCAGTGATTACAATAGATGGTATAAATGGTTCTATGAAATCAAAACATGCAAGAAAAGATGATCTTTTTAATTTCATGAATATTGATTTGAGAAAAAAAGATAATTTATCAACGGAATTTGTTACTCCAATAGATGAAACTATTGCTATAAATGAAAATTTAGAACAAAATACTTATAAAAATAGTACAAATATTTTAAATTCGAGTTCTAATAATAAATTTAATATTTATAAAAAACAGGTAATTAATTTAAAACTATTTTTGTTTATTTAAAAGGTATTTAAATATAATAAATAAAGAATATTTTAAAGATACTTTAAAATTAAAATATGTTACTTTGTTTATGAACAAATTCTAATTCTAATTTATCATATTATTTAAATTTATTTAATTACATATATAAGTTTCGGTGCTTCAAATGTTCAAACATACTTTAAAATATTCTTTAAAGGTATTTTTTGTATAGTGTTTTTCATAATATATTATTGAAAGTGGATATTAATAATCAATATTTTTGTGCTTTATATTTAAAAAAATTTTTTTAGATAGAGTCAAAACTAAGCGATAAATCTGGAAACATAAATTCTTTGGATTTTGGAGAAACAATGGCACCTGATTCATTGATGTCAAACTTTGCTACTAGTCCAAAAACTCATATATGCTCAAAATCTCATGATTTTATTTTATTAGAAAAATCTACCGCATCAATTATGAACTCCGATTGTAAAATATTAACATTAAGTTCTTTTAATTCTGAATCAATGGTAAGACACAAAGAAATATTGGATAATAAATATTTGATGTCATCAACAGACTCTTTTTGGCAGATGAAAAGTAACGAACAACCATATAACTTCTCTGATTTCTTGCTTGATCCAACCAAACCAACATATTATGAGAAATCATTTAACTTGGATATACAATCATCTATTGATACTAATTTGACCCAGTATACTAAGAATTATAATTATAAATTTGATGAAGCAGATTTACAAAAACAATCGTCAGGTGTGATTTTATTTTATTTCCAAGTTTTTTCTAAATATTATAGTATAAAAAAATAATTTAATTAAATATCAAATATTTTAAAAATTATATTAAAACAAATGAAAGTTTAAATCAGTTTTTATGATGAATTATATTTAGAAAGCATTATAAAACCAGTGGTAAAATAAAAATATAATAATTTAAATAATACAATTTTTTAGAAATTTTATTTTGATTTAACATTGAATAAAATGATAACCATTAAAAACTTAAAAGTTGTATATTTTTACTTAGAAAATTTTCTTTTGATTATGAAATTTAAATAGTAAATCGTTTATACAATATTAATTTAAATTAAAGCAATTAAAGAATACATTAAATAGAATATATGTTAATATTATGTAATTAAACATTTATTATTATATTTTAGTTTATATTTATGTATTATTAACATTAAAATAGTAGATACATTTCAATACCAATCTTTTCAAATAATTATAAGTTAGTTTTAGTTCATTTTCATTTATTATGACCTATTAATTTAATAGTATTTTTTATTAATTTTTCAATAAAGCATTTAATCTCATGCCAAATTTTTATCAAAATCGTCTATTTTTCATTAATAACGGACGATAAACAATAATTATAAATACATTTTTCTTTGAATATTTTGTTTTTTTGTTATTTTAGAAATTACCTCAATTCTATCACCATTTTATTCAATTTCAAATCAAAATAAAAAAAGTTCACCATGTACAAAAGAAAGGAATCCTACAAGTACAGAAATATTGGAATTTGTTGAATATCAAGGGATACAAGAACCAAATATGAAACAATATTCGAAGATTGGGACTCCAATTCAAGCTTTTGATACACTGAAGTTCAACAGTTTTAAAGAAAAATTTAATTCAAAAGTATTATCTAAAGATAATTCCTTTAATAATAGTTTGAAACAATACTCTTGTATTGAGAACAAAGATTATTCAAAGATTATAAATGATGAAATAGTAATGAAGGAAAAAGTCTGTAACTTAGGTAAGTTAAAAAATATAATATCATTACAATTACACTTGCACATGAATGATATAGATACAATAATCGTATAATAAACCATTAAATCAAATTCCCATACAAATTTAATATTTTTTAAAGCAATTATTTTTTTGGTTATCAATATTTTTATCGAAGTATATTAATTAAAATAATTGAGGAAAATAAATAATTATGTAATTTTTCTGTAATAATTTGTAAATGTAATGAATTGCTACATAATTTAAATTTGAAAATAGAAAAATTTTTTTAAATACAATTGTATATTAAGTATTATAAAGAATCTTAGTTTCTAATGAAAATTAAAATTTTTAAAATTATAAAAAATTTTATTTTAATTTATGATAAGTATTTATTATATAAATAATTTTACTTGCAATTTCTTAAAGACAATGTGAAATAAATAATACATAATTTTATTTATTACTTACTTCAGACAAGAATAAATTTAAAGATAAGCTTCAAGAGATAGATATATTTTCATCGCTACTAGGTAATAAATTAAACCACAGCAATTCATTTGAACAACCACACGATAGTTCATTGAATGGAAACAATGAGATCCTTCAGTTATGTACCAAATCATATGAACGAAGTAGTGTTAATTTAGAGAAAGAATTTCCACATACAATACTATCATCATCGTTAGAAGATTTTACGAATACTGTGAAAAAGCAATCTTGTAATGCTTTGGAAGACTTACAATTTATAGAAGATGAAATAGATCCAAATATAGTAACAAAGAATTCGAGTTTTATTATGGAGGATTTAAAAAATAGTTTTTCTAAACAAATAATTGGTGTACCTGGAATAAGAATTTCTGCAAAGGGTTGTAAGACATATATAATTGAACCAAAATTTAATATCAATGATAATAGCAATAGTATTTTAAAATCAATTACCTATAGCAGTTCCATTGGCAATAATCATGATAATAATCAAGGTGAATTAAAGTTTGGGGTTTGGACGAAAGTAAAACCTCGTAAGTCTAATGATATTAGGCATAGAAGAAGTGATAGAGCATTGAAAATTATTCAAGAAAATTCAGCAATACTACAAAAGATTTTAACTTGTCAAACTAATAAATGCTTACCTGATTTAGAAGAAGTATCAAAAAGCATTACTATCAGTCCAATAAATGAAGAAATATCTAAAATTTTTAGTCCGATTCTTGGAAAAAGGGGCCTGAATGAAGATAAAATAAATTTAAAAGAATTAGATCGTAATACTGTAACTGCCTCAGAATTTGACGCAAAGATTGATGATGAATTATCAAAACTTTCATTAATTGATGATGATGAATTTGACTACCTTACAGATGTCGATATATCTTCTGATTACTTAGTAGCTCGTGATGCATTCATAGATTATCAAATAAATGAAGAACTCGCAAAGCTTCTTGCCAATTACGAAGAAGTTTCTTCTATTAAATTTCAAAAGGATTCAACCAATCTCAATACTATAGATGATAAATCAATTTTACCAAATATGTCTTCTTATAAATTTGCAAACGAATCTCTTAATAATAAAAATGATCATAGTTTGAACGATCCTGTACATTCTTTTATCTATTCAGATAATCCTCTTTCGTATAGACCTTGCGATGAATATTTAACATCACTTAATGTTTTAACGACAAATGATATTGATATCTACAGTCAATTTGATAAAGTGAATGACACATCGTATATTCAACATCTACCAGCTGTCAATACAGAAATAAATTGTCAAGATAATATTATTCCCATAACAAGCTGTTTATTTGATATTGAAGAATCATCAAATATTGATGATGCTACATTAATAATGGAAAAATCAAATTATAATATATCCCATAAAAAAATTCCTTATAATATTACATGCAGTTCTTCAATATCTCAAACGTCAAAAAATGACTACAAATCAAAAATTTCACAAAAAAAAAAGCTAAATAATGCCTACTTAACACAAGCATATGATCAGAAGAATTATGTTGATTTGGATGGTTTCGAAAATTCTACTTTTGAATTAGCTTCGAAGAACACAGTTGTTTTACCAACATTGAATTATGAGTGTGAATACGAAAAGCACCTATCTTCGAAGGAAAATTTAAAACGCCATACGAGGGATCATCACAATGAAGATTTACATGTGATGAAAAAATCAACAGCACAAAACATCGACCTTAAATTCAGCTCTATAGAAACTGACAATACCGAATTTGATAATACTGCATGTTATTACTCCAATACACAAGTAATTAATTCTACAATAAAATATGAATCCAATGATGATAAGAGATTGTCATTAATTTCAACTATAAAAACAAATAACTATAAATCAAATTATCAAATCAATGGTTATGATATATCTTCCTTAGAAAATTCTTCTGTTTACAATGAAAATGATAATAGGTCTAAACAATCTTATAATAATAGAACATTAGAATCCAAATCACAAATATCTGCAAGTTTAACAAATATGCCAACTTCTATTAATCATCATCAAGATATTCATGTTGTTTTACCTCACTACCATTACAGTGCTTGTAAAAAAGTAATAAATAACACATATGCAACAATTCCAGCATGTTTTAAAAATTCTTCAACAAAAACATCTACAACAGTAACAACAATAACAACACCCACTTCTCAAATTACGTATTCCAACACATTTATGGATAAAAGTTTAAAAAATTCAACATTAACACTTACTAATTTTGAAGAAAATAAACTAATTATAGACGATGATACAAAATCTAATTTGGGTGAAAATTTAAGTTCGGAGACCTGTATAATAAATCCCATTTCTTTAAAAACTTCACCAAGAAAGCCTGAAGAATTAACGTTAAAATTGGAAACACACTCATCAACAAAATAATTTCAATAAAAACAGTCTTAATTTTTATACTTAATTTTATTAAAGTTCAGACGAGTCGATATACAAGATCGGAAATTTAAATTACAAAGATTTTTAATGTATTAATTTTAAATTAATATAATTTTAAAAAAAGGGAATTTATAAACTTTCACGGACTTATTGCTGTTCTTGTAACAATTTATAAAATAATTATGTTATAAATATATATAACTGCATATGTTAAATTTAACTTAGTAGCTATTTCATACAGCTATTCGTATATAATTTTATATCGATCTATTATAATTATCCAATGAACTTAATACAATTAAATGTTCCTATTTTTTAAATTATTTGCAATTATACAGTATAACAAATTCTTACTATTACAATTTTTGTTACGTTACTTCATATTCTTTCATATATTTATATTTTAATAATCTAATTATTTGTTAATGTGTAGGTTTTTCAGTTATCTAAATCATAGTTTGATAAAAGTAACAGTATTATTCTAATAATTTAACATTAATATAAGTTTTCCTATATAATATAATATAAAATATATATGTATAAATATAATAGCAAAATTTTTACTTGTTAATTATTCCATTTAATTAATAAATTACCAAAAATATTTATCCATAGGAAACATTTTTCTATACAATTATACTATAATTATATAATATTTAAAAAAAAAAACAAAGAATTTTTTATTAATCATAATTATTATCTTTGTATAGAAACAATATTATTATAATAGAAGAAAATTTTCGTTAAAATAATAACTCAGCATTTTATTTCATAGCATTCAATGATGTAGCTTAGCAAATATTTATTAAAAGTAAAATTTCTAATAATTAAACATTTGTAAGCATGTTAATAATAAATAAAGCAAATTGTAAGTTTGCATTAATATCAAATTTAATATTTAAAATTTGTTAAATGTAGACATTTCTTTATGAGAAAATATGAAATATCCATTAAAAACATTTAAATCAATACATTTCAAAATTATTTTTAACAGTAATATAATTGACAAATATTTGCAAAAGAAATAGAAATGAAATTTTTAATAAAAAACTCCGTTTTTTATTTACAATAACAAATTTACAATAGCAAATTTATAAATTGTATAATACACAATACTTTCTATACATTAAGGCTTAAATTTATAATTGTAACTTTAATACATGTAAACATTTTTCTTTATTGAATAAGTAAATATTTTCATCTAAATCACTTTTTAAAATTCAAATTTATGTATTCATTTGAATAATTTTTTATGTAAATAATAAACATTTTATAAGAAATATAGTATATTTATCAGAATAATAAATATTTTTAGGTTTATATATATATATATATATATATATACATATTTGTAAAGAATTTATAACTACATTATTAGTTATTTTTGTTCTTAATTTTTAGTAATTTAAATTCCATCTTAGTTTTATTATTTATTATTTACTGTAATGTCTTAACAAAAAAATATTTTCCATTGTTAAAAAGAAACACTTGCATCTTTTAATTAATTGTCTTGCATGAAAAATCAAATTATGTTGCTCAATTTAATGTAGTTTAATATATTTTGTTTTATGTGATAATATGATAATTTAATATGATAGTTTGTTTGATAAACGACTTTTGAAATAAAATTAAATGTAATACATTATTTATATTGTATCAAAACTAATATACATTTAAAACTATTTTATGTTGTATAAAATAGTAAATTTAAAAAAATAGTGATTATACGTATATTTTTAAAACTTCAATTATAAATATCTATACTATATATTTAATGTTTGCGAAAAAACTGTGTAGTAAAATAAGTGATTTTCGTCGTAAATATGACTATTTAAATAAAATTTATTAAATGAAGTATAGGAAACCAGTTTATAATTTGATTTTTTATTTAATAATGAGAAAAAAGACAGGAATATTTAGTACAGTTATTTGCATTTTTCAAAATTCATATTCTTGCGGATAAAGAAGAAGCAAAACTACGCATTTTTACATAATGACGAAATATTACTGTACAGAAGCCAGGGGTACAAAGTACTATATAGTATAAACACTAACCGATATACTTTATAATAAAAGCAATAAAATTTGTTACCTTAAAAAATAGTTTAACAACCTAAAATTGCAAGTAGTACTTCGAAAATAAATTTAGATTTGGTAAGAAGAAATGTATTAATTCAATAAACTATATGATATTTAATTAAAATTATATAAATCTTCAGAAATTTATTGTCCATCAAAAAATATAGTATAAGTATATTTAAAAATATGTCATTTAATTTTAGTATTCATTTACTCAAATAATTTATGATAATTTAAAAATTTAACACAATTTAATTATTAATTTAAAAAAGAATTCTAATGCATATATTTTTAACCTAATTTACTACCATATTCATTATATATATTGAAAGAAAGAATTATATACTAAAATATATTACTGTTAATTATACAAATAATAAATTTCAATCAAATAAAAATAAGTAACGACTTTAATTTATTTATAATGTAGTTTTATAATAAAGAATCAATCCATTTTTCTGATAATGATTATTGATTTTTTTGCATAAATTTACTTTCAAAACTAATGAATAAATAATAAAGTAAAATTTGTATTTTCAAACATAAAGATGTTACTATTCACTTTTTTTCATCTTTAGAGAAAGTGAAAGAATTACGGATACGAACACTTATCACAAACGAATTTTAATGCTTAGCTGCATTAATATTTTTAATGTTTGACTCTGGTATTTATTGCTATGCTCATTCTTTTCATAATAATGCAACTTATAATAAAATGAAAGTTCATCTAAGAAGGACTTATCTAGTTTTATTTAGATACAAGCATTCTGTTTTTTTTAAATATTGAGTAATGCTACCCTGTTAATGATCAATGCATAGCTTGTTGATAACAGTAATCTGAAACAATTCTTTCTAGATAGCTATACATCTTTTTCAACAATATTGTTTCTGTCATCGATTATTTTGTCGATGTAATAACAAATAGTCGAAAATACACAAAGCCGTGATGTAAGTTTATTAAGTATTATAATCAATGGTATTCAATATAACACCAATAATCTGTCGCGATCGATATCTATTTACGACAGAACTTAGCAACGGTCTTATACAATTTATTTAATAATTTTTCAGATCTTTTTATATTCTAATAGGATAAATAATTTAAACAAATAATTTACTTAAGGAAGTGATCAACACGATCTTCACTTTATTCATTTTATTTATTATTAACTTTATTTATTTTATTTATTATTTTATTTATTATTAACT